GCATTCTTTTAGAATCCTATGAGTCTATGACTTTGCTATCTTACTCTGCTTATTCCTTTCCTGCAGTCGCCTTCATTAAGTGGAATTTCATGGTACAACTTGTCCCCCGTGGATGTTGGTCTAGTTGTAAGTTTCCAAGCTATATTTCCTACTTCTTCTGCATACTGGTCATTGCGTATCTTTTATTCTCCTCCCGCTCTTGGATCTGTGGTCTTCATTTGAAGTAAAGACAAATTTGCTTACAAAATAGTATTAAATTTTCTGCAGACCAGTGGCTCACTTTACGGTGCATTACTTGGCTCAATTGTGGCTTTTACTATTGCTGATGTAATAGGTTGGTTTTATTTCTCACTTTCTTCATTTGGTAGGCATGAGGCGGCATGAGTATCTAGCTTTGTTTGCTTGTGGAAATTTTTTAAAACTTTGGATTTATTGAATTTGAAGGAAGAAGAAAGGAGCTGATTTTGGCTGCATTATTGTATCTCGTTGGAGCCCTAGTGACTGCACTATCACCAATCTATTCGGTTCTTATAATTGGACGGATTATTTATGGGGTGTCCGTTGGACTGGTATGAATGATCATGCTTCTTTAATGTTTGACAATCAAAGACTTGCTTATGCAGACCAAATGCTCTAACATTTTATATTTATTCATTTGGCTGTGTACTTAGAATCACACATCTATTAGGAGGGGAGCAAATTAATGCCTTGTAGGACGTTAGGGCACACACTCTTAAGCTGTTGTGGTGACTACTATCCAAGGTCTTATAAGACACTAATTTGTTCCCATCCTAACGGATGTGGAGTTCTTACATGTATATCGACATAACTTAACCTTCCCAAATTACAGATCGTAACAGTTGATGTAAAATATATTTCCATCTATTGCTGACCATGGGTTGTTATCCAATGTATACTCATACAAACATATAGGTCTGTATACTTCTTGTGTGTACATGTATATAGAGTACACAATATATATTCTGCAGCATTCATCTGGCCCTCGGTATTATTTATGTTTCTCCAGGCTAAAAAAGCCAGTGATTAGGAATTATATCAATTGTTATTTGTATAATTTTATGTATGCATGTGCTTCAGCCATCAGCTATGGATTACATATAGTGTTACCGTTGATACGAGAATTGAATTGTTTCTCTACATTTAGGCAATGCATGCAGCTCCGATGTACATTGCAGAGACTGCTCCAAGTCAGATACGTGGACGACTGGTATCACTTAAGGAATTCTTCATAGTCCTTGGGATGGTTGTAAGTTCTTAAATCTCTGAGGTTTTGGACATTAATTGCTTTATGTGAAGCAGCTGAGTTGCTCCTCTTGTTTTTAAAATCATTGTTCACCAAGTTGATTTCACATATCCTACACATAATTCTATGCAGGGAGGTTATGGAATCGGTAGTCTTACAGTCAACATTCTCTCTGGTTGGCGTTACATGTATGCAACAAGTGTCCCTTTGGCTGTTATTATGGGAATTGGGATGTGGTGGCTCCCAGCATCCCCTAGGTGGCTTTTGTTGCGCGTCATACAAGGGAAAGGGAATGTGGAGAACCAAAAAGAGGCTGCAATCAAATCTATTTGCCGCCTTAGAGGTCCTGCTTTTGTTGATTCAGCTGCTGAACAGGTGGACGAGATTTTAGCTGAACTTTCTTTTGTGGGCGAGGATAAAGAAGTCACATTTGGTGAACTATTTGAAGGGAAGTGCTTGAAAGCTCTCATCATAGGAGGAGGTCTAGTCTTGTTTCAACAGGTCGGTATAGTCTAACTTTATCTTCATGTTATTATAGAAGAGTAATACTAATGAACTTTTTCCAAATGGCAGATTACTGGGCAACCAAGTGTGCTTTATTATGCACCATCAATACTGCAGGTTTTCTTTTTTTCTCTAGATAAACTTTCTGTAGAGTATAATATTGGTTTTTTGCACTTGGAAACTCACTTCTCTACTCCCTGCATTTCCTGTTAGACCGCTGGCTTTTCTGCCGCAGGTGATGCAACAAGGGTCTCAATTCTGCTTGGTCTACTGAAGGTATTCATTTTTTCCACCTGGATAAATTTTAAAATTACTAACTTTCACATGGTTAAACTTTAGAATCACTTTTACAATATGATATAGAGATGCGCTTTGCTCTACAATCTCTGTAAACAGTGCTAGCAGTAGTGCCATTACAGATTGACATTTAAAACTGTGTAGTCGTAAAAGAATAATTTACAGCAAGCTTTTTGGTTTGCTAACCCTAGATCTCAATCATAAATTTCAGTTAATCATTTGCACTAAAGAACAATGTTGATAGAATAAATTTTCTTGGAGACCTGCTTCTCCTACAAAGTTATCTTTCTTTCTAAAAGATAACGTCCGCCTCTGTTGTTGCAGTTGATTATGACAGGAGTAGCTGTTGTAGTTATTGACCGACTGGGGAGGAGACCATTACTTCTTGGTGGTGTTGGTGGCATGGTATGTCCTCTGGGTTTTATTCTTTGTCCTTTCTCATCCTATGTTCTATTTATCCACCGCAAACAAAGTAATGTAGATTTAGGACAAGCTCACTAAATATTCAATTCAATGATAATAGAGAACAAAAAACTTCACTTTTTATTTTTAATGTCAAACAGGTTGTCTCATTATTCTTGCTGGGGTCATACTATCTCTTCTTCAGCGCCTCACCAGTTGTTGCTGTTGTGGCACTGTTGCTTTATGTGGGATGTTATCAGGTAAGCGAATGATTAGTTAGACTTTTTCTGATCAAATTTCGGTATCACAATGTTAATGCTAGTCCTAAAGCTATCAAAGACTTTGTGATCTAAAGATGGAGTTATAACAAGTAGTTCCATTGGAGGGTATAGACAAATATGGTTCATATTTTTCATTATTTTCGCCTTGAACTTTGATATGCTTCTAGTTGTTCATTTTTAAACATGTAGGTTAATGGTAATATGTTTGTTTTCTTACTTTTCAATAAGAGCTTTAAAGTACCATCAATGTTGCAGTTATCGTTTGGTCCAATTGGTTGGCTGATGATCTCGGAGATATTTCCCCTTAAATTAAGAGGCCGAGGTCTCAGTCTAGCAGTGCTTGTGAATTTCGGTGCAAACGCACTTGTGACATTTGCTTTTTCACCCCTAAAGGTAACCTACCATTCCCTTCAGGACAAAAACATCGTTTTGCTTAAGCTTGGTATGGCTAATTCTATAGGAATAGTAGCAAAAGACGAAAATAAAATGTTTATCATGGGTTACTCGCAGTGAAACTCTAGTGGAACGATATCGACACCCACAGTGTCAGTAATTTTTTGTTCTGGTTTCTAACTGGAACTTTTGTTTGGCTTGCACATGGCTCTGTTATGCAGGAATTGTTGGGAGCGGGGATACTGTTTTGTGCGTTTGGAGTGATATGTGTTTTGTCTCTACTCTTCATATTCTTCATTGTACCAGAGACAAAAGGTCTCACTCTTGAGGAAATCGAAGCCAAATGTCTCTAAAAAAATAGGTTTGTAGATCACAAAGTCGAGTGCTTCTTTACATGATGTTGATTCGTACTTCCTTAAATCTTGAAGAAATCATCAGTGCAGGTTCAGAGATAAACGTACGTCTCCAAGTGTTTAGTGAAATCACAAATCTGCCGCACAAGATGGAAATGAAATCTGCACACACCATTAGGTTCTTCTTGAAGCAGTGGTACTTCAGAGGCTCTAATGCTCGAGCAAAATACATGTACGAACAAAAATAATATTTTTCAGATATCTTTGTACTAATTAAGTAAGCACACTGTCAAAATATAAACGGAAAAACATCATAAAAGATAAATAAAATTTATAAAGAAATGATGCTCCGAAGGTTCTTAATTATTTTTAATTGAGTAACTATACTAGTTCTGTGATTGCTACTGCAATGTTCATCTGTGTCACTGGTCTATTGACAATTTTCTTATGAACCATACGTGTTTTTAGTCTAACTTCAAAAAGAAAAAAACTATACTTTATGAATACAACTAGCAGTTGACCCGCGCTTCGCGCGGGAGGTTTATAATTTTTTTGTTAATTTTTTATTCATATTGTGGTATTTTATTTATTTTTATTTGATCTTCAAAACATATTATAATTATTTTCTCTTGAATTATTATCTTTCAATATTTAAATTTGGATTAAAAGCATTTTCTTTTTGATAATACTAATATTTCACTTTCAAATTTTATATATACAATTACATAAATGTTGTTTTTATTCTACCATAACTTTAAAATTTACTTACATTCTTAAACTCAGTAACACATTTAAAAATTTAAACTATGATCAATTTAAAATGAAAGTTGAATTATATTATTACCATTAACTAATAAAAATGAAAGTATTTCTTATTTAACATTTCATTTATTTACATAATTTATTTTTATTTATATAAAATTTTCATTAATTAAATAAGTAGCATAAATATGCACTAAATGAATGTTTTAAATTTATTTTAATGTGTTGTGTTAAAAAAAAATATTTTAATGTAAAAAAAATGTGGCTTAGGTGGATGGTTAGGTGGCATTATGAGAAGAGAGAAAAAGCTAACTTTATATATATAGATTACGGTATTGCTAAAGCTACTACTGAGGATGCCAAACAAATTAAACAAGCCAAGTAGAGAGGTGACCGACCAATTTAAACGAGGATAGTGACTGTGTTTGACCACGACGTTACGCGCTACGTTTTGTTGGCCTTTTCGGGAAGTTTTACAGAAACCGAATAAAAATATAAAAGTCGTTTTTCTGCCTTTTCAAATTTAATGGCTCCTATATATTGGCAGCATTGTAGAATCGTCGACTAAAATACAAATAGTATATAGAATGGAATAAAATTCACAATAGCATAAAAACAAATGTGAAAAGGAAGGAAATATGTGGAATTGTCGGGGGGAAAAAACAACGATTGAAAGAGAAAAGCGTCCAAATTGTGAACATTGGAAATTCAAAATATTGTTGATTTTGTGAACATTGACTAAAAAAAATAAGCAATGACGTCATAGTTGAAAACACGATTTATGTGGCAACAACAGCTACGAGACGAGCCAGAGAGACCACCACACTATAAAACCAAGCAGGCTCGTCCTCGTCAATCCGCAGAAGAATTATTGTACTCGGAAGTCAATCGGAGTAACTAAGAAATCATATCGGATATGTCGACGGCGACGAACAAGCAAGTGGTATTAAAAGACTACGTGAGTGGTTTCCCTAAGGAATCCGATTTCGATCTCACTACCAACACCGTCGAATTTAGGGTTCCGGGAGGTTCTAACTCGGTCCTGGTGAAGAATCTATACTTGTCATGCGATCCTTACATGCGCCTTCGCATGGGCAAACCTGATCCCTCCACTGCTGCTCTTGCTCAAGCTTACGCTCCCGGCCAGGTATACCATCCACGAGAGACTCTACTTTACTTAATTCTCCGATTTTATATTTGCAAAATCTCCTGTGAAATTCGTATCCGATGATTATGTAATTTTTGTTTTTTTGCTTTGTTTGGCTTTTTGATTCGAGCTCAGTGAGATTGTTATGTTCTTCTTTTGGATATAAATATATTTTGTTTCTTTTACCAAAATAGTATCTTATTATAATAATATGTGTATACTTGACTAATCAACGGTTTCTATTTTTGTGTTGGATTGGCTTTGATTGTTTTGTAACTTAAATAGAGTTTGACACCACCAATCTGGATGCTTCTTGTTACTTAATAAACCATATAACTATGTTTATATAAAACGGTATTTTTAGATTGGTGTTCTTGAAGACTCTGATAAACAAATTGTGTCTTTTTGGGTTTTGCTTTTTTACCTATCTCATGTTGACTGTTGTTAAATTGTGTTTCTTTTTCTTTTTTTTCTGTGTGCAGCCAATCTTTGGGTATGGAGTGTCTAGAGTGATAGAATCTGGGCATCCAGATTACAAAAAAGGTGATTTACTCTGGGGTATTGTTGGATGGGAGGAGTACAGTGTTATCACTCCAATGACGCACATGCATTTCAAGATTCAACATACTGATGTTCCATTATCCTACTATACTGGACTTCTCGGTATGTTATCTCAGCCTTGCTCCTCGTTTTGTAAGGAATCACTTGGTAACTTTCAGGAAAAATTTCTTCTTGATACAGAGATTATGAAGTTGAATGTCATACACCATGTATAATAATAATAGGATGTCTAATTAATAAGCCTCAAAAACGTTAAATTTTGAAACATACTACTGAATGGACTTAGTTATGCCAAGTTTTAAATATCAATCTAGAAGACTAGAGTTTCAACAGGTTTGCTTTGTTGATCTGTTTAATATATATTCTCTCTTTGATGGGTTTTGGTCTGGTCCTGACAGGTATGCCTGGTATGACTGCTTATGCTGGGTTTTATGAAGTCTGTTCTCCAAAAAAAGGAGAAACAGTTTATGTGTCAGCTGCATCTGGTGCCGTTGGTCAGCTTGTGGGTCAATTTGCTAAGATGATGGGTTGTTATGTTGTTGGAAGTGCAGGTAGCAAAGAAAAGGTGAGAGAATTTGATCATCATTTCAATATTCTGTTTCCTTATATTTCTTGGTTTTCCTTCAAGAGAGTGATTAGCCCTTTTACTTCTTTTTGGGGGTTTGTTAGGTTGATCTGCTCAAGACCAAGTTTGGGTTTGATGATGCCTTTAACTACAAGGAAGAACAAGACCTTACTGCTGCTCTGAAAAGGTTCAGTAACTACGTAAATCTAAGCGTTTGGTGTTTATAATTGTAAGATTGGTTTGCATGATAAAGCAGTAATTCACAACTAAAGTAGAAACAAGAGAAGTGGATAATAGCCTGAGCAACATGATCCTACGTGTAAACCCACTTAATTGGGGATGAACCCGAGGAAACTTCGAAACTACGTCTCTTTCTGAGCAAAACATAAAAACAGTTTATCTGCATTGATTGATATCTTACTAAGCTAACAGAGATTCTCTTCTTTTCTTCTTCAGGTGTTTTCCCACAGGCATTGACATATATTTTGAGAACGTAGGAGGCAAAATGCTAGACGCAGTGCTCTTAAACATGAACCCACTCGGGCGTATCGCTGTCTGTGGAATGATCTCACAGTACAATCTTGAAAACCAAGAAGGCGTACACAACCTATCCAACATAATATACAAACGAATCCGCATTCAAGGCTTTGTAGTTCTTGATTTCTACGACAAATACTCAAAGTTCTTGGAGTTTGTGCTTCCGTGCATTAAAGAAGGGAAAATAACGTACGTGGAAGATGTAGTTGATGGTCTCGAGAAAGGTCCTGAAGCTCTGGTGGGTCTTTTCCATGGCAAGAATGTTGGCAAACAAGTTGTTGTTATTGCTCGTGAGTAAGGACTTATAATGGGAGTAATGTAATATATTTATCCAACAAGAGTTTGTCTGGTATGGGTGTTCGAACCCAAGCGTGAGTTTTTGGTTTATAAATATTATTAGTAACTGAAGTAAATTTTAATATAATATCAGTTTGTTTAATTTGTTTCGAATGTGACTTGTTTTTCATCACATGTATCAATGTAGTAGTAACAAACAATCCCAAACCCCTCCCATCCACAAATCCAAAAAAAGCCTGATACAAAGTTACAGTCCCATGTGTGTTGTAGCTCTTGTAAGATTAAAACATCAGCGAATACACAACTCTTTTTCCTTTTTATTAGAGAACATCGTAATCACAATCACATGGCTCTGTTTTGGGAGCTAGGATATATAATACTGCTTTGTGGGTTTGGTGTGATACGTGTTTTGTCTCCGGTGTTCACATTCTCCATAGTGCCAAAGACAAAGGGTCTCACCTTGATAAATTTGTATAATAAAGTACTTCCGAAGGTTCTCTTATTTTCTAGTACATGTCCCAATCAGTGATGCTGCTCCGAAGGTTCTCAATTCAATGGAGTAATCCACCACTTAATTGCCTGTCTAATCCACTTGATTTTCTCAAATATTAGTCTAGTGACATTTTTGATTAACCAATGATTTGGATTCTATTCTTTTTTTCCAAATTTTTTTTTTTAAGTGGAAAGATTTTCTTATGTTTCTTATGAGTGCGTTTTTTTTGTTTATTTTGATTGTTTCATTTTAAATTTTCATCCATGAAAGTATGAAACTAAATTCAGTTTGATTAAAAGAAAAAAGCAATAAAAAGATCTCCAAATTCTAAGTGTTTACATATGTGTAAATGTAAAAATACGAACTCTTGTGAAATGTGAAAGGAATGGAATGTAAATGAAAATGTCGACAAAATAAACGCACGAAAGAGAAAGTATCCAAATTGTGAACAATGCGATGAGATGAGATGCTCACTCAGAGACATAAGCAGTGACGTCATACCTGATATGAGACGCAGAGAGACAGAGACCACTATAAAAAGCAGGCGCGTACGAAGACGAAGAAGTAACAAATCATTGAACTCAGAAAGTTGAATCGGCGAAGAAAGAATTAACGAACGATGACGGCGACGAACAAGCAGGTCACATTGAAAGACTACGTGAGTGGCTTCCCTAAGGAATCCGATTTCGATTTCACTACCACCACCGTCGAACTTAGGGTTCCGGAAGGTTCCAACTCTGTTCTGGTGAAGAATCTCTACTTGTCATGCGATCCTTACATGCGGACTCGCATGAGTAAACCTAAACCCTCCACTGCTCTTGCTCAAGCTTACGCTCTCGGCCAGGTACGAACTTCACGAGAATTTCACTTTTTTTTTTCTCCGATCATATATGCAAATCTCCGGTGAAATTCGAATCGGCTAATACTGTTTATTTTGAATCCGGTGACATTATTTTGATTTTTGTTTTGGATAATACTTACTTTGTGACCAGAATGATGTCTTATTATTATAATTATAATTCGACCAATCAACTCTTCTATTTTTGTGTTAGTTGAGAATCTTATTATATAAACTTTATATTAGTGTTCTTGAAGACTCTGAGTTACAAATTGTGTCGCTTTGGGTTATGCCTTTTGCTCTCTCGTGTTGATTTTTTTTGGTTCCATTTTGTTATTGGTGCAGCCAATCTTTGGGTTTGGAGTGTCTAGAGTGATAGAATCTGGACATCCAGATTACAAAAAAGGTGATTTGCTCTGGGGTATTGTTGGTTGGGAGGAGTACAGTGTTATAACTCCAACACCTGACGTGCATTTCAAGATCCAACATACTGATGTTCCATTATCCTACTACACTGGACTTCTCGGTATGTTAATCTCAGCCTTGCTTCTCGTTTCTGTACGGAATTACTCGGTAAACTTTAGATTACTTCTTGATACAGAGATCGTGAAGTCGAATGTCATAAGTCATAACCATGTATGATAGTTTTGCGGATTAATACATTGTTTGAAACTTACAAAACAGAAATAGCTATGTCAAGTTCTTCCTACCAAAAAGAAAAAAATGTCTAACTTCAATCTAGAAGACTACAACAGTTTGGTTTGTTGATCTGTTTAACATATTATCTCTTTGATGGTTTTTTCCGGTCCTGACAGGGATGCCCGGTATGACTGCCTACGCTGGGTTTTATGAAATCTGTTCTCCAAAGGAAGGAGAGACAGTTTATGTGTCAGCTGCATCTGGTGCGGTTGGTCAGCTTGTGGGACAATTTGCTAAGATGATGGGATGTTATGTTGTTGGAAGCGCCGGTAGCAAAGAAAAGGTAAGAGTTTGATCATCATTTCCACATTTATTTTCCTTGTTTGGTTTGTTGGTTCTGTTTCAAGGAAATGGTTTACCGTCTAACTTCTTTTTTTCCGGGAATTGTTAGGTTGATCTCCTCAAGACCAAATTTGGGTTTGATGATGCATTTAACTACAAGGAAGAACCAGACCTTAGTGCTGCCCTGAAAAGGTTCGGTTATATCGAAGTTTTTTTATGTTAAAAACTGCCTGGTTAGGATCTGTTGCAGAATAAAGCTGGCAATTTGCAACTTAGTATAAACCGGAGAAATGGATGAAAGCATGATTCTACATGGAAAGCAACTTAAGTATTAGGGAAAAAAACAATGAAACTCACAATTACAACTTTTGTTGGAAAAATGAGACTCACAATTACAACTTAAGTGTGTATCAACTGCTGTTTGACTAATCTAAGGGATATTCTCCTTTTTCATTTACAGGTGTTTCCCTAAAGGCATTGACATATACTTTGAGAACGTAGGAGGCAAAATGCTAGACGCAGTGCTCTTAAACATGAATGTGCATGGACGTATCGCTGTCTGTGGAATGATCTCACAGTACAATCTTGAGAACCAGGAAGGCGTACACAACCTATCAAACATAATCTACAAACGGATCCGCATTCAAGGCTTTGCAGTCTTTGATTTCTACGACAAATACTCAAAGTTCTTGGAGTTTGTGCTTCCTCACATTAAAGAAGGGAAGATCACATACGTGGAAGATGTAGCTGATGGACTCGAGAAAGGTCCTGAAGCTCTTGTGGGACTCTTCCATGGCAAGAACGTTGGAAAACAAGTAGTTGTTGTTGCTCGTGAATAATGTTATATTTATCCAACAAGGGTTTGTATGGGTGGGTGTTCGAACCCAAGCGTGAGTTACTGGTGTTAATTTAATAAAGTCCATTTTAATATAGATATCAGTCTGATTGTTATTGGTTTCAAATCATGACCTGTTTCATCAAATCATGACCTGTTTCGAAGTAGTAAGAAAGGGCTAATACAATATGTCATCAATGTGTTAGGACACCACAAATCTCTACATACCAATTTACAATATATATTGTTGAAGCAATGTTACATTAGAGAGGTTCGAATGTTCGAGTCAAAGACACATGGACGGCCATAAAAAGAGAAAGTATCCAAACTGTGAAAAAGTGGATAAGTCAGAGACATAAGCAGTGACGTCATATTTTGATATCATAAAATCTGTGGCACATAACTACGGGAGACCAGCGGCGTCGTCGATAAATCCGAAGTAACAAAATTTGTCGAAGTCAGAAAGTCAAATCGGAGAAAGATATTAAGGATGACGGCGACGAACAAGCAAGTGATATTCAAAGACTACGTGAGTGGTTTCCCTAAGGAATCAGATTTCGATTTCACTACAAGCACCGTCGAACTCAGCGTTCCCAAAGGTTCTAACTCGGTCCTGGTGAAGAATCTCTACTTGTCATGTGATCCTTACATGCGTATTCGCATGGGCAAACCTGATCCTTCCACCGCTGCTCTTGCTCAAGCTTACACTCCAGGCCAGGTACCCATCGACGAGAAAGACTCTACTTTATTTAATTTTCTCCGATTATATATCCAAATCTCCGGTGAAATTTCCAAATCCGATGATCATAATGTTAATTATGCTTGGTTTGCATCATTGCATGTATATAATTCCTTGAGAAGATTATATTATGTTAATTCTCTTTTTGATATAAATATTTTATTTTGTGAACAGAGAGCTATAATTATATAAATAATATACTTGATACGGATCAACTGTTCATTCTTTTTTATTTTATTATTTTTCTATTTTTTTGGGTTGGATCATCATTTCTGTAACTGCTTCTTATTGATAGAAGAAACTAGAATGACAATTTTAGTGCTCTTGAAGACACACAGAGAAGCAATTGTGTCTCTTTGTGCCATCTCTATCGTTTTGACTATGGTTTCATTGTGTTTTTGGTGCAGCCAATCAATGGTTATGGAGTGTCTAGAGTGATAGAATCTGGGCATCCGGATTACAAGAAAGGCGACTTACTCTGGGGATTCGTTGGATGGGAGGAGTACAGTGTTATCACTCCAATGAATCGCATGCATTTCAAGATCCAACACACCGACGTTCCCTTATCTTACTACACTGGGCTTCTCGGTATGTTAATCTCGGCCTTGCTCCTTGCTTTAGTTTTGTCGGTAGAAATGTGGAATAATCACTTGGTTACTTAGACAGAGATTGATGAGAACATAACCATGCATGAGGTTTCTTATGAACTTTGAGGACAAAGTTCTTTTGGAGGGTGGAGTATTGATGAGAACATAACCGAAGTAAACCGGTATCAACTAAGATAAGGATGAAACAATGAGAATATCATTTGTGATCTTATTGTTTTTATTGGTTTTAGGTAGATTATGTTAAATCTTAGATTCATGTCTATCTCCTATATTCTAGGATCATAGCTGGCCCTTAACATGTATAAATAATCATAACATCTTATAATGAAATATAGGGAGAAAAATGTTTAAAGTCTATTGTTCTTATAAGCTCTTGATTGGGACCTATCAGAGATCATGAAGTTTCATGACATAACCATGTAGGAATGGAATTAGTTTTGTCAAGTTTTAAACTTCAATCGAGAAGACTAGAATTTCAACAGTTTGGTTTGCTAATATATCATGATATGTATTCTTTCCTTGATGGGTTTTGTCTTGTCCTGGTAGGAATGCCCGGTATGACTGCCTATGCTGGGTTTTATGAAATCTGTTCTCCAAAGGAAGGAGAGACAGTTTATGTCTCAGCTGCATCTGGTGCGGTTGGTCAGCTTGTGGGTCAATTTGCTAAGATGATGGGTTGCTATGTTGTTGGAAGCGCCGGTAGCAAAGAAAAGGTGATCATCATTTCAATATTTTGTTTACTCATATATGTTCATTGGTTCTCCTTCAAGAGAGTGATTCACACTTTTACTTCTTTTGGGGGGATTTGTTAGGTCGATCTCCTGAAGACCAAGTTTGGGTTTGATGATGCATTTAACTACAAGGAAGAACAAGACCTTAGTGCTGCCTTGAAAAGGTTTAGTAACTACTTATTACTTCTAAGCGTTTGATGTCTATAACTGTTAGTAACTCTGTAATTACAATTTTTTTTTCTGATAAGAAAGTGACATGATCTATGTGATTGACATTCAGGTGTTTCCCCAAAGGCATCGACATATACTTTGAGAATGTAGGAGGCAAAATGCTAGATGCAGTGCTCTTAAACATGAACCCACACGGACGTATCGCTGTCTGCGGAATGATCTCACAGTACAATCTTGAGAATCAGGAAGGTGTACACAACCTATCCAACATAATCTACAAAAGAATCCGCATTCAAGGCTTTGTAGTGTCTGATTTCTACGACAAAATCCCAAAGTTCTTGGAGTTTGTGCTTCCACAGATTAAAGAAGGGAAGATCACGTACGTGGAAGATGTAGCTGAGGGGATCGAGAAAGGTCCCGAAGCTCTTATAGGACTCTTCCATGGTAAGAACGTTGGAAAACAAGTTGTTGTTATTGCTCGTGAGTGAAACAAAGGTTTTATACTTGTACTTATCCAACAAGCTAGAGTTTGTGTGCATGTTCGAACGAAAACGTGGGTGGTTTTTCGATATGGTTTCGAATCGAATTCTATGTCACTTGTTCAAATTTATCACTAGTTTCCAAATATATATTAATTCGGTGTATGTTTCTTCTTTACGTTTGGATTCAATCTAATTATATTTCTCTAATAATAAAAACACCCATATAAAATAGCAAGAGACAGTTGGATTAAATCCCACACATTGTTTGCATCGCACATTATATCGCAATAAATCATGCTTATACAGTACTCTGCTAAAGTTTTGATTCATTAGTTTTGCGTTGTTAGTAGACATATAGCAAAACACGTCCATGCGAATATGTTTCTTCCTTTTTTCTCGTTAAAAAGATTATCTCGTGTAAAGCTTATTATATAATAAGTAGAGACTAGAGAGAAATAAAGACGTTGAGGAACAAAAAAAAAAACAAACATATTCCCCAAAAATATGGCGACGTTGATCAATAAGCAAGTCGTGTTACGTGATTATGTTACCGGTTTCGCCAACGAGTCCGATCTTGTAATCACATCCACCAACGTCGATCTTAGAGTGCAGAAGGGATCTATGACTGCCTTGGTGAAGAATCTCTACTTGTCTTGCGATCCTTACATGCGGAATCGTATGAGAAAGCCTGATCCTTTGAGCCCTGCTTCAGCTCAGTCCTTCACTCCCGGCAAGGTAAAAAGCATTTCCAGCTCGAAGTTTGAAACGTAACTATAAAACTATGTTTTGTCGTATGATTACATTTCGAGAACTTATCTTGTGTTGTGTTGTGCAGCCTATCTCAGGACTTGGAGTGTCTAAAGTGATAGATTCAGGGCATCCTGATTACAGAGAAGGTGACTTACTCTGGGGAGCTGTTGGATGGGAAGAGTACAGTGTTATTACCCCAATTCCTAATCTTCACTTTAAGATCCAACATACCAATTTTCCCTTATCTTACTACACCGGGCTTCTTGGTATTGTTTAATTCCACTCTCTCTAGGTTTGCTAACAATATATACTGTATTTATTCACTCACCTCTGTTCCTGACAGGTATGCCTGGCATGACAGCATATGTTGGTTTTTATGAGATCTGTTCTCCTAAGAAAGGAGAGACAGTGTTTGTGTCAGCTGCATCTGGTGCGGTTGGTCAGCTTGTGGGACAGTTTGCTAAGATGATGGGTTGTTATGTTGTTGGAAGTGCAGGTAGCAAAGAAAAGGTATAATATAAACTCAAGATGTAAATCCATTTGTTGATGGGATTAACGGATCCAGTCCCTTGATTTGTTGAGCTTCTTTAGGTTGATCTCCTCAAGAACAAGTTTGGATTCGATGATGCATTCAACTACAAGGAAGAGCACAATCTTATTGTTGCCTTAAAGAGGTACGTACAGATTTGTTACATACACAAATCAAGAATATTAAACTAGTCGTATTTAGTATGTTCCTATTAAGAGATTCTGTTTTTTTTTCTAGGTGTTTCCCCCAAGGCATTGACATATACTTTGAGAACGTGGGAGGCAAAATGCTGGACGCAGTGATCCTAAACATGAGACCACACGGTCGTATAGCTGCATGTGGGATGATCTCGCAGTACAATCTGCAGAATCCTGAAGGCGTATACGGCCTCTCACTCATTACATACAAACGAATCCGTATTGAAGGATTTAACTGTTTTGATTACTTCCACAAATACTCAGAATTCTTGGAGTTTGTGGTTCCGTTGCTAAGTGAAGGTAAGATAACATATGTGGAGGATGTTGCTGATGGGTTGGAGAGTGCTCCTGCTGCTCTCGTTGGACTCTTTCACGGTAAGAACGTTGGGAAACAACTTGTCGCGGTTTCTCGTGATCTTGAATGAGAAATGAGAGCTGTTCCGTAAGTGATAGTAATAATTGTTGTGTGCGAAGCTGTATTTGTATGTATGTTGAAAATTAGTGAAGTTTACGTGTTGGTTTATTCTGAATCAAGAGATCCGGATGGCTCGAATTGGCATTATGTAATAATTTGTGCAAATTATGAATAAATAAACTTGTGCAAATGCTAACTAGTTTTGTTCTTCGATAGAATAAGCAAGAACTCGTTCAAACTTGAAGTGATCATCGCGCAAACTTAGCTTTTTAATTTATGGAATTGAAACCAGTAACATATCGTCGAACATCTTAAACGCATTCCGTTTTCAGCATAACTATGTTTACTCAATGATAGTGTCAGAAACAGAAACATTTGAAACAAGACTGAGCTTTGATTTTTGCGGTTTGTTCAATCGATTTTCTGATTACCTCCTGAATTCTACAGCAAAAACAATCCAATCTACGAATAATGTGTAGTGTAAGTAAAACAAATACTCTCACTCTCTGTCGCCTGTTTTCTTACATTCTGATTTTGTCGTATCAGAGACCTCATATACGGATTCATTTGTCGAATTCCCAAATGACTCCTCCATCTTCTTTGACTTTTTTGTTGATCCAAGCTTCAATAACCATGCCAGCACCGATCCCACCAAGGATGAAACTTCCGTAGTAGGCAAGAGCCCTCGGCCATGGCTTTCGCGGGAGGAAGTAAGCTTCGTATTTCTCTTCAAGTCCCCTCGGCATTTGTTTCCTCGCTCTCGTCACCGTTTTCACACCACCACTATTACCATTTGGCTTCTTCGTCTTCTTCTCATTCTCACTCCCCCACTCTTCTCCTCCTTTCCATGGATCCTTCGCTTCTTCACTTGCCATTTTGTTTGGATCACCCAACGAGACAAGAGAGAGACGAATTGCCCTCTGAAATCTCAATTTCAGTCAAATGATGTGATCTAGATGGTGCGAATTAGGGCAGTCTCACCGCCTCTTCAGAAATTTCAGGCCTCAATCAAACCTCCTCTAGGCCCACTAAAGCCCATTTTAGACCCAGTTAGTTTGTTCTGAGGACATGAAAACTCTCACTCGCATATCCGGCGCGTTAAAGCCACTTATTCTTCTGCTCTTTCGTTGGCTTATTCTATCACTTTGGTAAGAAGACACACACTTCGTTGAACAAAGCTGAAGTTCTTCCGCAGTATCTGGTTCGAATCTGTCACAATTTCTCGTTTCTCTTGTATCACTTTTGCAGATCGAGGTTTTATCTTCTTTTTTTTCTTCTTTCTGGCAGTATCTATCAATATTTGTTCGCTTACTAGAATCCGACTGTAGTAGATTGAGCAATAGTTAGGCATGGAATCAGAATTGATACTCCATGAAGGTGGGTGCCATTGCGGTAAAATCAAATGGAGAGTCAAAGCGTCGACAAGTGTAGTTGCTTGGAGCTGCAACTGCACTGATTGTTCTATGAGAGGCAATGTTCATTTCATTGTTCCTTCAAGCAACTTCGAGCTTCTTGATGATTCCAAACACTTCATTACTACTTACACTTTTGGGACTCGCACGGCCAAGCATACTTTCTGCAAGGTCTGTGGGATCACATCCTTTTATATCCCCAGGTCTAACCCCGATGGAGTCGCTGTCTCGGTTAAGTGTGTCAAGTCAGGGACACTGGATCACGTTGAGGTTAAAAGCTATGATGGTCAGAACTGGGAAATGTCGCACAAAAAGACTGGTATTGCCTCATTTTCCAAAGAGTGATATGATAAGATCAACTCAAGATTGTAGTGGTCAAGAAAAAAAGAATCTGATGCAGTCTTCGAAATCTCACCTTTACAATCACAGGGAGAAACAATTTGGAAAACTAGAAAAGCTTTTTTGCCTAAACCCTTTTGAGAATAATGCTCAGGGTATTGAGTTTTGAGTTCAAATCTACACCTGTAGATACCTGTGTTCATGATAAGTTTATATGATTTCATTTCTTGCTACCTGTGTCGGTTCCAGCTAGTTTTTTTCTCTGTTGATGCTCCGCGACTTTGTAATCAATGACCTCTCTGAAACGCTCTGCGTCCAATAAGCAGTTTGCGCTTCCATACACAGCCGCTTGAACGCTTGCCATCAATTTTGCGATTTCTCTACCCGAAAACCCTTTTGTTTTGGCAGCAGCTTCCTTCAGGAGATCCTCGGTAATGCCTTTTATCTCAATCTTCTGCTGCTCTTTTTTGAAAAGGCGTTGGAGCAAACCCGGTTTTTTTAGATTAGCCTTAGATATGTACTTGTCTAGGTAGAGGTTTAGAAGCTTGAGGCGCTCTTCTTCTCCAGGCAAGGGAAACTCAAGAGTCTCATCGATACGGTCAGACACTGCAGAGTCTAGATCACCAGGTCTGTTTGTGGCAAGCGCGAGGACTATATCTTTGGACTGGTCACCCGTGCGAAAGAGAAGTGCATTTAGTGCACTTCTTTGGGCTTCGCTCATGTATGTTTTGTTCCTCCTGTCAGATTTGCAACCAAAAGACACATTCATAACTATAACCCATGAGTTAAATTAAATTATTATCAGCATCAGATTTAGGACTTACTCGCACAGAAATGCGTCTGCTTCATCGATGAAGAGCAACAAGCCTCTCTTAGATTTTTTGGACCAATCAAACAGTTGGTGTATCTTTGTAACAGCCTGAGCTCCAAGTGGAGCAACATCTCCACCCGTCATCAACGCATAATCTAGACCCTAAAAAGGTACCAAACCAAGGAAGAGTGATTATCTAAGTAACAAGCCTGAGATTCTGCAATTTTAATGCCCATGAGTAACCTAAAACTAAGATCTCAATTTCAAGAATACTTGATATAATAATTATAATTTATAAGCATTAGAAACGGAGAGAAGACATACAGATTTACGAGCCAGCTCTCGGGCAGCCATTGTCTTCCCTGTACCTGGTGGACCGTAGAAAAGCATATTTCGGAAAGGTGCTTGGTGAACTTTTGTGTTGGCAGTTGCATTAGCTAGCTGTTCAATTCTCCTCATAAGAGGAGGATGCAAAATAACATCACCAAACCCTTCTCCATTTTTGGATGTAGACTCCTTAGCACCACCCCGCAACGTTGAAAAAGCACGAGAAACCGAACCAGACCAAGGGTACTTTCCTCTCGATGATTCTCTAATTAGAGAAGGTTGCCCTAATACTCTATCCACGTAGCTCCAGATAACCTTGGCACCTTCTCTGCAACAAGCAATCTATATGATGACTAAGTTCTCAACCATTAACAACTAGAAGTCATGGCTGGATTTTTTTATCAACCATTCTTATCTTTACCTCGTTGTGTAGATCCCAGCTGCAAGAGCGGTGAGACCTCCAACAGCAACAACCAACTTATTTTGATCCGTTAGAATGGTACGCAAGCCCCCTAGGAAAGTGGGTAAGAAGAGTTAATCATTTATTGAAAAGGTAATCACAAAAGTATTGCTTAGGAAATCCCAAAAGAAGGAAAAAACACCTATAGGTGGAGAAGGTCACACATATTATACTAACAAGTTACTTATCAGACTCTAATATTGTCATGTAGTGAGTAATTAATTAACTAGTCAAAACGCTAAGGTAAATCTGTCATAGAGAAGTTTCCACAACAAATAAACAAAACGATAGAGATATATAATATTTATCACTGATTTCATACCTCCGATATGATCGAATGTAGTATTTATGGCAGAAACCCATTTCTCTCTTTCTGCATTTGCACGATCAACAAGCATTCTCCTGTTTACATCTTCAGAAAGCTTTGATTCTCGGGCTCTTCCTTCAGCTTCTGCCATAGCTTTAACCCTGATTGTCTCACGTTCAATCTCAGCTTTCTCCCTCTCTGTTTCTCGTCTCTGTGCTTGAATCTCCTCCTCCGTAGCTCGTCGAGCTACTTCCCTCCTAATTGCTGATTCTTCTTGCATTTTCACAAGTTCTTGATTTCTTGTTCTCTGGGCCTCATTCTCAGCCTGTAACACGACACACATTATAAGTTGTCAGAGATAATAGGAGTTGTCAGACACACATTATAAACAACAATAAAACATAGTTGTAAAATCGCATGCCTGCATCCTTTTTCTTGCTAACTCATCTTCATAGCGGGCCATCTGTGATTTCGTTTGTGCTTGGTGCTGAGCTAGTTTCTTCTGTTCCTCGTATATCACCCTTTGCCTCTCCTGTGAAATAGAAAATGTCAGGAACATACCTTTGTAACTAAGAATCTTCAAAGTAAAATAATGAATGATGCAGCAAACCAACAACAATTGATTTAGTTACAACGCAGCTGCAAAGTCAGTTTTGGTAGGTAACCAGAGAATTTTAAGAGCATACCAACAACTTGAAAGTAACTATAACATATATGATATATTTGTCTAGAGAAAGACTAAGTAGGTACAACCTAATCAAACAATGTAGTCAAAATGTCGTGACAACGAACTTAAATAGTAAGTTGAACTCACAGCTTCAGCTTGGGATTGCAAAGCTTTAAACTCTTGCGCCTTAGCAGTAAACTCAGCTTGCCTCGTCTCTTCTTGTGTCTTAATACTCTCAAATACCTACCAGAAACCAAAAATTCATCAAGTGTAAGGCCAAGCATAGCTAACAGGCACATAAGAATAACACTTTTGAACACCCATCCCAGAATCCTAGAGCAGAAAACTCTTAAGCTCAAACCTACCTTCCATAAGCTTCATCATACAAATTACAACCACCTAGCAAAAATTCTCATTCCCAAGCCTTATAAACAGCTCTTATCTACTTGGAAATCTTTAGTCAGATCTATGTATGTATAGCCTCTACAAATGACAGCATCGGTTATTTCTGAAGACCTTTTTGGCATGAGCTGAGTTGTTTATCCCCTTCAAGGCCTTAGCTCCACGCTCCAACGCTTCAGGATCAAATCCAGCCGAAGTCGTTCTCGGATTATTGTTCCGAACCCGTGGAGGAGCATCAGATTCTTCGCCAGTAACAGACGGCTCTTTCCCAGATTCCGAGGCCGGCGGAGTAGAACCTTGCTGCTGAGGAATCGAAGTAGACGGGGAAGTTGAGAAGCCAGAGAAGGTGAAAGGTCCATCGGCAGCGGCGAATTTCGATGGGGCGAGAGAAGCGGAGGCAGCTAGGGCTGAGATCACACCCATCACACATTTCTGAGCCATTTGTTCCTGAAGCAGAATCTACAAGGGATAGAGAAATAAAGACTAGAGTTCTTCCTGGTTTTTTAAAAATGGTGTAAATGATGATTTAAGAGTAAGAGATTGGCTTGATGAACAAGAAATTTCAAGCCATAGAAATGGAGGCAGAGAAAATTTGTCCAGGGTTTTGGTAGGGTTTTTTTCTCTGCCCAAGGAAGGAAAATCAAGATTTTAGATCTTGGGTCGGTTTTACCCATTCTGGTTGTTTGACCCGATAACCCGACTCGTTTTGTGGCCTCTTCACAAAATTCGTTCTATAATTTTGTTTCTTGTTTTTTTAAGTATTACCTTTTTAAGTAATAAATGTTTTTTATATAACTTAGGAAATATTTATTTCAATCAGTCGATACGGATGAAATTTTGTTTAACAGGTATTATGAAGGAAATTTAAAAATTAATAAGTCATATTTGAATCGATTGTTACAATATAAAGTTAGCCATTTTTTGTTTGTTGCTTTCTTTTACATGTATATAAACTATAAGTTATATAGAGAGAGCACTACTATATATCACACGTAACTAGGGGTTACCCGCGCCATGTTCAGTGTTGAAGTTCACATGCCGATCACACCAAATAATAACCCGGGAATAAAAATAACGAGTAAATTCCAGATTTGGATGCTAGGAGAATCTGATTTTGGTAGGGGAGTCGTACTGCTGGCTGGAGGAGGAGCGGTAAGTGTATAATCAGGACGAGTGCTATTGTGATCATTATTGTGATCTGTATTGTTATGACTGTTGTGGTCACTACTGTTGTGACTGCTAGGACAAGAAATGACGGGTGAAGTATGATTATTTCGTTGAGAATCATCATCGATGCTACTTGGAGATTGCAGTATGCCGTCGATTCCATGACATTTGATAGAGCCTAAGCTACAAATGTCGCGGCTTATAATCTTGACATTGTTGAGAAAGTAGTTTGATCTCCCACCGTTGGAGATCTCGAGGGAGTAATGCGGTAAAGAGGAAGGAACCATGGAGCCGTTCGGGATGAGGTTGAGGTGCTCGAAAAGAAGAGGAGAAGGGATCGAGTGGCGAAGCAAGAACTCGGAAACCGAATCTTGTTGAACAATGTTTGATCCGGAAAGTGTTTTGTCCTTTGGCATCAAGAATGTGACGTTGGCTAAGAATCGAGGGTTTACGGCTTGTAACATGTTAATGAGCATCACAAAAGAGAAGTAGTTAGCTTTCTCCATTTCTTCGATAGCGATAGAAAGCTCATGGTTGTTTCGCACATGAGGACTCTTTTGGGCTCTTGTTGAATATGATGTTACGATGATGACTAGCATGCACAAGGTTTTCACATGAGTTTGAATCGCTCTCATATTTTTTTGGAAAAGAATCTTTCTTGTTTCTTTTGGTGGGGTATTTTTGGTGATTATATTGGTGGTACACTTAGATATAACCTCTCAATTCTCATAGCTAGTTATGTGAATAATATTGGTAGGTGATAGATAAGGTGTAGCTTAGGACATGCGTGTGTTGTTTTCCACCAAATTATATGGTCATGAGGACATGGTATCCGCATGGTGAGCGAGTTTGTAGATAGTTTGTTCAGCTTGTATAATTGTGATAATTCCTGTTGATAATACTATAAATCGCTAGAACATAACTTTTTTATTTATTTATTTCTAATATATTTTTGCTGTGTCATTTGAAAATAAAACTATATTTACCAATAGTCTACTACTCTATATGAGTTTACTAACAAGGAACAATTTTATAATTTTTGGTTAATATGGTGAAGTTTTTGTTGTTGTGAGATCTATCAAACGACATGCTTCCAATCTCAAACACGTAATATTCTTGCTCGAACAGTATTCACGTACGAGAAATAGACAATGATTCACATTCCCACATGGTCGTCACGTGGAGTCATGGAGATTGAAGACACGTCTAAAGAATTATCCTGACTATTAAATTTGTCAATAATGTAATTCCATAATTTCCATTAAATAAAACTATATTGTATGAATACTTAGACCCTATCATGCTTCATAGCTTGCATCGTGAGTACGACTTTTTCTATATGTGAATTATTCTTTTCATGTTATTACAATTTTTGTTTTGTTTACGACTTTTATGGTTTAGTTTGCTTTCAATTAGATATGATCAGTCCACCTTATCTTGTTCAATGAACTAGATAAAGCTCGTTTTGTACAACTTTTTGGGTATATTTTTTAGTTTAGTCAAGAGACCAAGTTCCTTCATTGATCAAATTACAAGAAAGTAATAGAAAAGTTGCCTCGTTACATAAAAGATAAAACAAATGTAATGAGCAAAACATCCATGTCATAAATGATAACAACGAGAGAACCAAAAAAACAAAACAAAAATAAAGACAACAAAAGAAACTAAGTTCACTGGTTCAAATTATATTTAGCCGATCTCTGTCCTAACATGAGTCCCATATCATCATCACAGGACAGAAGAAACGAGAACACAAAAAATCTAATAAAGGAATGAGTGATTTAATACAACAAAGGAGACGAGTTTTGTTTGTTTGTTTGTAATTCTTGAGAAGAAAGAACTCAACCTATCATGGAAAACTGAAGTTCCCTCCGATTTCAGTATTACCAGCCGGAGGGTTAATGGCGACCCAAAGAAGAGAAATGGTAATGGCCACAAGACCAGACCACACATACACAATCGTTGGTGTCCTTCCTCTTCTTCCCATTAGACCTTTAGCAAATGGATAAAGATGTGCCAACACCCAAAAACTGAAGAACACTCCTCCAATCAGTTTACTCCACTGAGGAACGACACTGTAAATCGTCCTGCTGAATCCAACCGCAATCGCAATCAAATTCACCATAATGATAGTAATGGGAGGGATCATAAGTGAAGTCCATTTCACCATGTACAAATCAGCAAACTCGTCGTCTATATCATCCCCTCCTGATTTACTAGTGAGTGTGAAAGAGATTTCAACTCCAGCTACGACTTTGAGCAAACCTTGAAGAACAGCTGCGAGATGAGCGCTTGTTCCACCAATGAGCCAAAACTGTTCGTTTCTCCACCATTCCTCCAGTGAGATCCCAGACCATTTGATCTCTAGGAGGGCGAGTAAGCAGAGAGTGATGGAGATGATGAGAAGGTAGACTAGGAAAGTGACGTTGAGCGTCTGGACTATGAACTGACCAGAGAAGAGGGAGAGCGCAGGAAGGAAACAGTAGACAATGAGGAATATCGATGTGAACGGGTAGATACCGACGTTTAAGTAGGCAATTCTCTGGAGTATTTTCATTTTCGAGCTTGCGAGAAGAGCGTTGTTACGGGAGAAGAAGATCTCAACCGAGCCAGTAGCCCAACGGAGAACCTGGTGAAGCCTATCCGTCAAGTTAATTGGAGCTGTACCACGGAAAGCATCCCGTTTCGTCACACAGTACACTGATTTCCAGCCTCGGTTATGCATTCTATAACCCGTGACAACATCTTCGGTGACTGACCCGTAAATCCATCCGATACGTGATCCCCACTCGGTTTTATCCTCGTACCAGCAAGAGATAACAGCAATGGCTTCTGCTACAGTCGATGCATCAAGCAGCTCTCGCGGAATGGTGAGTGCACCGGGTGGGCGCCCATTTTTAACTGCTGGGTGGTCCGCGAGAGGCCGGCCTTGGAACTCAGCTACTGGGATTGAATCAATGAGGAATGTCGAGTTACCGAATTTCTTCGGGACTAGAGCTAGATTCATCTCTTCGTCATCGTAATCACTCATACGCAAAGCTCGATTTTCTTCAGGAACAGTCTTCTTCTTGCTACGAGGGAAACAGCAACAACAACTCCAGCAACTGGGGGAATGGTCTTTCGATCGAGGTGGATTGAATCCATAAAGCGCGATTCTTCGGAAGAGACAACCAGTTCCAACATAAACCGGACCCATAAGCCCATCAAGAGCTCTCATGTTGACATCAAAGAAGACAGTATTGTGATTAGCATATCGATCCGATGGGTCAATACCTTCAAACCGCTGTGGAAACTGAACGTAGCAAAGCCGATCCCCGCCTCTATCCATCATGAAGCACATACCTTCTCTCAGTGCCTCCGAGTTGTATATGTAATGATCACAGTCAAGATTGAGTATGAATGGTCCATTCGACATAATTGCAGAAGCTCTGACTAAAGCGTTCATGGCTCCAGCTTTCTTGTTATGATCATAACCAGGTCGCTTCTCACGAGAAACATAGACGAGGAGTGGGAGTCGAATATCCACGTCAGTAAGATCAAGATACCCTTCAGATCCTCCGTGTAATGGCTCATCACTCGGTGGCTTCAACATCACCTGCATTGATCAATAATATGCAAAAACAAAGTGAGATACTGAGTAAAATGATAATACATATCTTGAATCTATGGTTATTCCATGTACTTTGAAAACTTCAAAGAAAACAGAAAGGGCTTTCGAGATCGACTTATACCTGAATGATACCAGCGTGGTCGCCTTTGGCATGATCACTTGCAGAAGTCAACCAAGTTCCTGGCCAGTGAGTACCATCAGCCATCCATGTAGCTTTTGGAATCTTCACGGGCTCTAAAGGCTCATCATCCCTGTTCTGCCTCTGCATCTTCATGGCTTTAATCTCTTCTCTGGCATGATAAGCATCAGAACGGCGCCTGATCGAATCAGGCAAGCTGTTAATCCTGACTTTGAACTCATCGAACTCACGCTTAACCCGTCTACGATCCTTCACGAAATCAGACTTCACTTTGTTCTTGTAAGGATCTCTCTTTAAGCTAAAGTAGGAGTCTGGATTCCTCGGCTCGATCATATGTTTACGACAGAAAGGAACCCAAATGTTTGCAAAGCTCGCAGCTTCAGCCATGGCTTCAAAGGTAAGAAGCGCCCCTCCATCATCAGATACATAGCAAGAAAGCTTCTCAACCGGATATTCCGCAGCTAGAATTGATAAAATGGTATTAGCAGTGACCAGAGGAGGTTCTTTCTCGGGATCCGCGGTAGAGACAAACACGTCAAATCCAGGAAGGTCAGATTTCCCGGTCGGGTTGCTGGCTGTCGGCGTTTCAAACTTTTCCTTCAGGACTTGCAGATCGGTAGCACGGTTAATCGGGCATAGCTTAGGGAGCTGATCAAGAAGCCAAGAAAGGGCGAACCAAAGCTCACAAACCACAGACATTCCCCATAACCATATAGCGTCTTGGTTTTGATGTTTAATCCTCCAAGTCAAGAACAATGCAAGAACGACTATACGGATTAATATCAATAGCCTGCAAAAACAAAAAAGGAAAACATCTTAGAGACTTGGATTAAGTAAAGTTAAACAATGAAACAATACACTTCTCCTTTATACCTGTATGGACTAATAACAGCAGCAGGAATTTTCAGCTTCCGAGTAAGTGGTCTCCATGGTTTGCTCATCAAATCTTGCGGCTCCATACCCTCACCATCTCCATCTCCATCCTTACCGCTCCCGAAATTTCCGTCCTTTGTCCAAAAAGCATTCCCATAACCATAAGTTCCACTTGTCTCAAACAACCACCTATTGTGATCAAAATCTCCAGTTTGACTCCTCATCAAAGCTGATTTATTAGTTGACTTCATCAACGACAATCTTCTCTCCATCTTCGACCCACCACCCGAAGGCAGCATAGGTCTTTGCTGACCGTTATCATCAGCCTGATCAGACAAATCCGTGTTCTTGTACGGTTCCTTACACCCGGGGCAAATCCCACCGCCGGTTTTGACCGCATCTACGAAGCAATCCCTACAGATTTTAAAGTCACATTCACAAGGAAGAAGATCTTGACCTCTCTCATCGCTCATAACCTTAGCATCACAGCCAGGGATCGCGCAAGAAGATCCTTTAGCGCCAGCCATTTGTGGATGGCTAGTCTCTGTCTCAATCACTTTGTCCATAAGGTGAGCCCTTGTAGCGCTGTTAAAACCGCCAGTGAACATGGAGTTAGAGACATATTGCTCTTCAACTTTCTGAGAAATGGAAGGGTCCATTGGCTGGTTATCTGGAGTTGGAGGAATGTGAACTGTATAGTTCATGAAATCTTGACTGCCCAACTCGCTATCAAGATCGTCTCTCGAGTAACTAACATAGCGACCAGAGGACGTTCTTCGAGCAAATGTGACTGAAGAAGAAGGAACAGGTGGCCTTCCAGGTTCCTGAATATCAGAGTTGTTTGATAGATTTGATCGACTCTTACTGAAACGGTTATTAGATGCCATTGTTGTTGATCTACCTCGGTAGATCCCTGAAGAAACAGATGCAATCAAGTCAGCAAAAGAAGAAACAAAGACATCTAAATGCTCATAATTTAGCAGAGGTCTTTAAACTTAATTGGCAATCAAAACATCAACAAAGAAAACAGATCAATCCATGGATCTAGTAAAGGCTTTCGATCAACGACAAGCTCATAATTAAACTCCACACAAATGAAAATAAGAAAGGTAACAATCATTGCATTTTAGAATATTTCAAATCCGAAAAAACCAAACTAGAACAAAAAGGTATCACCTTTAAAGGTATCACAAGACGACTAGTACCCCCTAAAACAAAGTTTCAAACTTTCAAATTCGAGAATATCTCGAAAACAACACACATCTTTTTCTCAGCAATTCAAAACCAAAAGAGAGAGAGAAAGAAGAGGACGAGCTTTTGACACTTAGACAAAAAGAGACAATCCCACCACAACGAACTTAATAGGAAAACAACATTTTAAAACCAACGATTTGCTGACAATACCTTAAGAGGCCCGTGACCGTGACAGAGGAAGGAAGAGAGAAGAAGAAACTCAGATCTTTGGGTTATAGTTTATAACAATACTTGATAGAAGAAGATCTTCTTTTTAACAAATCTGTGTGAAGAATTCAACGCGGTCGTGTCGTGCCACCCAACTGGATATTATGAGGCATTTGATAAATTGAGAAGCGATAGTGAAAGGGGAGAGAGAGAGGGAAGAAGAAGAAGAGGAGAAAAGGACTTAGTCGTGAGCAAATACTTAAGCACTCCTGCTAACCAATACACGTTATGATAGCGACGATTTACCCCAACCCAATTATATATATATATATATTCAAAGATCTTAGATTATATAAATATAAAACAAAGAAACTTTAATTTTGTAGAATAGATATGAGAAACAAAGAGAGACAGAAGATCTCAGCTCGATTTTGATTTAAATGACTGAAAGTAGAAAAGGTTAAGACGCGGCGAGATAGCGAAGACGAAGGTGGAACACCGCCGGGAAAACAAGTGGACGGAGCAGACCTTTTTTTTTTTTTCCTTAATAAAGCGAATTGTTTTTGACTGTGTTTTTTTAATATTTCGGACAAGGTAATAAAGTAAGAACGGCTCCTTTAATTTTACTGGTGGGATTATTATTATTCTTTCTTTACTTTATCTTTTGACGCGCTTGACGTTTTTCATTATTTCCAATTTTTATTTTGTTCTTTCTTTCTATATTGAATAGTGATTCCCAAAAATTTACTTACTATATAAAGATCACTCTATTTCCTTAGATCACGATTTTATTGACCTACGTTCAATTTCTAATGAGCAAAGAAAAAAAAAAAATCCAAGTTTAAAATATAAATTCGCTTTTCTTTGGTGGTTTTAAACAATGTTGGATTTACTAAATCATCTTTTAATGATGGAAGAATTTGTTGTGATTAATTAATAATCTACCAATTCTCTTATTTTGTGTTTCAAAAAAAAAAAGCCTTTTTTCTTTTAATTTTGACTTTCTATCCAACCACCTTTTGTATTTTTATTTTACGGTACCTTTGTATTTTTTTGTCAAAGTGTGTAGAGTTTAAAATATGTGTTTATTAATTAGTTTAGTTTTTTTTTTTCCGTATAAGTTACTAAAAAGTTGTGGGGGGGGGGGGAATACAAATTTTCTACTGAAGAGACCTCAGATATTTTCCAATTTCAAGTTCTAAACTACATAAAAGAAAATGATAAAATATGGAAAAAAAGTAAAAAAAGAAGAATGTCGTAGGGAGACGTTATTTTCGGTACTCAAAATTCAAAAACGTGTAAAGCACACAGAAAGAGACGATGAGCCTACTTTCGGGAATTTCATATTAAGGAAAAGGAAATACGCGGTCGCATGAGTATACCATACATATTTTTCAGACATTTTTTTTCTTCTTCTTACCTATGATACTAATGCCATGTTATACTATATACATTTGGGATTTATGAGATAACGTGTGTACGTAGCATTGGTCAAAAATGTCAATATTTCATATTTAAGGTCATATGTCATAACTACTACTAACCACGAATTATTCTCACTATCGTTATTAAACAATTACACAAAACATACACGTATACGTAATGTCCCTGTCGACATGTAGTACTAAAATTTGTTTTCATTTTTAAAGATTTATGTGATGAATTTAATATCCATGTTCTATATAAATAGAATCACCTCTCAGACCAAAAGTTTCTCCGGATAATCTTCTGGCGGATCGAATCAGAAAACATTTGTTCAAAGTGATTTTTATATATCCTGCCCTCAAAGTTATTATAGTTCGTTCATTCTTTAACCACAAATTACGAAGGTTATAGTATCAGCATACGTTATATAAAATTGGTAAACAAAATGGTGAAAAGTTATTTGGATAGTCACTCAACAGCATATATAACTGGGTCAGAGTGATAGGTCTTAAGACAAGAGAGGACTGAAAGAATTCGAAGCTGTAGAGTTGGGTCTCCAGCAATCGCATCTGCAAACACTCCTAGATCCTTTCACGACCCGCTGTGACCTCCTCGTGTGAAGCTTGATACTCACCAGCTTTCCAGCCATCTGCCATTGCAACAATATCATCAAAATTTTCTGCATCTTAGCTTTATGCATTGCAGTAAGTTCTACACCATCGAATAAGTGTGATCAAAGGCAAATACTAGATTCACCTTGTATTAGTCCTTGACAACAACAAAGTGAAGTTTTTATCTACTACTCTCTTTTTGCACAATATCAATACTAATTTAGTTACACCATGCTCAGATACTATTATTGCTTTTGGTTTTTTCATATTATGTATAATGTATTTCAGTTTTGGTAGGTACATACCATTCTCCATGTCAAGTCCTCTGGACCTAATGGCTGAGCAGGGCTCGAATATAAGAAATGCCGCGAGTACTGGAAAAGTTGAAAACAACCATATTACTTAATATAAATAAAGATCCTCTGCACGCGAGAGGCTGTTCGGCCCTTCCGTGTAAGACAAACTATGAAACTAGGTAAGTATCATTTCTTTGCAAAATCAAAGTTTTTTAAAAGAAGGAAAAGTAAGTGCATACTTGAGCAAGGTTTTTCTGCAAATCCTTGATTTGGAAGGGCTTAAGGCTTCTCAGATGATTTAAAAGCCATCCTGGCTGTATTGCGTCATTGGAAGAAACAAGCACAGCAGCCTGAGATGAAAAGCAAAAGCAAAAATAAAAGAGAGCAAAGAGTCATACAAACTTTGCTTCATGTATAAACTAGTTTAGACAAAAATGATTGAAATTTAGAGCACCAGTGTCACAGGTTTTCTGACATACCTTCTTGTAATTCAGTATTCCTTCAAAAGGAAATTCTAACTCGTCACTGACTATAACAGGTATACAGCCACTGACAATGGCATCAAACAACCTCGCCGAAGATGGTGTGTCACCAGCAGGACACAAACAGAATAAAGAGCTGACAGAAGGTAGACTTAATTAGAAAAATAAGTTGAAATTAAACAAATATTGTATTACAACTAAATGGGCCAGGAAGTAACCCAGAATATACCTACGCATGCCACCTTGAGCTGCCAATTTTCCTCCCTCTCCAGCAGTCCCCTCAGAAATGATAACATCCTTGACACCACTTAGTTCTGCACCTAGTTTGGCACGTATTTTACCTCCCTAATAATATAATTTCAGCAACCAAATCGTCAGACACAGAATTTAGAGACAAGGCAAAGAATGACTGAGAGCTTTCGCAGTATAATAAGGTATACCAATTATTCTTCATATAACAAAAGAAGTATACCAACTATTATGGGAAATGAAATTTCTAAAAGTCACAGACAAAGACAAATGGCAAGAGCATTTGGTGTAACTTATAAAGTAATAGAATTAGAAGTGGCATGATTCTCACAGCATTCCTCTTCAACCGCCCTCGGAAAAAAAGGAATGTGGTCCTCATTGGTGCACTTTCTGACAAGCACTTGGCATCACAAATATCAACATTGGGAACATAAGGAAGAATTAGGTCTTTCTCGAGTGAAACTTGCCCAGGCTTATACCTACCACGTAAGTTCAAACAGAATCAACAAAGTATAGCTAAAGCAGACTACATGACTCATAATCAGTTACAGAAAGAAATCTAGAGTCACCAATTCCCAGTGGAGTCCATATCAGGTAAAAGCCAGATTGCCTTTTTCACAAATTTGCGGACTGACTTGAAAGACCAGGGATGGTGAATGGGAAATATGTGATCCCTTCCCTCCGACCTCTTCCAAGCAGGCTGATCTGTAACCCACTTCAAAGCTTCCTGAAGTTGGAAAAAAGGTGAGACAATGTTACTAATAACATATGAGATTCCAACTAACATATCTCCTACGGGGCAAGTATAACCTGTACCATCTAAACGCAAATAGAGAGCAGCTTCAAAAAAATTTACATGCTATAGACTAACTGGATCTCCTAAATCCCCTAGTAAAACAAATTGGCATCACCTTTTGCAATGGATGTGGTACATTTTACAGACAGCATCTAACAGGATACCAATTCAGACAATCTTACAAATTTCCTTTGCTAAACACCCGAGGTAAAAGTTTGGGGATATTTAAAACACACGTTTAAAGTGTTAAACCAGCTTTTGATCCTTTTCAAAGAAAGCACATGAAGATGTAAAATTGAAAACTGAATCTAATGCTAGATAATATATATATATATATAATCAAAGCTCACTCACACCCTATAGAGTGCTTTGCATTGCTGCTTCTCCAACAAGAAGAAGCTGATCGTAGTGAAAAAAGGAACATAGAAAAAGTCCGCGTCCTGCTGCTTATGTACTCTCACGACACTTTTCAAACGCCTTTCGGATTCAGGAGAGATCAGATCAGCCCAGAGCCAATAGTCAATAGAATGCTGCAACGTAGAAAAATTAGGCAAATTACTAAAGATATAAGTGAAGGAGAAGGGAACAGTTGAACAAAACAACAAAGCCTGATCACGATTCTCGCTTAAAATGGCTTAAATTTAATTCAACCGTTCCACAAAAAGTACCAATGGCACAGATGAATACAACAAGAGATCTAACAATCAACCAAATGATTCAATTAAGCTTCTTCTAGTACCTGTTCTATGAGGCGATGCACAGGGCTGCCATTAGAGGTAGCATTCGACGTTTCTTTGTAAGTATTGTGAAATAACCAGAGAAGATCGAGAGTGAACTTCTTCGGCATCTCGTAAACGTAAACCTTAATCGGAATTCCGACAGGATATCCCGGATCTTCGTTCAACCAACGATTTTCTCTCTCAATTACCATCTCATCGAGCTTCCTCGTATCATCTTCACTCTCGCCACGAACCGTGTCGTCTCTAACCGGTGAAGTGAGCTTCGGCGCCTTATGGATTAAGAAATGCTCAAGCGAGGCAACGAAGGACGTCTCCGGCCGGTCCGACGAGTTGAGATAGGATACGGAGGGTTGGGTGGAGGAAGAGAAGGTGAAAAGGATGACGAGAAGAGAGACGACGAAGAGGGATATGATGAGGATTAGGGTTTTGGATCTGGTTCTGGGGGAAGTAGCACGATGATGATGATTTTGCTGTTTTCCAAACATCGTGAGATCTGATTCTTCGATCCGAATTCGATTACAAATTTCTGTTAGTCATTTGGGTTTTTATTGCTTTCTTTAGTGTTAAGTGTGGAAAGTGACGATTGACGAAGCGCTACACATAACAGCGTTTGCGTCTGCGATTGTAAACACTAAACGCTTAATTGCATAGCCTTCCTTTTTACATACAGTGCATACTAAAATGACAGTACGTTACTGCCAAAAACAATGCATTAACCCAACTGGTTATAGTAATGTTGTTTGCGGTTAGAGTAGAAAAGGAGCCAAAATGAGTTGAAAAGGAAACCAATAGTTAAACACAGTGAGAAGATTTCAAATCTTTTGTGTCCATAACAAATCTCCTCTATAAACCCATCACACAAGTCAAAGAGATCTCCAAACACAGATTACTTACACTGACAATCTGTTCATTCATACTACCAATTAAACACCAAATCCATAAAAGAGTTATTATTTCGCCTTTAAAAACACCATCTCAGAATCGAATGAGATCATCATTTTTAGACGAAGACTTCTCCTTTTTCGGGTCATGATCAGCATTTGTCGAAGAATCACCGCCACTTTTCTTACCGAATATCATCTCATCAAGATCATCCATCATGTCATCCCCGCTACCACCTCCATGAAACCCACCACGAACACCAGAAGATTTTCTAACCAGAGATTCTTCCTTTGCATGAACCGGAGATTCATCGGGCTCTTCGGCAACAGGAATCATGGCTGGCTCATGTGCGGTTAGTGGTGCAGAGGGTCTGTTCATCTCCTCATACTTAGACAGCGTTTTCACTAGCTCGTCGTTCACATTTAAGGCTTCAAATAGAAGTGCTTCATCTTCACCTGCTGTTTCAATGATTCTTTGGACAGTGGTTTGAGATTGACGACATTGTTGTACAAGTGTTGTTGTCAAGTCATCCTACAAAATTAGGGAGATAATGAAAATATCGCAGATATCCCGTGTTATCCAGTTTTATATTAGATAATAGGAAATAGTGCCTAATACTTCCGAGTTGATTTACCTGTAGAGCATCTTGTTGAGGCGAAGAGGACAGAACCGTGGAAAGAAGTTCAATGCTGTTTCTTGCTATATCGAAAGCTTCCTTTGTCTGCTCAGCGGTAAAGCTTCGTACAGGAGCATCATACTGAATATGTGCAGGCTCATGCACATGCTGAGGAATATCAGCATTTACTTCTGGTGCTGGAGTTGACCGTGCAGGAGTGAAAATAGGTGCCAAGCTCTCGTTGTCTCGTCCAGGGAAGCGAATACCTCTTGCTTTCAAGCTCTATGATATAGCAACAAAACCATAAGACAAAAACATTAAGACCTGATCATAATGAATTCTGACATCAGACCTCACAGTTTTTCATTTTTCAATCAATTCCTGCAACAAGTTAGTAGATTGAGTCAATTCAATGAAACAACAGTAATTTTTATCTGTTTTATTCAAAACCCATATGCTTGACCTTACATTTCCGAGGGCAAGAAATATCAAAAAGTAAGGCCAAACCACTTCAACTTAAGATAGCGTCATCTTCAATAAAATAGTGTAAATGAAACCTGTATGGTAGAATTCAGCAGTATTGCAGTAGTTGGTAACAGGTCATAGTTACCTTATAAGTTTCTTCAAAAACTGGTAGGTAGCGGAGTTCACTGGTTGATTCTCCCCAAGCTTCAATCAGTATCAAAGCTTTGTTTCGATTATTCACAACTGTCTGTGGGTCTTCAATCAGCTTTACCATTTCATCAAGGACTCTTTCTGCTGCCACCTCCGAAAAGGCCTTCTCGCAGTTCTTAACACACGTCTCCAGTAAAACCAAGGCAAGGTATTGAATTCTCGGCTGCTTCATCATTATCCTCTTCTTTATTCCACGGATCAACTCAACGCTATTAATTGTCTCTTGGTTGATCATATCACATATTTCCAAATTCATATCCCAGTCAGGTTCCTCTAGATTCTCTGTAGTAGCATCCTCGACTATTTTATCAGTTGGGTTTGGACCTTGAAAAAGTTCCTTAACTTTGAAGCTCATTGAGCTCACACCAGCACTGATCTTGTTGCTAACTTCTGAACCTCCGATCTTTAGGCGCTCACCAAATGCGGTAACTTTGTCCATAAGATTGTCACTCATTTTTGCTGATACTCAAAGCTGTAAATAAAACATGTCAGCCTAGTCATGCCCAGAAGCTGGAACTGTACATACAGAATATGACAGAAAATAAGTTGGAACATAAAATTATTCATATTTGTATCATTAATACTAAACGACAACGAACTAGAAAGGAACTGTTTGTTTTATACTCATACAAAGGATCCTTCAGAATTCAAACATGAATCTGCAAAGGATGCCTCCAGTATTCATTTGTAAGGGATCACAACTAACAGTCAGAAAACAATCAATAATTTTAAAGAGATTCACCCCATAACCAAATACACAAAAAGGTCCAAATCTGAGAATCATGGACTGCACTATGTAATGAAAGAAGAATCATGAACCTAAGGTAAACATTGATTTCTCATTATAGTCTATGTCAATACAGCTATCCAAGTTCGTTGAAGGGACTATGAACTATATACTTTTGTCGGAATGAAATTTTGCAAGCTTATAGCTATTGAAATAATTAAGCATATCTATTAGCCTTTTTCCAGATACTCCTGTATAAGTTAGGAATTAAGGATTAAGATGCAAAGGCATGTGTGAAGTACTGCTAAGCACTGAAACCTAAAAATTCCAAGATCAAACCAAGAATTTTGACATCTCTGTACACTGGTGAAAAATCCTGACTCAGAATTTTCAAAAAAGTGCTTCTGATATCATCCTCAATCTCTAGCACCAAATCGAATAACATACACATATCAAAAACACATATCTTCTTTACTAAGACCCCAGATCAAAAAACTACATACATGATCCATCTCAGGCTTTCACATACACACAATCTCTTGATCATACAAAAAAATTCTTGATCGATCAAAATAAATTAAGGAAAAATCAGACAAGGTTTAACCAAAAAAACTAAAACAGGTTTCTAAAGACGAATCTAATTAGGGCTTGCTAAGAAAAATCCGAATTCGATATTACAAGATCGAAATCCAAAAGAAAATAGAAAAATTCCACTGATCAGCAAAAACCCCATGAGGAAAACACAGTTCATCATAAAATCGAAAAACCCACAGAAGTAGAGCGATCAACATGGAACAACAGTACACCAAAAGAAGCGAAACCGCAAGTAAATTTAAACATTTCTACCTTGTGATATGCCACAAAGAGATGGTAAGCTCGACTAACAAAGCTGAATATGCTCGATCTCTGGTAAAACGAATGGAGACTTTAGAGAGGAAAACTTGTGACAAGGTCAATTCCCGTTGACGCCCTACTGTACATATATTTTCTGAAGAAGAACAAAACTGCGTTTCTGCTTTTCAGTTTGTTTGTCCGCGGGAATAACTTTATCCTGACTGTGTTTCCCTCCTTTTACGCTAACATTATTGTCAAAAAGATATGCTTTTTATATTTCCTTTTCTTAATATCTATATACTTTAAAATAAGAAAAATTCTTCTAAGCCAATCACGAACCAAAATAATCGATATAAAATACAAATGGGTTTTAATATTTAATTTATTGTTATGTGGATTTTTTAATAATTTATACGAAACCATTAAACTAATTTAGCTTAATGGAATGCATTAATTAAGTTAGTTCTAGCTTTTTTTTTTCTTAACCTGTAAAATTTTCACGCTGGGTTGTAAAAAAAAAAAAACTGCATTATCAGAGCCGTTTCGAACTCGTAAGCTTCTTCGATTCTTTTCTACAAATTTTTGATAATCCTAAATCTTTGTTATCTTTATATACTGTAGAAACCTGACCCAGATTGAGTTGAATTGATCGCTGTGAATTGGAAAACGCTTAATTTCAATTGAATCAGTTCACTCATTCACTTTTGTGTCTTTCTGGTTTTTGTATAGGATTTATGGATTTAACGTGGTTGAGTGCTCTGATAGTTGGAGCTGCACTTGGATTCTGCATTGGCACTCGCCGTTCCAAACCTGTTGTTGCTGTTGCTGCTGCTGTTGATGGGGATACCAAAACTCAATCCAAGGGTCAACTCGAGATCGAGAAACTCGCTGATATACTCGATGATTTCAAAATGGTTCTTTCTTTTACTACATTTCTCTCTCTGTCTGTTTTTACTTTAATTGAAACACAAGTTTTTGTATAATTGACTTTGTTTTCTGTTTTGTCTGCTCACTTTCAGGTTTTGGTTGTGAGGAACGATCTTAAAATGGGCAAAGGAAAGATTGCAGCTCAGTGCAGGTGACTGTAACTAATCATTGCTCTCTGCTTTCTCTTTAGTGTTTAATTCATCTTTAGAATTTTTAATATTTTTGGGGTGTACTTGTGCTGATTATTTTGCTTTTGGTTTGCAATTTTGCAGTCATGCCACTTTAGGATTGTATAAAAAGCTCCTTCGTCGAGCTCCAAAAGCATTGGACTGGTATTTCTCTTTAGTCATAATCAAATTATTTTGTTGCTTATGGATTGAAATAGATAGTATTGGTTGCTATTGCAGCTGGGAGGAGTGTGCACAGCCAAAAGTGGTTGTTAAAATCGAGGACGAGGATGAGATGCTAGAATTGCAAGTGAGTTTACTACAATAAATTAGTTGTTACTTTGAAGTGGATTATGTGATTGAAATCTATATTGGGAACCACCGTTTTAGTGTTGTTGCCAAACTGATCTTCAAGGGATATGTTGGAGTTGCCACTTGCCAGATGATAGTTTCTACATATATCATACCATCTACATGAATTTAAGGGGATTTTGAGATTTTGTAGAGCCGATTTTGAATCTTCTCATTTCTTAGATCTTGTATTGACTGTTCACAAAATTTCCAGGAAAGGGCAAAATCCCTTAAACTGCCTACCCACATCACCATCGATGCTGGAAGAACGCAGATCGCCCCAAGTGAGTTTTATGTTTATTCCCTTTACAAATATCAAATCCCTTGGTGCATTTAACTTTGATAGCTATTTAATTTATAGGGATAAATCTCTCTTGACCCGATCTTCTTTAGTTAGTATTTAGGAGCATTTTCTGCAAAAATGTGAATCTAATACATGTCTATGTTCTTTTTCAGATTCAAGGACAGTTATGGCTATTCTTGGTAAGTTGTTATCTTGTATTCATGTTATTTGTTTGAAAGTTAACTCTGATGGACAAAAGATGAGTTTGAGCGTTGGTGCAAATCACAAACCCATTTACCCTACATGTATTAGCTTATTAGTTCAAAACCCCTCTGACCACATGGTGCTTGTCCTTGAACCTGAATGGAACTATAGCTCATAAGAATCCAAAATATGAAATTGTAAGCTCAAAATTTGACTGAGGTCGTATAGTGTTGAATGGTATCCAAATTCATATGCATTGTTCTTTGATGGAGAATTTAGAGTTTTCTAGTAGAATTTGTTTATTGGTTGGTTATCATCAGCTTTTCTTAGCATATCATTCTAACACTTAAGAGGTGTTACTTCCGCAGGACCAGTCGAAGTTGTTGATGAAGTAACAGGTGGACTAAAGCTTCTGTAACAGCTTCACATTTTAATGTGACTTGTCTTCAACCCGATCTCCCAGATGGACCAAGCAGAAGCAAGAACATGACTTCCACCTTCTCACTTTGCCCGGGGTTATCTGTGAGAAAATTTTAGTTGTTACGTTTACTCTCATTCCTGATGATGATGAAATATCCCATTATTGAACATTTTGGACATTTAGAACTTGCCACTCCAGGACCAGATTGAGTTGACCAATGGTGATATCAATTTTTTTGCTGGCTTTGTATAACAGGTATCAAAAGCTCGAGCCTTTTTCGGCACATTGAGAAAATGGCTTTGTTCTAAATATTTATGGGAGTGTTGGTTATACAAACATGACAAATGCAAAAAAGAAATCTTGTTTTATTATGAATAAACCAATGATATGGAGAGTGATTCTATATTCTCCACCACAAATAAAGAAGAAGGCTATTTATCTACAAAATTTCTTTAAATTATACAATCTACATGAGGTCTTTTAACACAGTGCTTATGATCGTTTTCTTTGTCGGTTAACAAGAGATCGTTCTTGAAATCTGCAGTAACCATGTGAAACCCTGTATGCACGGTTCGGCTCAGCTTGCTTTCACAACCTGCATGATGTTGGAGACCCATTCAGGTAATATGAAATTGCAATGAGAAATCAAACATCAAACAGATATAGGGAGGCAACTAGAGGAAGTAAATGAGAACCTGTTTGGTGATTGCTTTCTGGCTGTGTACCTATCTGCCAAGCTTAGTGTTACGACATTGGTATTGATCTGTTGTTGACGGATGCAAGTATAAAACTGATATTCTGCTGTTTGTGGGATGCTTTAATAATTACTAACTTGATATCCTCAGAACAGAAAGCCTGGATCGAAACTATTGTTTCTGTCTCAGTGAATAATAAACAGACCTCTTACGATCGTGCTGTTTAGTGGAGTACGTAGAGAAATTATCACTACCAGAAACCTTTGCAGGAACACAGCCCATTCTTGAAATGATGAAAGCGGCTAGAGTCCCTCAATATAATCTCATGATCAATGATTCTGGACATGTATGTGAATGCCGTATGGCAATCACCACATACCCGTAAATTCTTAGTAATTCTGATAGCAGCACCTTGAGGAGTTGTTAAGATACCGTATGCAAGAGCTAACTTCTCACTGTGCTCGAAAAGAAGATCATCTTTCTCTTCATCGTCTACATCGTGAAGAGCAAAGCCTGTTTCAGGTACATAACCAATGTCCTTGATACGTTGCATATAATCTGAGAGGACCTCGTATATTTCCTGAGTGTATGGATGAGTCTTATCACCCACGAAAAACGTAGTAGTTCCTTTCGCTCCTTCGACCCAACTACAGCCAGGTCTTTTTTTAATGCCTTTATGTCTCATTAGTGATCTGATCCTAGCCACATCCTTCCAACGACTTGCATTTGCATATAAATTTGAGAGTAATGTATATGATCCATCGTTATTAGATGCTAATTCTGTTATTTTTTTAGCGGCATACTCCCCAAGTTCAACTTCTCCGTGGATTCTACAGCAACTGAGCAAAGCAACCCATACCACAGGAGGAGGCTCCATCGGCATTTCTTCAATGAGATGCAACGCTGCATTTAACCGGCCAACACGACCTAACAAGTCAACCAAACATGCATAATGCTCCGGGCCAGGACAAACCCCAAAATCAGTTTTCATTCTATTGAAATACTCCATGCCTTGATCTATCATTCCTGAATGACTGCAAGCATACAGTACAACAAGTAATGTAACACCATCAAGCTTAAAACCTATTCTCCTCATCTCATCAAAGATTCCAAGAGCTTCTTTTCCATAGCCATGCATACCGTAACCTGTCATTAGAGATGTCCAACTAACTTCATTTCTGTCCATCATGTTGTCAAATACAAGCCGGGCATCACCGATATCTCCACATTTTGCATACATATCTATTAGGCAGTTTGATACGAACAGCGGTACTGCATTCTGCTGGTTGCGCAATGCATAAGCATGAATTTGCTTGCCAATTCTCAGTGCAGCTAAACTGGCACATGCCACAAGGGCACATGATATGGTAAAAGCATTTGGTCTTGTTTGGTAATCTTGCTCGAACATCTTAGAGAAAAGTTTGAGAGCTTTATTTGCATCCCCATGTTGGGAGTATCCACCGATCATTACAGTCCAACTTACAACATCCCTATCCTTGGGGGGAAGAGAATCAAACATAGCACGCGCAACATCAACCTTTTTGCATTTAGCGTACATGTCCATCAGTTGGTTGATGACCATATTATCATCACCATGACCATTTTTACGCAAGTCTATAGGATATTTGATGGCATAACAATGAATCTCTTTACCATGCATCAATGCTCCAACAGAAGCACAACCTGAAAGAACTGAAATAAGCGTAACTTCATTTGGTTTTATCCCGGAAGATAACATCTGCCTACACACACCCAATGCTTCATATCCAAGCCCCCGTTGAGCATACCCTGAAATTGCAGCACTCCAAGTAACAACATCCATATTTATCTTTTCTTCCTGCATCTTCTCGAATAACCTAACGGCATCATCAAATCTTCCAATCTGTGAAAACCCAGCAACCATGGCATTCCAGGACACTACATCCTTTACTGACATGTTCGAAAACACTGTGTTTGCCTCATCCATCATCCCGCACTTCGCATACATATCCACCAAACAGTTCCCTACGAACATATTTTGTATTATCTCACTTGTGGTAGCAAAACCGTGCAACTGCTTCCCTAGTGAATGAGCTCCAATGGAAGCACAAGGAGGGAGAACATTCACAAAGGTAATATGATCTGGTCTGAATCCAAACTCGTTGGTCATCTTGCTAAACAATTCAAGCGCCACCTTAGGTTTGCCTAACTTTGCATAACTTTCTATTATAGAGTTCCAAGATACAACATCCCAAACAGACATTTCGTCGAACACCTTCCGAGCATCACCCAATGAACCACAACGGTAATACATAGCAACAAGCGCATTCCCCACGAAGACATTGGACATAAATCCAGTCACCAACGAAAGCCCGTGAGCAGAGACTCCACAAATAACGGAGGAGATCTCTCCGCAAGCCTTGAAGACGAAGGGGAATGTGTAATTATCCGGGGTCCATGACAGAGAATGCATAAGACGGAATAAAGAGATACATTCACTGGCGCGGCCATTCTCGCCGTGGAAGCGAATGAGAGAATTCCAATGGTAGACACCTGAATCGGAAGGTGGGAAGCGACAGAGTAGTGATACAGCAGAAGATGAGCAACCGAGGGAGATGTAGGTGGAGATCAGGTGGGAAGTAATATTCAAAGTTAGGATTCTGAAGGAGAGAAGTTTCTGGTGAATGAGTTTAACTTGGGAAATGGTCTTGCATTTGTGAATAAACGGCGGTGTTATCTCCGGCAGCGACGTGGAGAAGAGACAGACTTTAATGGATTGGTGAGATTTCGCGGCGGCGTTGGGGATGAGAAGGCGGCGGATCATACTAGAGTTACTTACTAGTGGCGGGTGATTTTTGAGTTTAAACTAAACAAATTTAATTCGGTTCGGTTCGACCGTGTTCGAAATTTAAAACCAAAGTATTTTCGGTTCGGTATTATAATCCGGTTTTCGAGTAGAGATTAGAAGAAAAGAAAGTAACGGGAACCGGATGTGAACAAAATATAATAGACCGATTGAATTTTAAGCCAACCGCAACCGGTTCCCATTACTTTCTTCTAATCTCTATCTATATTCCCAAACAGCATTTGAAAATTTTCAAAAATTTCAAAATCTAGAAAGCAGTAAATCGCAGTGTGTAGTTCCGAGAACCCAGACCTTTAATCTCCCGCCTCTTTCACACCATCAGACTCCATTATCGAAGCTCGTTCGCTCTTCTCTCTCTCTCCCTCTCGGAAGGTGAAATGCCGCGTAAACCTAAACATCGTGTACCGGAGATTCTATGGAGGTTATTCGGAAAAGGAGCCAGGAATTTAAAGGAGGCGATAGTAGATCTGATTCCTGATCGAAATATCCAGCCGGAAAATTGCCTGTGCAGGGGAAAAGGCTGTATCGGTTGCAGCAGCAATAAACCGGCGTTTCTGTTGCATTCCGATGATCCTATTCACTACCGTAAACTTCTTCACCGGTGTTTCGTTGTAATACACGAACAAACCCCTCCGCTTCTGGATTTCTCGCCGACATCTTGGTGGACACAGCGAGAGGTATGATTCTGCTCCACATTGATTAAACTATGCATTGCTTTGACGTTGAGACACATGTATTTTTATCAATTTGTATGATGTTGCTGATTTTTAAACATATTTTGCTTCAATTAAGTTTTTCAGATTGTTGAAAGAATTATTGAAATCAAGCAATCTGGGTGTGATTGCCAAAATGTGATATGTGCCAGGTATGACAAGGTGAACGCTTCTTCTACTTCTTCTGTCACTTGTGAATTTCTTTGTCCCCTGTTGTGACTCCTGTGTGTTGCTGATTTTCTTGGAATGCCTAATAGTTTCTCTTCCTGTTCATCTGTTTGACAGTATGATCAGTCGAGCTCTATTTTGGAGTTATTGACAAATTCATCTTGGCAGTTCCTTCTCAACCGGGTTTGTTGTCAAACCTTTTCATGATTTACTTTCAAATTTACTATTTTCCCGGTTGCTAAAAAATTACGTTCCCTTGTTTGTAGGTCGGTCATAATTTCATGGTATATCTTCTTCAGCAAACATCAATATTCTTACCATTATTAGGAAGAAAACACCAGCAAGTGTCTGGACCTCCTCTATGTATCAAGCAAAAGGGTAAGTCTGATTGTTCTCTTTTGAAGCTTCCACTTGTTACTTATCTGAATACGTTATGATTTTTATCTTTGCAATTTTCTTGGCTATCTATTATCTTTGGTAAAGTGTGCATTCTCCATTGGTGTAGAGGCATTGTCATCCTATGAAACCAAAAGAAAGAGGGATGACAACCAGCCTGATGACAACGTACAGCCATCAAAGAAAAAGCAGCGGCTTTCTTCTGCTGTCAATGACTGTCTTAGGGATGACTCTGCAGCTGTTACGCCCATAGTTGGCAAGGATGTAATTACACATAGAGAGAAAAAACCTAGTAAGCGTTCAAGATTGTATCTTAAGCGTAGGCGAAAGCAGGGAAAGGTCAATTCCCAGAAAGATGATTGTGATGCACCATGTATAACTTCTTGTACAAATGCTAATACTTCCACTGGGAATGAAGCTGATAAAAGGAATTTGCACATACGTGTAAATGGGGGTCTCACTAACTTCGCAAAGCAGGTAATTTTTCGTAAAAATGATTTGTGCAATCAAGTTATAGTTGAAAAATCACAAGTTTAAGTACAAATTTATTGCTTTTGAGTTTATTAAGAGACCAGTATAAGTTTCTCTTGATTTTCCCCAGCTTTGAAAGATTGATAGGGTGGGTTTTTTTATTTTTTTTTACTTAATGCATTTTACAGACCGTAGCATCTATCTTGTTGGTATTAGTAGTTATAATATTCTTCCTGGCACGTCATTACCTTCAAATTTGAAACCTGTTATTACGTATGGAAGATTTAATCACTGTGTTTTGTAGGCTAAACAAGTTAAAAGAAAGAAGCATTTTGAGTTTGGCAACTCAGAGACGTTTTCAGTTCTACCCCCAAATCGTATCCTTCATTGGAACATGTTCAGTGACTTGTAGCAGCGTTAGCTTAATTGAAATTTTATGTGTCTCTTCTCCATACAATTTTTCTGCACCGAGTCTGATTCCTTATGATATACAGACATTTTTAAAACTTTGAGGCCCAACTGCTCTGATTCAAAGTTCCTAATGAATCATATATTTGGTGAAGTAAACGCTTGGTCAATGGCGCCATCTCATGGCAAAGGCAATTGTCCTAGTGGATCTATTTGCTTGTAAGTCTTGCATTTATCCCCATAGGTTCTGTAACTCTTTATACCTTAAATCCGTGAAAACGTTCTTGTTTTCTTAGAGTATATATTGAGGAGTCAAAACCGGCTTGCAGGATACTAAGTTGCTTTTCAATTGTCTGAATAGGAAATGTTAACTAGATCCTATTTTATTTTGGTTTAGGTCAACACAAAAGTTTACCTAACTGGGATCATTTATATTATTCCAAAATGTTCTAATGTTTAAAGAAAACTAAAGTTATTCTGAAACTTGGAGCATGTATACAGATAATGGTAGTCTGAGTTGACTTGAAGAACGACAACGTTTTATTAGCTTTGTTGATTTAACTGATGCAGGGAAGTAAAATAATATCACGATTCTTTTTCCATTATTCTGCAGATACCATTCATTGCTCAAGTCTCTTAAAAGACTAATAGGAAAAGCAAAGTCCTCACACTTGAAAGTGTTACTTGATAAACATTGTCCAGTTGTCTTCCTACAAGAAGATGCATTGAAGTCTGCAAGTGCGGCTTTACAGGTTGATATATTTCCTTCAGAGACTGTTTCATATCAAACTTTGAATAATGTCTGGGAAGTTTTATTATGAACAACAGATTGAAACTAGAAAGTGAAAATCAACACAGTTGCTACTTGCTAGACTTGCATATATAATCCCCAAACCTGAATAAGAATTCGTATTTGTGGCACTTCCAACTGATCTTTGGATTGAAAAACCTTATATATCTTCTATTACAGAGTTCCTGGAGGCAAAGTTCAGATGAGCTGCCTCATGGATCAAGTTCAGAAAAGGGTAATACCAATCGTCCCAGTGTCGACGAATCGAAATTGTATTGCACGAAAGACCAAGTAGTTTCCTTTATTTGGGCCATATTTAGGTACATTGTTCCAGAAAGTTTGCTTGGGGATACTCATCAGATGAGGGTGCTAAGGCGAAACATAGCCTGGTTTGTTTCTAGGCGACGAAATGAGAAATGCACAGTGAAACAATTTTTGCATAAAGTGAAATCATCAGATTTCCCATTCTTCACCAGAAAACAGTTATGCTGTATTGTCAATGGACATGAACTCCAAGATGAGTCCATCAGAAGTACACAGCAGAGATTGTGCACGAAATGGATTTCTTGGCTTTTCTTGGAGATTGTCAAGAAATTGGTGTTCTTCAACTTCTATGCCACTGAGAGCCAAGGAGGGCGGCTTAACATTTATTATTACCGGAAAAACAGCTGGGAAAGGTTAATAAGCAAAGAAATTGGCGAAACCCTTGATGGATATGTCCAAGTGGACAGTGCTGAAGCTCAAGGTAGATTGAAGAAGCAGGGGTTATCGAATTTTAGAATTTTACCAAAGGCAAACGGTGCAAGGATGGTTTTAGATTTTAGTTCCTCGTCAAGGTTGCGATCTCTTCGCGATACACATGCCGTGTTGAAGGACATCCAGCTCAAAGAACCAGATGTTCTTGGGTCTTCTGTTTTTGACCATGATGATTTCTACAGAAACCTATGCCCATATCTGATCAGTTTGAGGAGTCAATCAGGAGAACTTCCTCCTTTGTTCTTTGTGGTTGCTGATGTAGTCAAAGCATTTGATTCAATCGACCAGGGAAAACTGCTTCATGTCATTCAAAGTTTCCTGAAAGATGAATACGTCTTAAATAAATGTAGGTTGGTCTGCTGTGGGAAGAGATCCAATTGGGTAAACACTATACTAGTCTCAAGTGATAACAATGCTAGCTTTCCAAGATTCACATCAACTGTTCCATATAATGCTCAACAAAGTATTATGGTTGATCAGGTATGTTTTTTTACTTTTTAACCTGAAACTATTTTACCTTTTTAGAATGATTAATATGATTAAGTAGAACAAGAGTTCCAGGTCATGGCGTAGCATTGTCATTGTGTCGATGGGTTCACTTTGGATTGTGTTGCCTTTTAAATTATTGATTGATCTTAAAAGACATACTTCGGTGTTTTATCTTTGCTTGATTAAAGAGGATAATAGGTTCAGGACGGTAAATGCTGACAAACTCTAGAGATCCCTTATTCTGTACTTATTTTCTTAAACTTTTTTAAAATTTGGGTCCAATTGTTTAGGGAGAAAGCCATCTAGTGAGGAAAAAGGATCTCATGATTTGGATAGGATATATGCTAAAGAACAACATGCTGCTGTTGGATAAAAGATACTATGTACAAATGTCTGGAATACCTCAGGGACACAGACTGTCATCCTTGTTATGTTGTTTTTACTACGGGCATCTCGAGAGGACTTTAATCTACCCGTTCCTTGAGGAAGCCTCTAGAGATACGTCTGCTAAAGAATGCAATAAAGAGAGCGATCTGATCAGTCCCACGAGCTATAAGTTACTGAGATTTATTGATGACTACCTGTTTGTGTCTACCTCAAGAGATCAGGCGACTAGCTTCTATCATAGGTTGAAACATGGATTTAAAGATTACAACTGCTTCATGAACGAAAAAAAGTACTGCATAAATTTTGAAGATGGAGAAGAGGCTAGGTGTTCTTCTAGCAGGATGTATGTGGATGATAATGGAATTCCTTTTGTCAGATGGACGGGTTTGCTTATCAATTCCCGCACATTTGAAGTGCAAGTTGACTACACAAGGTCTGCCTCATCTTTTTATTTATTTGGTCATTTTACTCATAAGTACACTTATTTAGCTATGTTTCCTTAGTCTTTACTGTCTAATAGATTGTCTGTTCGAGTCTAATTTTGTCACTCAAATTCATGGAAACAGGTACTTGAGTGGCCATATAAGTTCAACCTTTTCTGTAGCGTGGCAGAACCAACCAGTTGGCAGTCTTCGGCAAAAGTTGTTTTACTTCTTGGTTCCCAAATGTCATCCCATTCTATTTGACTCACATATCAACTCAGGGGAAATTGTCAGGTTAAACATCTATCAGATCTTTCTATTAGCTGCAATGAAGTTTCACTGTTATCTCTATGAGTTGTCCCGATTTTGGAAGCTTCATCCTCAAACTTCGTTCAAATTTGTCACAAGTTCTATCAGGTATGGAATAGAGAAAGTCTATTACTTTTGATTTCAGTTCGACTAATTTGGTTTGATTTTAGGACTGTTAAATAATTTAGTGTCCTTGTTATCCTTCCAATTCGATAGGTACATGTTCAGACTCATAAATAGAAGGATGCACCGATTCAACACAGGTTCTTGTTTCAGACCAGTTCTTAAACTATACAAAGAAGAGGTGATATGGCTTGGTTTACACGCTTATTTACAAGTTCTGAAGAAGAAAAACTCACGATACCGAATCCTCTTGATCTATTTGAAATCTGCACTTTCTAAACACCATCTTTCTCATTCTCTATCGCCGGAATTGGAGTATGCATCAGACCAGTCAAACTCTTCTTCACTTTGGAAATTGAGGTACTGATCCTTATTATCGAAGCTTATCTGAACTCGGATTATATCATTGTAATTGAAGTACCTTCTTCGAGATCAAATTTTTTAATAAATACTGAGAAACCCCGAACTTTTAAGTCTAATAATAGTAGAGAAAATCCAGGCATAGCTTTTATGTTACATCCCAAAGATTAAAACCACATTCCCAGCTTTCATATCAAAGAAACCAACCAGGAGAAACAAACGAAACAGTTTACTGGATGGATGATATTAGTTCTTTGAGTATTCAGACGAATGAATCGGAGAATACCCTTCTGGCAGTTGCGGCTGTGACTGTGACGGTTGTGGTGGTTGCTCAGCTTCGACCTTCTCTTTTGTTTTTTGTGTAACCTCTCCAGCTGCTTGAGCCACTCTGTTGAACGCTCCTGCGGCCCAACTCACACCAGTTAACACGTAACGGTTCTTCATCACAGCACTCCCTGCACTGCTCACAGTCTGTTCCGCAGCTGCATACACAGACTTGGTCCTCTCTGATACCTGAAAGTTTTGGTCCACCGCCTTGATTTTTTCATTCACCAAGCTTGTTCCAGCTGTAAGTTTTTGGCTTAGACCGATTTTTTGGTCTAGTGAAGCAACTCCTGCGGTTGCGGTTGAAGTGAAGCCATGTTTCTCATCAAAAGCTTTCGCTTTGCCGACGGCATCTTTTCCAAGAATGAAACCCCTTGCTAACATGCTGCTCACAACATCTTCTGCCTTCTGGACAACAGATTCTGCACCACCTCCACCGCTGCCCTGGGTTTCCTGATGAAATTAACACAAATTAAAACCCCTTCAGAGATTGCTGATTAGCTTCTCTATATATAAGAGTGTTGAGATGGAAACCTTGTTTGATATATCATATATGTATAAATTTAAGAGGTATATAATTATGCAAGTTAGTATGAATAATCGATTTTTTTTAATAACAAATCCTATTAACTGGAAGAAAGAAATAAAGAAAGAAAGAACAGTTTATGGGTGTATAGATACACTCAAGATGGAAGACATACAGCATGAGGGGCTTCCGGTGGACTGTAATTTGGAGCCATTTCAATGATGACTGATTGATCTGCAATACTCGCTCCCTGAGATAATATTCCTTGTTAGTATAATACGCAAATGACAAATTGAAACGAATTTTACATGTAATTCTCTGGTCCAGCCAGAGAACAGGTTCCATTAGGACTGACAAGTGAAAGTAACTCTCTTTTTCTTTCCATATAGAACAAAGGGTTAAATGCTGATGAGACCTTAACAGTTACTAAATTAACAGTCATATGTAACAGTTGGAGGTTACATTAATATATTAAGATAAGAAGAAAAAGGTTTTAGAGGAATAAAAGTGACTTAACTGATAAGAGCACAGCGGTCTCTGCTCCTTGAGGATCTTTGAATGTGACATAAGCACTATGCTCATTACTGCTGGTTACAACATGAGAAGAAAAGCAAATAAAAACTCTCAAGAGTGAAGACGATTTAAAAGAACAGTATCTAACTTTGCTGAGAAAAATCCCCGATCATTCAACTAATCCAAGAGTGAATGGACTTAAAAAAGCGTTAAAGTTCACGAGGATGAAATCAATGAACCCGAAAACTAACCTTTCAATGTCGATGCTTTCAACTTCACCAGAAAAAGAGAAAAACTCTTTTATATCATGCTCTGTAGCTCCTGAAGAGAGATTGCCAACTTTTACTGACCTTATCTGTCATCAAAAGATTATAGTAAAAAAACATTGATCAAGGGATCTCATCATACAAAATCATGTCTATTTAGAAATGACACAGAACTCGGGGGTAGATAAATATTCTAAATCAAAAAATTATGCTTCTTATAAACCCAACTGTTTTGAGAGAACAAAGAAAAATAATAGTTAGCTTAGCTGCTTCACTCGATGTAGCTCTATCGTCATCTTTCACAAATTAGACCCAAAAAACTTCACAAATAAGCAAGTTCCCCAACAAAAGTGCGCACAGGAATCAAATCATCTAAGTCTAAATAACGATTTTCCGAGAAGTATCGAGAGTTACATACACAGATCACACAATCAATCCGATTCCAGAAACAATAAAGACGAATTAAAACTACAAAAATAATCAAACTCGTCAAAAATAGCATCGAAGATACATGTCGGCATGTCCACAATAATAAACATACCACAGATCATCCGAAACTTCTGAAGCAGAAATCAAAATCAATTTAAACAAATCGTTCCAATCATCAGAACAAAATTTCCCGAGAAACGAAATATGACATCAAAATCTGGCAGCAGAGGAAAGGGATTACAAATTTATGCGCAAAAAAGAAAAAAAAAAAGATAAATTCAGAACAACATACCGCCATGGATTTGGATCTTCGTAGTTGCAGAGAGATTTGTTATTTCTTTATTGATATCTAAACGCAGTTCGAGATTGATGCGCAGAGGTAGAGAGAGAGAAGAGAGAGGGAAGAGTGTATTTTGCTTTATATGACACCGCACACCCAACGTGTGGGTTTGCGTTACGCCTTTAATCCTATTTTTTAGTTCTTTTTTTTTAATTTTTGTTCCCAACAAATTATATTTTTCCCACTTTATTCATTTATTGACCTTTATCTTGTTTCAGCCCAACTCTTCTTCTCTTTTCTCCTTTTGCTAGCCCAATAACTAACCCATTAATGTGGCCCAAAACCAATCATCTAATAAGCCTGCTTGGTACAATGTATTCGGAAAGAAGGGAAGGTCAAGTGGTCAACCATGACAGCGCAGGATCCTTCCCTCGCAATGACGTGGCGGCGCCAAAATAATTTAGTTACGTAATAATTTAATTCCCTTGACCACCATGTTCACGCCACGCGAACCACATGAGATTAAAAATTATTTTATAGTTTCATACAAATTATATACAAAAATCAAACAATAAATTTGGGGAAAAACTTGTTAAATCTACCTAACTCATTTCCATCGTCTTCGTCTAACCTTGTTGGTTCTTCCCCCAAAGAGAGAGAGAGATTTTTGAGATATTCGATCGTGAAGATGAGTTTTCAAGATCTTGAAGCTGGTTCTCGATTTCAAGCGCCGAATCATTTTGCCGGCGGGAGGCAACAGAGACCTTCGTCTAGTGGGAATCCATCTCAGGAGGTCGCAGCTGGGATTTTTAGGGTCAGCACGGCTGTTGGTTCTTTCGGTCGTCTCGTTAATCACATCGGAACGCCTAAAGATACTTTTGAATTGCGTGAGAAGCTGTTAGTAGCCATTTTATTAATCTCACTCTTCTTTTGTTTGTTAAATCTCTTTTGAGTTAATTAGGGTTTTGGTTTCAAATTATTCGATTTGATTTTTGCTCTCAATTATATTTTTAGGGTTTTCTAATTGTTTTTGAGACTGATCCTGTATTATTTTTCCTTACCTGAGAAAACATTTGAGATGGCTCATCTATGTTGATAAAACTTAAACCTTTGTTTAATGCCTAGATAAACAATGAGCTTGATTGGATTTTTTTTCGTATGTCTGTATTGAGCTGTTGCTATTTGGGTTAGTTTCATCTACTTGTTCCACAAATTTTCGTAATGTGTTAGGTTCGTCTGTTTGCAGGCAAAAGACAAGGTTACAGATAACAGACTTGGTGAAAAATACATCATCTAAACTGAAAGAAGCCAGTGAAGCCGACCTTCATGGAGCAGCTAGTGTAAGAATGCTTTCATTTTTTGTTTCCTTCTCCTACAAATGCTATGAAATGTTAGATGTGTGTAAGAGAACATTTTCTATCGAACCATTTTTTCACGATGGCACCATGGGATCTTGGTTAAATTTTTTTATTCATTTAGTAGGAGAATTGGTTGCCTGATAGATGATGTGTGTAAGACCTGTTTATTTGAAACATAACTCCTAATTCTTTGTTATACTTACATTTGCTCGCTTTACTTTTGCAGCCAATTAAGAAGATTGCTGATGCTAAACTGGCAAAAGATTTCCAATTTGTTCTTAAAGAATATCAGAAAGCTCAGAGACTTGCAGCTGAAAGAGAAATAACATATACTCCTGTGGTTACAAAAGAAATACCTACCAGGTAATCACTTTGACCAGTTATGGTTTCAATACCTGTTGAAAAACAGAAGATCATGGTCATTGAATGAATCTCAGTTGTTTCCTATATGAGGGAAACAAACAAGTTCCCTATATTATATACTCATATTCTTGTTGTTTATATAGCTTGGTTAATAATGTAGGATTAACTTTTGAACGTTTAGAAAACTTTCATTTTATGATTGTTTCTGATATTTTGGAATGTGAGTCTCACTTACACTTGCGTCATTGTTATGCCCTTCCATGCAGCTATAATGCACAGGAACTCGATACTGAATTTTTGAGAACCTCAGAGCAGCAAACTCTTCTTCAACAATCAAGAAGGTGAGGACTACTATCTGATTATATACGCCATTTTCCTTTGCTAATTCACTTGAGCATTTGTTAGCATAAGCAGAACCGAAACGTGACTCAAGCAATCAAATGTGCTCTTACACCTGTGTTTTGATTATTTAAACCTTCTTTCACTTTTCCTTTGTTCCTTCAGGAGATACATAACTGATTATCAAAGTTGTGCTTTACATTTTGTCATTTACTGTAGCCTGAATTGTTGATAGAAGCTTAATTAATTAAGAAGTTGGTTATGACCATGAAACCCAGTGAGAAATACATCTCTTGTTTATGGGCATTTTACGTTTCTCATATTTTGGAGCTAGGTGATATTTTTACAAACTTCTAATATTCTCATCCCAGGCAAGAAGTGGTGTTTTTAGATAATGAGATAACATTCAATGAAGCAATTATTGAGGAAAGAGAGCAAGGAATTAGAGAAATTCAAGAACAGATTGGTGAAGTAAATGAGATATTCAAAGATCTTGCTGTTTTAGTGAACGATCAAGGAATTATAATCGGTACGTAACCTTAACAATCACATTTTGTAGATCTCCTCCTTGTTTTCTTTTTGCCTCTTCAAAATCTCAGAAACCCTATAATGTGTTTTGGCAGATGACGTCAGCTCTTACATTGATAACTCACATGCTGCAACTACACAAGCAACTGCTCAACTCAGACAAGCAGCAAAAACTCAAAGATCAAACTCATCTTTGGTACGCTAAGGAGACTCTTCCCAATCTTTCTACTCTGTGATTTCGTACTTTTTTGCGGCTAAAGCTAACTCTGATATCTTTTATACTGTTGCAGACATGCCTACTTATTCTCATTTTTGGGATTGTGCTACTCATAGTGGTTATCGTCGTCTTGGTCTAACCATCAACTATCAAACTACAAGCTTCAATCTTCAAGCATCAAGTAAAGACTTATTGATGAAACTATACAAAGACCAGAAAAGAAATATATCTATTGTACAGATTCTTTATAATTGATCGTAACTTCTCATCGTGTGCATGTTTATGTATTAATCCACCGTAAGGATCTTTATGAGTAAAAGTTATTAACATGTATGTTTAATAAGCATGAACTATTCTTTCTTGGTTTTGAATCGGTAATGGGTAAGGGACCACGGAATTAACCATATCGAGATGATAATTGAATACGATGAACGTTTTCACACAAAAGTAATTTACAATAGAACCAACACAAAAGTTATTCACAAGCATGGTGGTAAATCTTTTACGTTTCTTCTTCTTTTTTTGTCTGTTAAAGTTTTGTGTGTAATGAAATGGGTACAAACACCCTCTGGTATATTCCTCCTCCTTTCATATTCCCTTTCACAACCTCACCTGAAATTTACATCAGTGAGAAACAAATGATAAATCTCAAGACCATTGCAACAATGCAGAGAAATAGATCGTGAACTTAGCTGATGTCCTTACCTTCATTTCCTCTGTGCTTCTGAGGAAAGAAGTCCCATTTGTTCAGTGAGATAATTCATTTGCTGTTGATTCCGGGTCCACTCATTTGTTGTAGGTTGTTCTTGTTCCATTACCAAGTCATTATTCTCCACTGACCCTGATAGAATCTCGTCTGTATCTCCAATCGCTTGGCTTCCATCATCAAAAAACTGTTCCCAGAATGGATCTTGGACTCCGGGCAGCTTAGAGACTCCATCCAGTAACTCATTCATCTTTCCCTCGCCTTCAGGAGAAATTGCTTCGCCTTCAAACACATCTAAAGCAGCCATTATTGGATCGAAACACTCTCCATTACCTGTCTCACATCCAACTAAATCAGATTCAGGACTCCAAGAGGCTGTAGGTACTACTCCTTGAGCCGGACTTGAACTTAAAATCGGCTGAACTAGACCAGCTTGAGGATGATGAGCCAAATATACTTCGGGTACTTGATTTGTTACTGAGTGGGATGTGTTGGGTGAAACCTCGGCCAATGTTACTCTATTTGAAGGGTTCCCATTGTCTACAGAGTTAGAACTGGGAACATCACCCAATAGAAAACTGTCAGAACTGTTTGAAACTGGTTCATACTGAGGTGTGGTACTCGTATTTAAGAACTGTCGAAGCATATTTTGTGCTGCTTCGTTTATCGATGGCTGATATTTAACAATCTGACGGTTAAGACCATCAGCCCCATGGCTTCCACAATTCTCCTGTTCATCTCCAGAAAGTCTCCTCTTTTTGTTGCTTCCAGGAATTTGTCTGCTGCCATCATTATTCTGTTGTACTAACTGGTTCAAGAAACCTGGACTTTGAACAGCCTTTGCTAAAAACGACATCATTTGTTGTTGCCTCTGTTCCATCACCTGAACTTTCTGTCCCACATTCTGCAGTTGGTTTTCAGTAACTTGTTGTTGCTGCCTTAACCTGACGAGTTCTTGCATAAGAACATTCTTATCCCGCTTAAGTCTTTCCACTTCTTCTTCTAGTCCAAACTTCCCCACCTCGACACAAGCACCAGCTGATGAGTTCCGAACTTGGGTCTGCTGCTGATTCTGCTGCACATGCGAAGATTTTCTCCTAACAATACCCTTCAGTAGTTGTTTTTGGCCTCTTAAAAACCCTTCATTTGCAAATTCCCATCGATCTGGATCAACTTTTCTGAAACCCTGGACATAAGAATACAAAGACACTATTATATAGAACGAAATGCAAAAAAATGTAGAACTGAAACGATGCGACTTTTCTTGAATTTTGGGAAAGGAGAAAGACATCATAGAGCAATGGTACGAAACATTACAAAGATGTATAAGTATATGTTATAGACCAAGAAACAGTCCAGAGTAGTTATATGTTCTAGTTATAGTATAAGTATGAGAAGGAAACAAATTCTCTGCACTGTGTCTGGCTGCAGCATAATACTACCACGTTATAAGCAAAGTAATAGTTCTTAGTTTACCAAGATGTACCTGGAGGGACATATACAAACGAAAGCAAAGCTAATAGACATTCTGTTTTTGTGATTTAGAGCTACAAGGCAGAAACATGAATGAGGAAACCAATCTTCGGACATATATGAAAGTGAGCCTGCAAAGTTCTGTGGAATGTTTTGGTGAGTAGAAATGACATAGTTTTAAAAAGATTCTCCAATACAGCCATGGGATTAATTACCATACTAAGCTTATATATAGTTTAAACCAGATAGTACATAATAATTTGCTTAGTTTTACTCGCCAAAGGTACAATTTAGATACAAAACATCTATCTAGATTGATGCCCTACAAGTTCAATTTTTCAAAATAAACCCTACAAAAAGCATCGATTAACAAATTTAAATCTGAACTAAGACTAGAACCCTTAAAACTTCACGGTTTCCATGAAATCCAGATAAAACTGATCCATTTTTTTTTTCTTTTTTTAAAGAATTTAATGGCAACAGAAACATTGACGCTTACATAAGTGTTTAACTGTCTGACAAAGCTGGAGAAATTGTTGTGCTTGAAATACTTGGGCAGGAGCACCTTCGAGAACTCAGGCACGCTCCAGACGACGAAGCTGTTATTCCCGCTGCTCCAAGACACGACCTCATTTGTCGACGGATCATCAACCATGTCGTAGGTTTTGCTCAAGAAAGGCGGCACAGAGTTCACCGGCGGCGGTATAGACGGCGAATTCGCCGATGGTACGGATTCTGGAACCGGTTCCATAACTCGAAATGAAAAAGCAAGAGCTACTTCAAGTAAATCAAACGATCAGATCAATCGATTGATCCCGAAAATTTCTTGTGTTCTTCGCGAGCTAGCTCAAACAAGACTCTCTCTAGTGTTAAAGACCTCAATCTTGATCGAAGAAAGGACTTCTCACAGGCATGGGCATTTCGGTTTGATTCACTTTGGTTCAGATTTTAAATTCGGTTACACTGTATCTGCCACCTGAATTTGGTTCGGTTAAAGTCGGTTTTCAGTTGAAAAGCACACGTAGCATCAAAAGCAGATTTTTATGTAACGCTTACATTTTTCTCGGTGAGTTTTCGTACGTGGCATATTATATACCGTCAAAATAATAAAGATTATCTATCCGGCGTTAGATTACATAATTTATATTATTTGTATTAAAAAAGCCACGTAAGACGCAGACAAAACTTTTCCTGGCTCTTATCTGAGAATCTCTCTCTCTCGTACTGACACTAGTAATTGAAAGGAATTTGAAGTGAAGCGGCGAAAACGATGAATCCGGTCGCCGTTCATCGCGTTTCTTTGGAATGCGTTTCGCGTTTCTCTTTGATCCATCGAGAATCAGGCGAAGGATTCTCCGGTCGTCGGATTGCGAATTCGCGTGGAAGGAATCGGCCGATTCGGCGGTTGCATGTGGTGACGGCGGGTTTGATCACCAGCGCTGACTCGTTCGAGGTAGGGCGGCTTATCGGAAGCTACGGATTCATGAATGTTACTAGGTACTCTCACCCGATAGTTTCTAATTTATATATCGAAATTTTGTGTAAATGTTCAAAGATGTATGTCTGAAGTCTGTAATTGCCAGAGTTTATGAAATGTATGGGTGAGGTTTGACAATGATTTGATTTGAATTTTCTGTGTATTTTCCAAACTTCACTTTCGTTAATCTCATTGAATATTGAATTTGCTTTCGTTAAATGATTATTGCGCATCTTGCTTATGTTAGATTCTGCTAAGTTTGTTGGTCTATTTTTAACTCTTATACAGTATATGGCGTCCTGTTCTACTTCGTATTCTAAAGCTTTTGCCTTTTTCTTTCACCTCTTTTATACCCCTAGTTATTCAGGTTTGCAGCCAGGACCTGACTTTGAATACACTTCTGATGATATTGGTCGATTAAAATCTCAAGATATTGGAGAAGGCGGCGTTAAGATCAGGTGCAGTTTTTGGCGTTATGTAGACAATGTATTAAACTATAGTATGTTTTGGTCAAGTTAAAAGTGTATTAGCCCCGGCAGTTGTCTGCAGACTATATGAAGGAAGAATATCTCAGGGTCCGTTTCGAGGAACACCTGTTGTCTTTAAGGTGATTCTGCATGCTTTGTCAAACTTGTTTCTTTTTCTCAGCAATCACTGTTGTTTTCCAAAGGCATTATCCATTTTTATGAATCTGGTTACATTATCCAATCCATTTAGTTTGTTCATTCTTTGTCTCACATACTCATCTCCGTAAAGGTATATCCCGGACAGCGTGCTGGTGGAGTTGAGGCTGACATGATGGCAGCAAACGAGCTTAATGCACACTCCTTTCTTCAGGTTGAATAAAGAGCCATCCAAAATTGCTAAATGGATTTGTTTGTTTACACTTCATTGGCATTAAATAGTACAATCACCTTGTTATTCTATTTATATATGCAGAGCAAAAGCCTGCCTGCTAATCTCCTTTTACTTGTTGGTGGCTTTGAGACACAATTTGGAGAACAGGTCAGGCTTACAGTTTGAGGCGCTTAAGTGTAGTATGTTGAGTCTAAGGTGCACAAGTATGTCGATATTTTACTTTATGGAACCTAGGTTGAATCGTTTTATCCATACAGTGGCTGGCATTTCGTGATGGTGGGAAAGATAGTGCAGCTGACTACGCACGAACTGCAAGTGAAAAAACATCAAGAGCTCGCTCGCAAGGAGTATGGAACCCTTATGAAAAAGAGGTGATGATGAAACGAAGGAGAAACTTTGTCATTAAAATTCTACAGGGTGCAATGAAAGGTCTAGCCTTTATGCATGCTAATGACAGGTTACACCAAAGTCTCGGGCCATCCTCTATTGTTCTCAAGTATGCCCCCCTACGAACACCTGAAAGTGATAGCACACGCACCTCTGTCTCGGTATAAGTGTATCATCTCTCTATTAATTTTGTCGATTTTTCTGAAATGATATTTAGTACACCAGCAGAACGAGAAGCCATCTATTTAATACCGAGGCTGCGAGATCTAGCCTTTTCTGTTGACATAAGGTTCCCTCACTCTCTTCCATCCCTGATTGATTATTTATACTTAGCAATTGGAGTTTTCTAATATTTCTCCATTATAGTCTTGCTGTTTATAGCTGGAACTAGCATTGTTGAGATAATGTTGGTGCTTTTTATCAACTCGCTGTTAATAGACTGAGTACACCTTTCAGGCCTTCATGCTTGGAGGAAGGAGCCACTTCTGGTGCACTGTCAGAGCAACTTTGGCGAAGGGCAACTGCTTCTGGTGCCTTTACAGTTTTTGAGAAAAGAGCTTTTGGGATTGCAGATGACATGTAATGCTTTTGCTTTCTAAGTCTTTCGCGTAATATGTTGTGAATATTGTTTGATAAACTCTTAACACATTCTTGTGGTTTACAGATATGAAGCCGGTCTTCTTTTGGCATACTTAGCCTTTGTTCCATTCTGTGAAGCAGGCGTAATGGATTCTCTATCTCTTCAGGCAAGATGTCATGTTACTGGATGCAGTTAATTTAAACAGATCTGTTTTTTTTCATCTTAACACTAATATCTCCTTATTGATCTCACAAACATATCAGCTCTCATCTTTTGTCTTCCCGAAACAGTTTCTGTTTAACCGTTATTTAATCCTATGAACTGCAGAGGCTACTAGAAAACACTTTCCGGCTGGATATCGAGGCTGTAAGAGAGTAAGCCTCTTGTTTTCTCCAGATTAACTTACATTCTGTTAAGTTATAAATGTCATTTGTTAGAAGCTTAAATAAAGCATTTTATTTAGCACCAAAGAGACGTTGTATACATTCAATCGTTTGTTCCTCCAAGTCTCCGAGTTAAAAAAACCTCACTGATGTGTTATACAGGTACTGTTTAGCCGATGAACGCCTGGAAGAAGCTGTTAAGTTTCTTGATCTTGGTGATAAAGCTGGTTGGGAATTACTCCAGGTATATAGTCCCTATGACTATCTCTGCATATATCTACATTTGGAAAGTTATGGTCCTTTGACCAATATAGTCTGTGTGTGTGGTGTTTTGGTAGGCAATGTTGAACGCTGACCATCGGAAGCGGCCAATGGCGGAAGCTGTTCTTAATCACAGATTTTTGAACGGCGTTTAATTGAGTAGAGATGAAGATTATGTATTTACATGTGTAGAATACAAACTATTAATCCTTGATCCATGTTCAGGACATGTTATAATCATAATTGTATGTCTGTGACGTGTTTCTATGTCAATATTTGGAAATAGCAGGATGATAAAAAGAAATTATCGTCATGATAATAATATGGCTCCATCTTCTCGAAGTCGAACCGATACCTGGCACTAGACTAAACCAAAGTTTTACTACAAAATAATGTCAAAGGAAAGGGAGAATAGTAGTGAAGAAGAAGCACGTGCTTGATTGTCGGAAGGCACGTGAGGTGTTGTGATCCGAAGAATGAAGCTTCGCTTTAACCCATTAACGATGTGGGGGAAACACGGCCAAGGAAGCAAAAGTCGTTTCTTCGAAAGATCAACAAAGCCCCCCAATCTTCGGATTCTGGAAACCCTAACCCACCCGGATCCGATTCAGACAGACTGGTCGGAGGCCGATTTGATCTGTAGCTGGATTTTTCCTCAAATGAAAAGTGTCGTAAATCTACAATTCCAAGTTGTTTGAGTCTTAAACATCTCGATCAAATGTCGCGGTTTCCTCGTGGATTCGTGGAGAATTCATCAATGGAGGAACCCAAAATCGCTCGTCGTCCAAGTATTTGCTTCAGGCCAATAAACCCTTGTGATTTAGAACGTTTGGAGCAAATCCATCGAGATATATTCCCTATCAGGTACAATTTTTAATTAACTTACCTTTGATATTATTATTCTAAATCTAGTTTTTGGATTTGACTTTCCCTTTTTTGGAAGTTTTATCAAAGCATTTGATTTGATTTGTTCAGGTATGAATCTGAGTTTTTTCAGAATGTTGTCAACGGAGGTGATATCGTCTCTTGGGCTGCTGTTGATCGGAGCCGCCCTGATGGTCATTCCGAGGAACTTATTGGATTTGTCACTGCCAAAATCGTGCTTGCTAGAGAAAGCGAAGTGAGTTTTCGAATATTGTCTTCCTTTCTCGTTTAGCTTTATTTTAGCTTCTGTAAACTAGGCTGCAAGGTCTTGTTCAAGTGTACATTTTGAATGTCAGAAATGGATTTTTTACGTTTTTAATTATCATTGAAGCTTGGTTTTAGTGGTTTTTGGGTTTCGTTTAGAAGCTGCACGTTCTTATCAGGTGTAGATTATGAATGTTTGAAACAGGTTTCTTATTATTGGAGAAAAAAGCTTAAAGTTGTTAATGGTTTTGAGCTATGATTGAAGCTTGTTTTGAATGGTCTTTGGATTTTGTAAAGAAGCTGCAAGGTTCTGTATAGTGTAGATTGTGAATGTTTGAAAGGGTTTCACGAGATGTATTTCTTACAAGGTTCTTGTAAATCATTACAAATTCAGCAGGTTTAAGTTTTTCATTGAAGCTTGTCTAGTCGTATGTTTACCACATGGGTTTTAACTTTTAAGCATTGTCTTCTCTTAGTTCTTCGCCTTTCGGTTTTATACTAATATTTCCTAATAATTTTGTACAGCAAGTAACAAGTTGTAAAGTTTAGATTTTCGTAATGTCCTATGTTTAAGCATGAACTGTTAAGCCACGTTCATAAGATGGGTATCTGACTAAACTTCCTAAACATCATATGGATCCATTTTTGTGACTTCTTTATTATAATTCAACTTGCTTGTTCTCAGTTCGATTAATATAACGAGTCAAGGACTATTTTTTTTTCCGTTTATGTATTGATAGTTATCTATGCCTTGCACAGATATCAGATCTAATAAGATATGACTCATCAAAGGGAGAGGAGACATTGGTGTACATCCTAACACTTGGAGTTGTAGAAACATACAGAAAACGGGGAATAGGTATTAATTATGATTCTGAACCCATGTAGTAAACCAATGACATGGATCTTTGATTCTTCTCTTATTTTGCTTGGTTTTGTTAATAATATTAAGTTCTGCAACTTTTTTATGCAGCTAAGTTACTTATTAATGAGGTCGTCAAATACGCTTCTAGTATCCCTGTGTGTCGTGGTGTTTACCTTCATGTGATTGCACACAACAATCCTGCAATTCGACTGTACAAAAGAATGTCTTTCAGATGTGTAAGGAGATTACACGGATTCTACTTAATCAATGGGCAGCATTTCGATTCTTACCTGTTTGTCTACTTTATCAACGGTTCTCGCTCTCCTTGCTCACCCTTGTATGTACAAAACACAAGTATTTTTTGCATTCTAAATTCTTTTTGCTGTGATGTTTCTTTGCGGTTTCTTCATAGATGGGGTTATCGTTGAATCATGGCTGCATTGCAGAGATCTTGCGGTGTTGGTTCTGAATTACATGAGGAGTGGAATCAAAACAGTCGCATCAAAGCTGACGATTAACCATGAAGATAAAGGCTCGAAATGGCTTAAATGCAAAGATAACACGCGGTGTCTCTTACCCACTCAAACCAAACGAAACCTTGCATCCGAAAGAGTATCATCCGGGTACGATTATGTTTAGTGTCGTCGGTCTCCAATTCGTAGACTCTGTAAAATCATTCATATCAATGTCTTCCATTAAGGTTATGATCCTCTTGTGTGTGCTGTGTAGAATAATAATGTAATAAAAATGTAAATATTTTGTGATAGTTGAAGACACTTTTCTTTGGGAGAGGGTTTCAAATTCAAACCACTGAAAAGTCTTTATACATTAGTTATAGCTTTGTTGAAAAATAGCTTTGTGCTTTGTAGCGAAAACTAGGATAAGCTCATATGTGTATTACTTAAATTACAAATACAATACCCTAACTTTCTTCTTTAGAAACCGGATTCGTCTTCATCATGAACACCTTCGCTTTGGCTCTAATTGGGTCTATCCAGCTATTTTACATGACATAGAGTTAACAAGAGATGTTTGAACAAATTACAAACCAGACCAAATTTGAACTGAACTGGAAATCTGCTATTCTAAAAATCGAAATGAGTTTTTAAAAAACATCTAGATGGGGTGGGTAATACTTCTTTTAAGTTTATCCGAAAAATCGAAATCAGTCTGAGCCAAAGCCCATATTTAACATCCTAGGTAGGAATTAACCATTTTGGAATCTCAAGACCAAAACTTTTCTAGTATATTGTAATTTTTTTTAAAAAGAACAGGGATTATCATACCAAAAAAAATGAAAGTTCAATAGAGATTAGAGAAGGGGAAAAAACAAAAACGAGCAAATTGAAGAACGAGGGAAAGGGAAAGAACCGGGAAACATCGGATTAGGGTTCACACTTCATCCGTTTTTGGAATTTTGACCGTAGAAGAAGAGGCTCCTGGATCTTGGGTTCCGGTTAAAGTACGTGAAAGATTATCTCTCACTGCGATTAGTAGTTCGAATGTTTTAGTTCGGTTCTGTTAACTCCTAGGTAAATCGAGAGTATTAGACATTAGTGTGTTCTCATTGTTGACTTTTTTTTTTAGCTTACATGGATTTATTTATATGATTCTGATAAATGCATGGTCAGAAATTGGGAAATTTTTTTATCATGTTTGCTTAGCTCATGATATGTGTATGTTCTGCAGATTTGAGTGAAAAACAAGAATCAAGTAGTTAAAGATGTCTGTGAGAGCTAGGAGGATTGTCTCTGGTAGGTCTGAGACAATAGCAGCTAATTACGCCTTTGATCCGTTAGAAGATGACAAAATTATAAGAAATAGGCTTCTCACACGCACGACTACCACCAGAGGCGAACCTCCGTTGAAGAAGCTTCAAAAGAAATTCACTTCTTTCGTTATTGAGGTAGACAAAGAAGAAGATAACTACGGTGACTGCGGTAGGCTCGCCAAAGCTTTTTTACAGGAGCTTTCCGCTTTTGAGATTCCTCTTCTTAAGAGCCAAGCGGTTGTTGCTGCGAATCTTAGGGAGAAAGATAACTTCAACGAGCTTAAAGGTGAGACAAATAGGCAGATAGTGCAGGCACAAGCTGATATAGAAGACCTTAAGAAACAGCTTGAAGAGAGTAAAATAGAGAGACAGCATAAAGAGGAGTGTGAAGCCATTAGGAAACTTATCTCTGCTCAGCCACCGAGTCAGGGACACAGAAGGTTATACATGAACTGAATAAGGAGATTGCAGAACTCGAGGCCGAGAATACCGCAAGTTGGAGACTTCTCGAGCTAAGGAAGAAGCAGTTTGCATTGTTGTTGCATGTGGTATGTCGGTTTTACATGTTTCATCGTATTTTACAGCAAAGATTCTAAACAAAAGTTTGCCTTTCTCGAGTTTCCTTGTAATGTTTTTGCTAAATTCTAACTTGTTTGTTTTTGGTTTTGTGAAAATTTGTATGTACAGGTGGATGAGTTGCAAGAGACAATGGAGGACGAACAGAAGAGTATGGTGGAAGAAATGCAGAGGAATATGTCGGAGGAAACAATGGCTGATGGCGCTGAAGCCATGTCCACTGATTAGCTCCTAATCTTAGCTACTCTGTCTTCTCTTGAATGCTAAAGTAGCCTTTCATTGCCAAGAATATGTTTTATAAATATCTGGTTTCTGGTTACCTCAGAACTAAAAGTGCAATGATTTAGTCACAATTGCAGTTTCAGAACTCTGCTTTGGCCGGTGGGTGAGAAATGGTGAACAAAGAAGGATACTACATTATGCAGATTCAGGAAGTTTATGTAGAAAATGGCAATCTTTTCAAAGCTTTTTTTGAGGACTATAAAAAAACTGGTTTTGACTTTTGAGTCTTCCATAAACCGGTGCGGTCATGAGAATTTTCTTTGGATATATTTACACTAAACTAATTTGGTTAACCGGTTCAGAATTATACCGACTAAGATTTAACCGGAATAATATATAAACACGTATATCTTCACTTATTTCCATTTATTCTTTTGCACAATCGTTCTCCTCTCGTCGCCACCAGAGTCTCTCCGTCTCTTTCCACGGCGAACTTGCGATCGTCTGCTGTATGCTACAGCTCTCTAGCTTGAAGCATTAGCTTCTCACTTTCTTTACAGTTACTAAGGCTTCTTTCTCTTCTTAATCTGCTATTCGTCGGCGTACGTTCGCAATTTTTCTGTAAACCCTTGGAAATTCCTCCTGCAATTCCTGATTGTTTTCAACCTTCTTTGTCCGTGGATCCAATATCTCAGTTGTACTTTCCACTGAAGGCTTGATCTCGAGGTAAGTCTATTGGATGTTGATGCACTTTTGCTTTCTCTGCGGATGTTTACGTTCTGTATCCGATGAATATCGTATTGCTTGACCTTGTTCCCTTTCCCGTTTATCCTCCAGTATTATACTTCGTGGTATAACCAGAACCAGGATTTGATTTTACCTTTTTCCCCAATGTTAATGAAATTCGTCTTAGGTTAGGGTTTTACTCGTTAATTGTGTTGTTTGGGATGTTGGGAAACGTTTGTCAAACTAATAATCTTCACCGGTACTTAGTTGGAGTAATTCACATGTAGCTGGTTCTGATTATCAATTTGCAGGAATAGTAGTTTTTTGCTCGTCTTGCTCATTCTAGTCTGCAGCCATTGTAAGTGTTGTTTCTGAGCTGTTCCATTTGGTGATTAGGTCTTGATTGAGTTCTTGGTTTTCATGTAGTCGTTTGAAGATGGAAGTTGAAAAGTCTAAATCAAGGCATGAAAGCAGAGAAGAGAGAGCTGAAAACGAGGGTTCTCCTGTTAGAGAACACAGAGATGGAAGGAGGAAAGCTAAGGATCATAGGAGCAAGGATAAAGAAAAGGACTATGAACGAGAAAAGAACAGGGATAAGGAGCGTGAAAGGGAAAAGGATCACCGTAGGGATAAAGAGAAAGAGAGGGATCGGAAAAGAGATAGAGAGGGAGACACTGAGAAGGAGATCTCTAGAGGTAGAGATAAAGAGAGGGAGAAAGAAAAGAGCAGAGATAGGGATAGAGACAGGGAAAGAGTAATAGAAAAGGAGAAGGAAAAAGAAAGAGATAAACATAAAGATAGAGAAAATGAGAGGGAAAGAGAAAAAGACAAGGATAGGTCAAGAGTGAAGGAGAGAGTGAGCAAGAAAGGTCATGAAGATGATGACGAGACTCAAAAAACTGCAGAAAGATATGAACATTTTGACAACAGAGGTCTAAATGAAGGTGGCGATAATGTTGATGTTACATCAAGTGGCAAAGAAGCATCTGCAATGGAACTTCAGAATCGCATTTTGAAGTAAGTGATTCTTGCTATTCAATCTTTGAAATTTGATATCAAGTGTTTTATATAATATGGTTGAGAAAATTTTGCCTTTCCATGATTTATGGATAGACTGATTTTCTGGGTATCCTATATTTCTTGCGCTCGTTTTGTTTCTTTGATGCTGTGAGCCTGTGACCGTATTTTATAATTACCTACTCTAACACCTAATATAAAGGATTAGAACATCTCTTTGCGAATATTGATTCTATCCCAGAAGTGCTGCTGTTTAGTTTACTGGTTACTAATTAGTATGATTTACTACTAGTATTGTTTTTGTATATCTTATGATAATCTTTTGTCTTGTTACAAAGTACTGTGTCATTACTCATAAGGTCCAAGGCTCTGCATATTTCTCGTTTGTTATATGACATCTAGATGTACGGGTAGTATAAGAATTAAAAAGATTTGTGTTCTCTTCCATAGGATGAGAGAGGAAAGAAAGAAGAAAGCTGAAGATGCTTCTGATGCTCTATCATGGGTTGCAAGGAGCCGTAAGATTGAGGAAAAAAGAAATGCTGAGAAGCAAAGAGCACAGCAGCTCTCCAGAATATTTGAAGAGCAGGTGTTACCTCCATTCCTTGGACATATTGTATCCTTTTATTTCTCCATAACCTCCTTTTATTTGACATTATTAATCTAATCATATCTTATATCTGTTCAGGACAATCTTAATCAAGGTGGAAATGAAGATGGCGAGGATGGCGGTATGTTTTCATTTCGAGTTCTTTCACCATTAACTTTAAATCGTCAAAATAAAAAACTAATCATGTAAAACGTGTATTCTATCATACCATAGAATCCCATTTTTTTTTTTTTTCTAAATCCAGTTTTTCATGTGATGCGTTCTGGTTGATGATTTATCTTGACATATTCTGGTTACAGGGCATCTATCAGGTGTCAAAGTTCTACATGGTTTGGAGAAAGTGGTGGAAGGTGGAGCAGTTATCTTGACACTAAAAGACCAAAGTGTCCTTGCTGATGGAGACGTTAACAATGGTTAGTATCTTTTTATGCTCTCTTGTATTTATGCTATCAGCATAGTTGATATGAGGGTCTGTAAACTAGATTTGCAACTATTCTGGCAGAGATTGACATGCTAGAAAACGTGGAAATTGGAGAACAGAAGCGTCGGAATGAAGCTTACGAAGCAGCCAAAAAGAAAAAAGGAATATATGATGATAAGTAAGTTAATATTTCAACGGCATTTAGATAGATGAGCATATATGTGTTGCTTAAGACTGAAACATGGCATGTTATTGATTATTAGGTTTAATGATGATCCCGGGGCAGAAAAGAAGATGCTTCCGCAGTATGATGAGCCCGCTACTGATGAGGTCAGTTACTCATTCTACCGGATTTCTCAATTTCCAGAAATATAGGCACTCCATTGTATAAATTGTTGTTACTGCTTTTGTCTTTAGGGGGTCTTTTTGGATGCAAAGGGTCGTTTCACTGGTGAAGCTGAGAAGAAGCTGGAGGAGGTACTATTCTTCCTAACCTTTTTTTAATATTAAGTGGATCGTAGTAACTAGTTAGTATACACTAATGGAATTTATTGTCTTTCATGTTCTACCTATCAGCTGCGTAAGAGAATTCAGGGTCAGACAACAAATACATTTGAAGACCTTAACTCATCAGCAAAGGTCACATCAGATTACTTCTCACCTGAAGAAATGCTAAAGTTTAAAAAACCAAAGAAAAAGAAACAATTGCGGAAAAAGGATAAATTGGACATAAGCTTGCTTGAAGCAGAAGCTATTGCATCGGGAATCGGAGCTGAAGATCTTGGTTCTCGTAAAGATGGCAAAAGGCAGGCCATGCAAGAAGAGAAAGAAAGAATGGAGTATGAAAAACGGAGCAATGCCTATCAGGAAGCCATTGCTAAAGCTGATGAGGCATCCAGTCAACTCCGAAGGGAACTAATTCAGCCTATTAAAAGAGATGAAGATGAGAGTATGGTGTTGGCAGATGATGCTGAAGATCTTTATAAATCGTTAGAGAAAGCTAGGAGGTTAGCTCTCATTAAGAAAGAGGAAGCTGGATCTGGTCCTCAGGCAGTTGTACATCTTGTGGCTTCTAGCACCAATCAAACAACAGATGAGAATAGCACCACTGGGGATGAAACACAAGAAAATACAGTAGTTTTCACAGAGATGGGAGACTTTGTCTGGGGTCTTCAGCGTAATGAAGGTAAAGTTTCAATCATCTTCTGACACTTTTACACTGTTATTTCTGTTATGCCTCTATTATATTGATCTGAATAGTACTTCCCACATTATTTGAAACATTTAGTTGGTGTCATACACGGCACTCTCTCTTACACATATGCATATACTAATTGAATGCATGGGGTTAGACTTGTCTGCAAATAGTTCTCCTACCTGCGGATCACTTAAACAAAACTGTGCTTAGTGGTTAGAAGTGGTATAGAGTTTTTGATCTATTGTTATGGCCTTTCAGTTGTGCGGAAGCCTGAAAGCGAAGATGTTTTTATGGAAGAAGATGAAGCACCCAAAGCTCCTGTTGATGTAAAGGAAGAGCATCCTGATGGGTGGACAGAAGTAAAAGATACTGATATGGATGAAGCAGATGATTCATCAGATACCAAAGAGGTAACTCCTGATGAAACTATACATGAGGTTGCGGTTGGAAAAGGATTATCTGGTGCATTGAAGCTTCTTAAAGACCGAGGAACCCTAAAGGAGAAGGTCGACTGGGGTGGTAGAAATATGGACAAAAAAAAGAGCAAGCTTGTGGGTATTGTGGATGATGAAGGAAGTAAAGAATCTAAAGATAGATTCGCAGACATCCGGATTGAGAGAACTGACGAGTTTGGTAGAACTGTAAGTGTTCTCAAGCTTTGCTTCTCACTCTTATTAAACTCGTCCTTGCGTGTATTTGTAAAATAATCGATGTTCAAATTTCATGTTGTTTAACAGTTAACTCCAAAAGAAGCCTTTCGATTACTCTCTCACAAATTCCACGGGAAGGGACCTGGAAAAATGAAGGAAGAGAAACGAATGAAACAGTACCAGGAAGAGCTCAAGTTAAAGCAAATGAAAAACTCAGACACACCATCGCAATCTGTTCAAAGAATGAGAGAGGCTCAAGCTCAACTGAAAACTCCTTACCTTGTCCTCAGTGGCCATGTCAAACCAGGGTATATATTTGCTTTATCATTCAGTTTTAGTTTTAGGCATCACTGAGAAGTGACGCTCAGTTTCTTTGAACTAACACTTGTTTGTTATATTTTATAGACAAACTAGTGATCCTCAGAGTGGGTTTGCGACAGTTGAGAAGGATATTCCAGGAAGCTTAACACCAATGCTTGGTGACACAAAGGTTACATGATCTGAGATAAAAAAAAATACATTCCTCTTCAACAACTTATTAATAAGATGCCTGATCCAGGATAATTATTGATCTTTTGCCTTAAAACGTTTCAGGTGGAGCACTTCTTGGGAATAAAGCGGAAATTGGAGCCTGGTAACTCGAACACACAAACAAAGAGACCAAAGCCTTGAAGGACACTTTCAGATAATCTTGCTTGCGTCTTTGCTTCACATCGATTTGGCTCTGGTAAACTCTTTTTCAGGATTCTGATTACGTCTCTGTTACAGTCTTTAGAAGAAGACATAGCTCAATATATAGATCCATGCGGAGACTGATGATATTTTGATGAAGTTGCCAAAAATGGCATGGGTTTGGTTTCAGTTCTGTAATCAAACTTCTTTTAGCAGGAAATGATTCAAAAGATCTCGAGTTTTTGATTCAGACAGAGATAAACCATAAGGTCCATAACCGTTGGCATTTTTATTTTCTCGAAAGTAATTTAAGTTCTTTTCTTGTTAAAATAAATTAATGAAATCGCTAACACATGTTTCTCCTTATATTTCCCTGTCACACCTCCAAATCAGAAATGTGCTTGAGTGTTTAACTTGAATTAAAATTGATAATTATGTTTCCTTTGACTGATAGTATTCAATATCAAGGGATTCCTTCTTCATGAGTCGGTTGACCAAAAAAAATGTTTATGAGTCGTCATCGTTTAGTTTCGGCCGCAAGATTAAAAAATAGTGCCAAGATGTTCTATCCCACGAGACATGTAGCGTAAGCTATGTAACTATAACTTTTATTCAATTAATCTCTGTTTTGTCTCCTATTAAAGTCAAAAGTGTCAAAACAAGATTGTGTCACTTTCGAGAGTATATTTTGTAGTTCACTTCTTCTTACCCATCGCCAACTAAATCTTTTAATCTTCCAATTATATTTGGTAAAACAAACAAAAAAAATATTATATATTTCTTATCCAAAAGTAATCATATTTTATTTGATCATTCGGCATGGGAGAGCCAAGGAATCTGTTTTGTTCTTACATGTTGACTAATATATAAAATACATCACAAGCTTGTTTGTTTTTTTCTTGCATTTGCGTATGCGTTTACGTGTCAACATTATGTTTACTTACTCTCCAGTTATTTTTTTGATATTTAAAATCCAAATGGAAGAAAAGATTTGCGTTTGTGCATGTTTATATATACTCTGAGAAAAGAAAACAACGTTTGTATTTGTTCATAAAATAATATATAACGGAGATGTATGTTATAGTAATTACAACAAACACGAATACTTTGTATCTAATACTGTAAGGTAATTAATTAAATTTGTACAAGATCAATGTTTACCACACATGGACTTAATTATGTAAAAAAACAAACTGTAAAGATTGGTGGACAACAAATATGTTTTTAACTCTATCGACAACAAATAAAATTATGAAGTATTCTCTCTTTTAATTATTTTCCAATCTTGTCTACTATTAAGGAAATGGCCATGGTTCCGAACACGTTTGCCTGCAAAATGGAGAATTAAACCATTAGACTAGCCAAACCCTCTCATGTGATAACTAAGAATCGCATACATGCAAGATTTATGTAGAAGAGTAATTAATCGAGAGGACTTACTCTATTATCTCTTTCCAATAAGAATCGCTTGCGCCATCGTCAATAATGTCACACCATGGCTGATGATGATCTTGTGTGAACGTTGAATTTGATGATGAAGGATTTGTAGTATGATCAGGATGATGATGATAATTTCCGATGTCATTTTTCTTGATCATGGGTTGTTTGGAATCTTCAGGAGAAGCAGGAACTAAAAGAGGGAGTGAATTATGATCATCGTGAAAATCGGGTTGTATGGGGCCGGAAGTTAAAGAATCCAAAGGGTGATCAACAATTTGGCTTTTCACCATCAAATCATCATGATCATGATTGTTCTCATCAAGAATATTAGAAAAGCTTTGAGACTGACCAAATATAGTTTGGTTCTCCGAGTAAGAAGATTGGCCAAAGAGGTTGTTATTGTTTTGCATGGTTGATGAAGAAAAAGAAGGATTATTGGTGTTGTTGTTGTTGCTAAGGACTTGAATCATATTGTGTATCAATTGAGCTTTAGCCAGACTTGTTGCATCCAACTGCACGTTTTGATTGAGATTCAAGAGGCTGTTGAAGTTTGCGGCGGCGGCCATAAGCTGCGGGAGAGCAGCTAGAACATTTAGATGGTCAGTTCTTGGCCTATGGGTCACTGGATCAATCCCCATCTGGAGAAGTTTCTTTCTCAAATGTGTGTTCCAATAGTTTTTTATTTCATTGTCCGTTCTCCCGGGAAGATTACCGGCTATCGACGACCACCTTTGAAAAAAAATCATACACTAAATTAAAGATAATCATACTGATAATATTATCATAGTGGATTAGTTTAAGACGACTAATTAATACCTAATATTGATTTGCTATGGTCATAACAAGAATTCGTTTTCAAGATTGAAAAAACGGCTACAGACGTATGCACCTAGAGAAAACCAGTGTAGTAGGTAAATGTATATATTCTTCATCCATAAACCATATACTAATATATATGTAAAACTTATATATTTCATATATTCGACTACTCTTGATTCTAGTTATAAACTCGATCCATCTTAGCTCGTTTCACACTAACTTTTTAGACCACACAACCTATGAGATATAATTAAAAGGATTTTGACTTAGAAAGAAAAAAAAAAAGTAAAGACTTATATATAAAGTGAAAAAAGCAAATTCATTACTTGTTTCCAAGAAGGGAATGGAGGTTAATAATAGTTTGTTCTTCTTCTTCTGTGAAATTTCCTCTCTTAATGTCAGGTCTCAAGTAGTTAGTCCATCTTAATCGACAACTCTTCCCGCATCGGTTCAAACCAGCTTGCTTCGGAAGAGCTCTCCAGCTTCCATGGCCATGTTTTTGAATGTGAACTATCAGTTTCTCATCCTCCTCTTGTGTCCATGGCCCTTTCTTTAATCCATTCTCATCGCAACATGGTGATCGTCCCATCTATACAACAAAAATATTTTTTAAGTAAGAAAGTAATCTTGAATAAATACTCAATCGCATAAGTATAGACTTGCATCGATCTAAGAGATAAAGTATAAAGATTGCAAACTTATGACTCGTAATTGAATTCATGATTATATTTGAACTTGTTAACGTGTGTATGAGCTAGCAGAAAAATATGTACGTATATGCATGCATGTATATGTATCGTCGAACCTGTTGAAGAGCACGTTGAAGGGAGAAAGATTTTGATGAAGGAGATCAAAATAATCTTTAGTGAATGAGGCTAAGTGTGTGTGTGTGTGATCTTAGCATTTATATAGGGCTTTTGTGTCTTGTATCTTGTCGGACGGAGAAGATCTTAGTTTAGCTTTTGACTTTGCTGACCTGAGAATGACGAAAATGTCCTTGTGGAAAGTTATCAAAATGTAATTGTAAGAAGAAGAAAAATCAAGGAAGAGAAGAGAAGATGATCAAGTTTGTGAAGCAATGTAGCTATAGGTACACAAAAGTTGCTGCAACTAATCCATATGTTGACAAAAGGCAGTTTGTATATTAATTTAAGCCCTTTTAAAAAAAAAAATTCTTACAAACGAAAACTAATATTAAGTATTATGGATATGTACATATATACTTATCATCATAGCTTTTTGTAATGAAGTATTCCTAACAGAAAACTAAATTAAACTAAGATCTTAAAAAATAGTTCAGTTTGTTTTCCTCTTCACTTGAAACTTAGCCATTTGGGTTTAGGCCAAAAAAAAAAAAATTCAACCATACACTGTTATCCTTCTTCTCTGTCATATTGCATACCTTTTAAGTGGTAATTCAAAAAAAAAAAAAATACTACACAAATCACGAAATTACTAATTAGTGGTTATATATGATCTAGGTTTTTCTTTTTGTGCTAGAAAAATATAGAGATGCAAAACTTTTTTGATTTGATATTTCATTAATTAGTGTTTTAAGTAATTAATGAAAGCAATTTTTCAAGATTCTCCCATTTAATTGATTATGTTTCAATTATATATAAGTTTGTCATTTCTCCCTTTTAAAAATATGCGTACATGGAACCTATTCGTACCAACATATATAAATTAGGTTTCCACGTGGATACGTTAAACTTGTTTCATCAGACGTTAAATTATATATAGTATTGTGTATATTGTATTTGATATATATCGTATTATACATTACAACATTTTTTGCAAGAAACAGTGTCGACAACAGTATGCATTACTGGTCATTAGTCAACAAATGATCCACACCATGCCACGTAACTCAACAACATATCATAATACGTATAAACAAACAAACAAAAGAAGTATATATATTGAAGTCAATTCATTCATCATTGAATATATCGTGTTCTTGATCAATAAAACAGTTGGCAAAAGAGTATCATTTATCAATAATTACAAATCTCGATCATCTTCATTTTTATTCTATACCTAGAAAAACTACGATTCCTTTATTTCTTATATATTATTCACGAGCCATGCATGCAGAGCTGGTGTTTGCACTTTGCAGGAATCATCGATGAGAATAATTAAAGCTTTATATAAATATAATTAATGCATATAATTTTACACTTTTACATTCCATTAATTTGAATATGAAAGCTAATACTTAAAATATTAAATTTCATTTCTCATGATATGGGTTAAATCTATAAGTTATCTCTATAAATTTTAAAACACGAATTTAGTACTACGAATAGTAAATATTCATATATATATAAACACTGCTATATATATATTACCATAATTGAAAAGAAATGAAAAAAAAAAAAAAAAGAACGTCTCGATCGAAAAGGTGGTTGATTATTGGTGTAAATTTAGTTTTAAGCACATCAAGTCACGCAAACATTAACCCTGGGACCCGTGAAAACCCTAACTCTTCTAAATTCTAACGACTAAACTTATTAATTTTCTTATTTTCTTAACACTTTTTGTTTTGTTTTTATCGCTCTTTTTAGATGTTTCTACGACGTTAATTTAGTCCCTAAAACCATTCTTATTGCTTCGACGTTGACGTTAATTGCATGTATTACATTATATATATATTTGTCACCTTAATTAATTTGTATAACCCTTTCTAATTATACACTACTATAGCTAGCTAGTTTATATATAACCCAGCCCAGCTGCAGCTAATTATATTCTTTTGACTTGTTGGATATATAGTAATCAAATTTGAACATTTCTTAAGAAAAAATAATTGTAATCTATCAAATTTCTACTTACAATAACAGCCAGTATAGAAAACAGATGAAGAAATCGTACGGAAGAAGTTTCCAACTAATCACAAGGAGACAACAGTGCTACAGTTGATATTCCGCTAACCAAACACCTTAAGGTTTTTAATTTAGTTTAGGACATAATCTTTTCTTGAATCATATATGCTTTTCTTGGTTATTTATATATCTTCGAAAATTATTTCTCATCATAAGTCATAAACTCATATGTTTTACATTACCAATTTTGGCCAGTAATCAATTTATTAAAGGCAATTAGATACCAGGTACGTACTAACACAGATTACTAATCTTTTTAATCGTGATCTAGGTTAATTCAGAATCTTTGAAATTCGCCTAGCGAGTAAAACAATTAAACCACTCACATTCAATTCTTATTATTTTTACTTTTACGCAAACCCAAAACTTTAAACAGCAAACAAAAAAAATCAAAGACTTGTATTCTTTATAATGCTCAAATTGACATTCACTGAAAAAAATATTAAAGGACAAAATTCGCTTAAGTAAGTACTTGAGTTTCTCCAAAAACTCATAAACCAACACAACAAAAGTAATAATACACACGTCACACATATATTGAAGAACCAAGTAAACTTTGTATCTATAAATAACTCCGATATGCATCAGTATGACCCGTTTCTTTCTGATGATAATTACTGGCCTGATGACAGTATATATTATCTTTTTGTGTATGAGTCAAACCTAACTTCTTGAAAAAAGACCTAACTAAAACGATCGATTTTGCACGTTACATTGCTATATATATGCATATATACGCAGAAATAATACATATTCTGGAAACCTTAAACTTAGTAATTCAACTAGTTAGTAGGATGGTACCGTCAACTTTGTACAACATTATGTTTCATAAACATAAAGAAAAAGTTAAACTATGCGGTTTGAAAAAAACTTATATACATTTTTTACTTGGAAAAAGTTACGTATACAACGAATGCAGTGGTTTGGGATAAAACTAACCAAACAGAGTGAGTCGTAATACCCAATATTTCACCTTACGCATGTACTTTTTAATTAGGTTAGGAAGATAACTAAAAATGAAAAGAGTTGGTTAAAACGAAGACTTCCATGGTCGAATATATTGCGTAACTAAGTCTTCGATTTACCTTCTCAAAGCCCGACTATACGGTAGAGGTCAATATTATGAGAAGGACTATTACGCAGACCTTTTTGAGTATGCATGTATATAAATTTTAGAAAGTGATGAATGAATTTTATAAAATTTATACCTTTTTTTGAGAAATTGCATGAGGCTAAATGCATGGACAGTCCAACCTAGAGAGAGTCCAGATGATGAAATGCTTATTGTCACGTAATTATTGCTGTTGAATATATATATGGTTACAAAAACAAATACGGAATCGATGAAACACTCAATTCTAAATTGAATGGCATATATCGACGATTATTGTGTAAGATGATTAATCAGATCGCGTTAATCATATAAATAGAACAAAAGCAGTTCAAATGGATGTATTGAAAACAATAAAATGGTAGACCAATTGAGGCAAGAAGAGACCTTGAGGAGGTCATGAAAACAACCCTCACCACTATGTATTTTCTTATAAACAAACAGACAGACACATAAATGTTGCCTCGACGGGGTCTACTTAGTATAGAATAAAAAGCCCAATATTGATTATTACGTATGCAATAGCCAACACGCGAATAATATCTCTAACCTATCACTAGCTCCTTTAGCTCTGCTTTCATAATAATCGTTTGCTTACATTGGAATACTTTTTCCATTTACCAATAATTCCGTCTTCCTGTGGTCGTGAATTAAGTTTGTCACGACTCGTCTTCAAAGCTCAAGAGGAAGAAAACAACAAGTTGGGTCGTCTCGTCGTCTTTTGGATAAAATGAAACATAAAGAGTAAATGTCGCCGTTTTGAAGGTTAGGACCAGCTTGGTTCTTGGCGCAGCCCTGCCCGGCGCTGTAGTAGTGATAGGATTTTTCGGCCACTGCGATAACAACTTTAGTCTATTCCTGTTAAGTTGTTACACATATCAATCCACTTCAATGGTATAAGCTCACAACTTAAAAAAAAAAAAATAGGCAATCAAATGTTCGAAAGTATCCGGTCATTCACTAGCTGATTTCACCAAACCAATCATTGACTAACACTTATCATTGGTATAGTCATCACCTTTGCTTTTTATTCGGAAATTGAGAATTTAAGAAAGAATATCAAATTTGTCCAGAATCATCTTATCAGCTTCACCCAAGTTGTTCAAGCATAATTGCCAACCCCAATAAGAATACATACACATTCATATAGTATGTCTGTGTAGTTAGGAATATGCATATGATGCACACATCAAATCAGAGTATACGATTCTGGAGAAGCTAAAAGCAGTGGTTTTAACCTTTGGATTATCAAAACTTGCGTGAAACTAGGAACCTATATTCTCAGCACATCCACCTCAGGACATCCCACTAAGAATCTGACAAAAGTCTCTAGATTCAGTTTTATCTCATGTGAGTCATCTAAACATCTTATATGAGGATCTTAACATCCAGAAGTGAACATACAACAAGTTTGCTTTATCAGGGAGAAAAATCATTCCAAGAGATTCATGCTGAAATTTAGACAATCACATACCTCATTAAAGATGATTTCAAACAATCTCCAGGTTTAGAATATAGACAATATAAAAGCATTATAGAGGGAAGGTTACCACTCACTTACACCTCAAATTGGCGAAAAATATATATATAAGGCATTTCATCAATCATCTACCTCATCCTTGACAAACTTTAGGCTAATATGTACCATTAAAGCTTGGCAGAGAAGTCACAGCCTACACTATTAGTATTACCAATAGTTAAGAAGAGAGTAAATGAGCAAGAATTTGGAGATCCAATGCATTTCAAGAGAAGCAACAGTTATGCATACTTAACAAGGCCTTGCAAAAACTTGGAAGTAAACGAAAGAGAAACAACTAAATAATATTAAAAAAAAACCACAAGTTTAAGAATCCAAATGAAAATTAGCAGAGCAGCTAGTCACCATAGGCCAGAACCAATTGATATGCTTGCAATGGCAGTTGCAACAAATGTTCCTGCTAACAGAGATTCAAATTTGGTAGACTTTTCCTCAGACATGATTCTTCTTTGTGACCATGTCCCAGAAGAACTCCGTCAACACAGGCTCGTACGAAGGCATCTTAGCATATCCAGGAAAGTAGTTAATATCAATTATAAGGTACCTATTAGGATCTTTGGCATCCCTAATCACGTCGAAGTTAAAGAGATTGAGACCCATTGATTCCCTCATGGCCTTTGCTAGATCAGTCAAGAAACTCAATGGAGGCATCTCCACTTTCTCTAAGCTCCTATCCTCACCATACTCTATGTTCTTGTCTTCTTGAGCAGTCAGATTCGATATCTGTGAAAAGGGAAGAGACCCTTTTGATGTCCCAATCTTCTCTTCAGAGATGTCAGGTAAAGATCGTCTCTTTACACATTTCACATGCTCTCCAACCACATAGACCTTAAAGATCACACCACCATGATTCACAAACTCCTGCAACACAATCGGAGCTTTCAATATCTTCATCCCTTCCTGATCATATATCAAAAACATCTTGTGAGATTTCGCACTCCCATCAGCATCCAACGGCTTAGCAATCACCGGAAACTTAAGCTCCCCTAAAGCTCCTCCGCCGCTCAAAACGCTCGAATCCATGACAACAACTTGCTCCGGAACACCAAATTTTTCGCTATCTGAAACAGGAAACCTCAATTGAGTTATCACCTCAAGCATCGAAACCCTATTGTGCAACCGCTCGATAGCCTCAGGCAAATCGATTACAGGAACACCAGGACATTTCTCGCGAAACTCATGAAGATTCTCCTTCCAATACACATCATAGAGCTTGTGGATTATGCAATCAAGCTTCCCTTGCTCCAACAGCGGTTTCGTCGGATCAAGCTTGACCAGATCAATGCCTCGTTGCCTCGAGTGTTCGATCAAAGAAGGCTGGATGAAACTATGCTGTTTCTTGGCTGCGAGTGCGTATCCTACTAAGTATCTCTCTTGGATTGAATCCGACATCTTTGGCTGTTCTGCTTCGAAGGTAACAAAATTAGGGAAAAATTCATGCCCAGGAAATCAAAACCTCTTCCAAGAGAAAAGGGCAAGCAAAGGTTCAAGCTTTAGCAAACCCTAGATGTGAAATTCTACACGGAACGTCAAAAGAACTCGATTAGATCGAAGAGATCATACAGAATCGAGATTCCAGAGAGGAAAAATCGAAAAGTTTGGTTTTTTGTGGCCTTTTCTAGAGATGAAATAACAGAGAGAGAGAGAATGTTGTACACGTGTGGAATCGAATATTTGTACGTGTGAAGATGCAAGTGGCGAATGTTGAACACGTGTAAGCGTGCGAAAGTGGACTAGTGTAGGTCTTTTTCATCAGATGGACGGCTACGATTAGTTCCTAATTGTTATGGGCCATTGTACTGTTACTGGGCTTGGATATTTGTATCAAGCGTTTTGCAAACGCAGACCGCAAACGCTGTATTTTGTACGTATTAAATTAAAAAAATTAAAAAAGACCAGAGATATAAAAGCGAGCTGCTTAAACCCTAATTCTTTCTCCGGCTACCTTATTCGTTCGCGCAAAGCTCTAAAACGTTCTTCTCTTCACCGGACGGGAAAGAGAGTTCGCCGTCGTGATGGCTCCTCATTCGTTGAAGAAGAACTACAAGTGCTCTCGATCTCTAAAGCAGTTCTACGGCGGTGGTCCTTTCATAGTTTCATCTGACGGTTCTTTTATTGTCTGTGCCTGTGGTGACACCATTAACATCGTTGATTCGAAGGATTCATCAGTGAAATCCACGATTGAAGGCGAGTCGGATACACTCACTGCTTTGGCTCTTAGTCCTGATGATAAGCTCCTTTTCTCTGCTGGACACAGTAGACAAATTCGAGTTTGGGATTTGGAAACTTTGAAATGCATTCGCTCTTGGAAGGTATATATTGTACTCAATTGGCTCTGTATTATGTTTCTGTTGTTTTAACTGTGTCTCATGCTTGTAAGTCCCTGACCCATCCGGATTAATGAGTAGTCAGTTCATTTATACTATCTACAATTTTCTAGAAAAGAGCTTTCAGTTCTGAATATTCGACTTCAAAATATGATTATTGTTGTCATTGTGCTGGTCTTCATGTAATGTGTGCTTAATTGTGAGCAGGGACACGAGGGACCAGTGATGGGTATGGCTTGCCACGCATCTGGAGGGTTGCTAGCTACTGCCGGAGCTGATAGGAAAGTCCTTGTTTGGGATGTTGATGGTGGTTTCTGCACTCATTATTTCAAAGGCCATAAAGGGGTTGTGTCAAGTGTCTTGTTCCATCCTGATGCAAACAAAAATATCGTATGTACCAATTCTGTCTATGGGTAAAATTATCTGAAAGTAATATTACTCTTATAAAGGAAGAGAATTATCTATTTATAAAGGGATATGTTATTCTTGTAAAGCTCTATTCCATTTCTGTTTGATGACAAGAGTTGCATTCTCAATGGTATGGTGTAGGTTATATCGGGAAGTGATGATTCAACTGTTAGAGTCTGGGATCTCATGGCTAAGAATACTGAGAAGAAATGTCTTGCCATTTTGGAGAAGCACTTTTCTGCTGTGACTTCAATTGCTCTATCAGAGGATGGATGGACTTTATTCAGTGCTGGAAGAGATAAAGTGAGTTCTAAGCACTCTCTAGTTTAATTGAGTTACATACTTCAGGAGTAGGATTGTTATCTATTTGATATTTGTCTTTATTCTAAAGTTTAATTGTCCAGTGGTGCTAACTTATTGGTTAATCACAGGTTGTAAACTTATGGGACCTTCATGATTATAGCTGCACGGCTACAGTTGCTACATATGAGGTACTAGAAGCTGTGACAACAGTTTCTTCTGCGACGCCTTTCGCTTCATTTGTAGCTTCTTTGGATCAGAAGAGTAAGAAGAAGAAATCTGAATCTCAAGCAACGTATTTTATTACTGTTGGTGAACGCGGTGTTGTGCGCATCTGGAAGTCTGAAGGGTAAGCCGTTATATTCTTTAATAGGTTTTGTTGCGGTAGTGTTGGAGTAAAGTCATATAAGCCATGCTAGCGCAAGAAAAATGTATTAAGATCTTTGGCTGTTTACTTTGACAGTTCAGTTTGCCTTTATGAGCAAAAGTCTTCGGATATTACTGTCAGTTCAGATGACGAGGAATCTAAAAGAGGATTCACTGCAGCTGCTATGCTGCCTTCTGATCACGGACTGCTTTGTGTGACTGCTGATCAGCAATTTTTTATCTACTCTGTTTTGGATAATGTAGAAGAATCAGAGTTAGTGCTAAGCAAGAGGCTTGTTGGATATAATGAAGAAATAGCTGATATGAAGTTTCTAGGTGATGAAGAAGAATTTCTTGCAGTAGCTACAAATCTCGAGGAGGTAACTGACCATTTTGCTATCTGTATCGTTCTGGCTTGATCATTATCCTGTGAGTATGATTAAGTGATTTGATTATTTATGAACTAAGATTTGCAATATATCTGCAGGTTCGTGTTTATGACGTTGCAACAATGTCATGTTCTTACGTGTTAGCTGGCCATAAGGAAGTTGTTTTGTCCCTTGATACTTGTGTATCTAGTTCTGGGAATGTTCTAATTGTAACTGGGAGCAAAGACAAAACTGTAAGTCCATTTACTGACCCTGTAGTTCCCGTAAACCTGTACCTCTTGGGTTTGTTTTTCATTGAGTTAGCTGGCAAAGCACAGGAAAAAGCTAGATTACTAGAGAAAGATATTTTTTTTGTTTCAGATTTTTCAGGGTTGTTTATAGCTTATGTCGTTGCTGTTTTCCATGCACATCATTCCCCAAAACATAACCTACAAAATGCCTTTTTAATTAGAGTGATCCCAGGAGTTGGTTAATTTATATTTGATTACTTTGCAGGTAAGACTATGGAATGCAACAAGCAAATCTTGCATTGGAGTTGGTACAGGTCATAATGGTGATATCTTAGCAGTTGCTTTTGCAAAAAAGTCCTTTAGCTTCTTTGTCAGCGGCAGCGGGTACGTGCTACATAAATGATTGCATAAATCCTTTTATTTTGATGTAAGTGAAGTATTGTACTGCCAGCATGGGAATGCTATAGGCAGTTCCCAGAAATGATGCTTCTCGTGTATGCATATATTGTTTCTAACAATGAGCAAATCTTGATTAGGACTCTGGGGAAATATAAGAAAGGAAAAATTTCGGTTGTAATATGCTGGTTGTTTACTGTCAGGCCTTATGCTGGAAAATAAAATTTACTATCAGATAAGAAGTATTAGAGACTGTGATCGAGAAAGTATGATTGCTGTTACCTTCATTGTTTAGTAAATATTCTGGCTGAAACCAATTTGTTTACGTAAATGGAGACACATCCAAGCCATGATAGATGATGTAGAACCTGTCTTCATTGTTAACAGTTATCTATTGTCTCCCAAAAGTCATGTCATCTTTCTCTTCTTTTTCTCATCTCTTAATTTACTTTCCTTTGGATTAGCGATCGCACACTGAAAGTCTGGAGCCTTGATGGTATCTCAGAGGACTCAGAGGAGCCAATTAATCTAAAAACTAGAAGTGTTGTTGCTGCCCATGATAAAGACATCAATTCCGTGGCTGTTGCTCGTAACGATAGTTTAGTTTGCACTGGTTCTGAGGTAATAAAATATGCTGAGCAAGTCTTTTCTGTTTAGTTTTGTGGATATCACACTCAATTGAATCTTTTTCTGAAATACAGGTGACTTGAGAAATCTATCTTCCTTTTCTCTCCTTTTAAATGAGATGCATTGAGCTCTGATGAAGACATGCTTAAAGTTCTTATCTGACTGTTGGTTTCTGTCTTGCAGGATCGTACTGCTAGCATATGGAGACTACCAGACTTGGTCCATGTTGTTACACTTAAAGGACATAAGAGGCGGATTTTTTCTGTTGAGTTCTCAACTGTTGATCAGTGTGTGATAACAGCATCAGGTGATAAGACAGTAAAGATATGGGCGATATCTGATGGCTCATGCCTCAAAACATTTGAAGGTCACACCTCAAGTGTACTTAGGGCCTCATTCATAACTGATGGAACCCAGTTTGTCTCATGTGGTAAGTTTCACTACCCTGATGTCATACGTTTTTCTTCCTCTTAAGTCTTAACATTTAACCGCGCACTTTTAGGTGCCGATGGTTTATTGAAACTTTGGAATGTGAACACCAGCGAATGCATTGCCACATATGACCAGCACGAGGACAAGGTGACCTAAACAGTGTTTGGTTTCTTTATGTATCCATTTCTTGGTCTGCCTTTGACGTTATTATTTATAGGGTTATGAACTTCTGCCTTGCTTGTCTTTGTATTGGAAAGTGTTTATTTCTAGCGTTTTGATGGAACATGTTCATTGCCATTAGTCACAGACCTCTTGATAGTCGTTTCAGCCAAATTACACTTTTAAATTTTACAGGTATGGGCTTTAGCTGTCGGAAAGAAGACAGAAATGATTGCAACTGGTGGAGGCGATGCAGTTATTAATTTGTGGCATGACTCAACAGCTTCTGATAAAGAAGACGAATTTAGGAAAGAGGTCTGTCAATTTCACTAATTAACTATGTCTTAATAGTCTGGTTTCCATAAAACAGTCATGTGTACTTGATCTTAAGTTTCACCATCATCTTGAACCACTTATGTCGTACAGGAAGAAGCAATCCTTAGAGGCCAAGAGCTGGAAAACGCAGTGTTAGATGCTGAGTACACCAAAGCTATAAGATTAGCGTTTGAGCTTCGTAGGCCTCACAAAGTTTTCGAACTCTTTGCTGGTCTCTGCAGGTAAGAACACGTAACAGTTGATTTTCTCGATATTAAGTCTCTTCCTTTTCTAATCTGCAATTGGTGTAACAGGAAAAGAGAATCAGACAAAGAGATTGTGAAAGCTCTTCAAGGACTTGAAAAAGAAGAGTTCCGTTTGCTATTTGAATATGTCCGAGAATGGAACACAAAACCAAAGCTATGCCACATTGCTCAGTTTGTTCTTTACCAAACCTTCAACATACTTCCTCCTACTGAAATTGTTCAGGTTTGGTGTAACCTAAAAGTCATAAGATCAATAGCAGTAAATACTAAGGTTTTTTTTGGCTTAATCTTGGAAATTTTTCTGACAGGTAAAAGGAATTGGAGAACTCCTGGAAGGTTTAATCCCATATTCTCAGAGACATTTCAATAGAATCGACAGATTCGTAAGAAGCAGTTTCTTGTTAGACTACACGCTTGGAGAGATGTCTGTAATTGATCCAGAGACTGAGAGTGAGTATCCTAAGGACAAGAAGAAAGAAACAGAGGTCAGTGCTGCTGTGTCTGCAATGGAACAAGACACAGAAGAACTAAACCAGGAGACTCCTTCGAGGAAACGAAAGTCTCAGAAATCCAAAGACAGATCGAATAAGAAGAGACTGATTACCGAAGCTCAGGGAAGCGTAATCGCAGTTTGAGTCAAATTATATATGGCATGGATTTATATTTTGATTTGAGAGATTTGAGGGGTGGAATCCCAATTTTTGGTATTCTAGTTTTATTGTGTAATAGGTTCTTGTAAGTGCTGTTGTTTTAAAATTTTGTGTTTCAACGTTAAGAGCCTTCAATTGAATGGAGAGTTTCACTTGATGACTTTCTCAAAAATTCATAAAGACATTTCTCAAAATTCAACAATCTCACCTATATCTTCTGCTCTCTCCTGCCCTTCACCAAAAACCCTACTAGTATGTATTGTAGCGGCTTTCGAGAGTTTATGTTACTTGTCCTTAAATTATTTTGTTGTATCTGCTGTCTAGTTTCTGCTACTTTTGTTTTTGATATGATGTGAGACTTTTTTCTTTTTTTTTGTTGTTGATATAATGTGAGACTTGTTGTGTTCCATTTGTAAGTTTACTCTTGAGTGCAAGAACTCATCACTAATGAGATCTCTCACTCTTGAAAACTTGGCAAAACAGAACAAACAATACATTCCCAAAAGTTATTTAATTCATCACTTGTTTCCGTTTGTCTAGATAGTACGTTTGTGTCACGTCAGCGTATATTATTCGCGTATATGGAAACAAACATTATGAATTAATTACGTAAAATCCGAATCATATTAGTACTAGAATATATTCCTTCATGATATAATTAGAATCAATGTCAAAACGTATCTTATGATTCACGCTGAATTTTCACTTCCTTCTCATTATTCTGTTTCGGTTATAGTGCGCAAAATTTGTTTCGTTTATGGACCAAATTAAGGGCACATGCATGAAATGAAAGAGCATAATAATACTTATGTAGGGTCCTTAATATATATTATATCGATTTGATTCTTCTAATTACTAGGTAATCAAAATTTTCAAAGAAATCCTTATATATTGGTTATAAATATATAGAGATATAATTCGTGGGGTCGATCTGGTCCCCCGATCCAAACTCGCTAGCTATGGATCGAATTCACTAAGTTGGAGCACATTCAGATTCAATCTTAAAAATGTATGTGGAAATTCCCGTTGGACGTCATGATGCGATTACTCCTAATTAATATGCTACGATAATTAAACAACCAACCAACAAAAAACCCACGTGCCAATATCATTGGAAGGCCAACGAATATACGAAACATTATTGTATGAATTTCATTTTATCATTCATATACATTTTATGTACAGTGCAGTGCGTATCTTCGTCTACAAATAACAGCAACACTCCCTCTTTCTCTTACACGAGCTCACAATATCTTAGTGAAGTACGTTAGCTAGTGACTGCGTCGACAGAAACATGTCGGGAACGAATATATGTGTTGCGTGCGTTGAGGAAAACAAAGGGTGTGATCATGAGTGTGAGCACGAAAACCCGCGGGTTAAAGAGTTGGTGTTGGAGCCGTCTGAAAACAGTTCATTTCTTCACTCTGTTACCAACATGGTTGGTATGCTCATTGGTACGTACTTTTAATATAATGATGCATGCACCAAGCCCATACATTTCTGTATCTAATTTGATAAATAACTAAAGTGATGTTGTATACAAGAGTGTTATAGCAAGTGTTTTTTACTTATAAATATGTATATTTATGTGTTAATATCCTTATATTATGCACGCTAGTTAATCCTAAACATGTTTGAAATAAAAGTTAAATAATTTCTCTAATTAAAACATGAATCAATAAGCAAACTCTGACGTGATGTTTCTCCGGTACCACATGCAGGACTAAGCCAACTATCAATGCCATACGCCGTCGAAAGTGGCGGTTGGGTCTCAATCTTCCTACTCATATCCTTGGGGATCCTCACCACTTACACTTCCCACATCCTCGGAAACTGTCTCCGCCGCAACCCCAAATCCAAATCCTACTCCGACATAGGCCACTCAGCATTCGGCCGCCACGGGCGCCTCATCGCCTCCCTCTTCATCTACCTCGAAATCTTCATGGCCTTAGTCTCTTACACCATCTCCCTCCACGACAACATCTACGCCGCTTTTCCCGCCACTTTTAGTCACCACAGCAACGGTCATTTCCCGGCCTCGAAGCTGACAGTGGTTGCGGTGGCTATCGCCTTGCCGAGCCTCTGGATCAGAGATTTGTCTTCCATCTCGTTTCTTTCTTCCGGTGGAATTCTTATGTCGGCGATTATATTTGGTTCGGTGGTTTACACGGCCGTATTTGGAGGCGTTATCAATGATGGAAAGATTCCAGTCCTCCGGTTAGGGAATATTCCGATGGTTTCGGGAATCTATTTGTTCGGTTTTGGTGGGCACATCGTATTTCCTAATCTGTACACTTCCATGAAAGATCCTTCCAAATTCACAAAGGTACGTTAGAATAAATATGTATCCTTTTTCTTTTTTGGTCAAAACCTTTTATTTTGCGATTTTCACAAAATACTATTCGTAGGTTTTAAAATTAAATGTGCTGCCTTTTATAGAAAGTTAGAAACCTAATGCATTGCATCATTTGCATGTCAAAATAGGTATCGATCGTAAGCTTCGCTACGGTGACGGCTCTATACGCAGCACTAGCCATCACAGGAGCGAAGATGTTCGGACCAAGCGTAAATCCCCAAATTACCCTCAGTCTTCCAAAACATTTGCTAGTTACCAAGATCGCTCTCTGGGCCACTGTACTAACCCCGATGACCAAATACGCCTTAGAGTTCGCTCCTTTAGCCATCCAGCTGGAACATAGCCTTCCTTCCACCATGACCGATCGCGCCAAGCTCGTCGCTCGTGGTCTTTTCGGCTCCACTATGTTACTTGTCATTCTCACATTGGCTTTAACCGTCCCTTACTTCAGTTATGTCTTGAGCCTCACGGGCTCGTTGGTTAGTGTCACAATCGCTGTGATACTGCCGTCTGCTTTCTACTTGAAGATTTGCTGGGACGGGATGTCGAAACTCACAAGAGCCGCCAATATCGGGTTTGTTATTCTCGGGTGTGTTCTTGGAGTTTTGGGATCATTTGAATCATCAAAGTTGCTTGTGAAAGAACTCGTTCGCGTTCATGGAGGTTGAGCGGTTATAAAACCGCTGATTGTTGTTGCGGTTAGTAATAAAAGCAGAATAAAAGTAAAACGCAAACCTTTATAAACAAAGATCGATCCGAAAACATTGTTTTAAAATAAAATAAAAAGAAGAAAAGAATCAAGAACCAACAAATTATATATATAAAGAACACTGATGAAAAAAAAAAAAGGTATACAGATATATATGTTTTACACATAAGATTTACTTTTTTTCCTTACCTCGAAGCTGGTTGTTATTTCTGGTTTACGGGTGCTTTCTTCTTGAGAAGATTCCCAACTTTACCAAGTAAAGTCTTCTTCTTCTTGATCTTCTTCTCCATCATAAGCTGTTCTTCTGAGGTTAAAGCGTTTCCGGCTTCATCAACGTTCTCTGTTGAGGTTTTGTCGCTTTCATCGATTTTGCTTAAATCTTCTTCTTCTTCTTGAGACTCTAGTTCTGTTTTCTTATCGGGGAAAGCTTCTTTCTTCTCGATTTGGCAACTTTCCCACATTTTAAATATAACTTCAACAGAATCATCTTTGTCATCATCTTGTGTTTCTTCTTTCTTCTCCTTCTTCTCTGTTTCTGCCTCGGGTTTTCCATTCACTTCTTTCTCCTCCATACTATTGCCATTACTGTTTCCATTATCAAAGCCATTGCTGATCTGCTCTTGTGAAGCTTCGTGATCCAGGGTTTCTACTTTAGAAGATTTCTCTTCTAAACTTCTATGACCGTTCTCAGAAGAAAACTCAACCACTTTTGGTAGCAAATCATAGTCTTTTTCGGTCTCACTGAGCTCGCCATTCTCTTCTTCCGGTTGCTTCTTGGCCAACAATGCTTCCTCGAGTAACTTCGATAACTCCTCGATCTTCTTCAGAGAAACATCCTCCTTCGCCCTCAGATCCTCGTTTTCGTGAATGACGTTTTGAAACTCCGTTTCTTTATCCAACAGATTCTCCTTGAGCTTCATGCTTTCTGCTTTTGCTTCCCCGAGAGTGTCCTGAAGATAAATGACCTCTTCTTCCACTTCTTTTAAACTATCTTTCGTCTGGGCCTCTTTCTTCCAAGCTGCATCGGCTTCTTCTTCGGTTCTCTTCAGCAAATTGTCCAGCCTATTCATTTCTTTCCCCATCGAAGCAACTTCTTCTTCCATTTTCTTCACGTAATTCACCAAATTAGCTTCTTTCATCTCCCAATCAGTCTTTGAGCTCTCAAAATGCTTTTTAGTTTGCTCGACTGCACTAACCAGAACATCTATCTCATGTCTTGCCTCATCAAGCATATTCTCGTACTTCTCGTTGGTCGCTTTAATCACCAATTTCAAGTCATCTATTTGCGTTTCATACTCGTGATCGCCTTGACTCAACAACTTCTCTTTCAATTCCCTTCCTTCGCTTGACACTTCATGTAAAGCTGAAGCTAAACTCTCCATTGCTTTCTTACTCTTCTCCTCTTCCTCTTTTGAGCTCTCTAGATCTGATAAGAGCTTACTTTTCTCTTCTGAAAGCCTTTGAACTCTTGAAGTAGCATCTTGCTCCTTCTTTAAAGCCCGGTTCTTCTCCTCCTCCACAGTTTCAAGCCCACTCTTTAAATTCTCTACTTCTTTTTCCATCTTTGATAATTCTTCTTCTGCACTGGCAAACCGCTGCTTGGATTCTTCAAGATCCTCCTTTTGACTAGCAATTGTTGTCTCCAATGTCACGATTTTCTCCTTAAGATCAGTGATTTCAGTTTCCATGTCATGCAATTTATCATTGCTTACTTCGAGCTGTTTCATCACAGATTCCAAAGATACAGAAGCAGATCTCTCCAACTTGTTAGCTTCTTCTAGCTGTTCCTCCAGGTCTTTGGCTTTGCTCTGCCACTCATCAGACAAGTTGTGTGCATAAGATTCTGCCATCTTCGCAGCTTCAAGGTCAACGTTAAGCTTCTCGATGATCATCTCGTTTTCTTTGACCTCTGCCTCGAAACCTCTTGCTTTCTCGAGATCTTTTTTCAAAACCAAAATCTCGTCTTCTAGCTTGGCAACCATCTCGTTCCCTGAAATGGCAGTCTTTTCTCGGGTTGAAACAAGCAAAGCTTTCAACCGAGTCAACTCAGAAGACAAGATGTCAACTTTCTCAGCATGAACATCAGCCGTCTTACTAGCATCATCTGCTTGGCTCAAGGCCTTAGTCTTAGCATCATTGGCCGCAGCCAATTCTTCATTGATTTTCTCAAGCTCCTGTCTGACCGAAACAAGAGCAGCAGAATCAGAAGCATGTTGGTTCTTGAGACTCTCTAGCTCTTTCTTCAATTCTTCTTCATTGCTCTGAACTGCCTCGATCCCTGCCTCAACAGCTTGAAACTTCTCAATCTCAGAATTGGCCTCCACATGCTGCTGCGCTTTTAAAGCATCATCCAGCTTCAGAGTCGCTTGTTCAGCCTCCTTTTTAGCATCTTTAAGCTCGTCAAGTGCTTTAGCTTTCTCCTTCTCTAATGAAGATATCCGCTCATTGGCTTTCTTCAAATCTTCCTTGATTTGACTCAACCGGGTCTGCGTTTCTGATCCTTTCACGACCACACGCGATTGAGTTTTCTGAGAACTCATTAGAAAAGAAAAACGGATGTCAAGGTATAGAAACATGAGGAAGCTCCCAAACATAAGAAACCACAGAACTTATGTAGTAACATAGTGTAAGAGTGATAAATTCACTTACAATAAAAAAAATGGTTATAAGATTCAACACTTAAAAACACATACCTCAGGAGGAGTAGGAACCTTTGGTGAACGTCTTTCAGTAGAAGACTTGGAATGTGGGGAAGAACGATCAAGGGAAAGGCGTGAATGTGGAGTAGGAGTAGTAGTAGTAGATGGAGAATTACTATTAGTTTCGGATTTATTGCTTGCTCCCCTGCTACTCAACTTTGATATTCTAGGAGTTGCAGGTGATGATTTCCCCGGTGTAGTATTACTAGTTTCGGACAAACTAGTTCTGTTTCCAACAAAAGACAACAACACAAAGTCGATCTCAGCAAGGAAGAAAGCAAACGGGCACAAATTGCTCAAAGAATTAAAATTGCCGCATAATTAGGAGGAAAAATAAAATAAAATTAAGATCTAAACAAAATCTCTATGGATCATTGACAATTTCTCAAAATAGTAACTTGTCTTTTATTTCTGTTGGCTCGATCAGATCTGAATTTACTATAAAAAAAAAAGTCACCCAAAGAGATAGGATGAAAACAGAGAGTCTCTTACTTAGTCTTTGAAGACATAGCCGCTGATCGCCGTCACCACCGGGCTCAGTTGATGGATGAAGAAAAAACAAAACAATGCAGTAATTTCAGAAATTCTCGATCGATACTGTACCAAAATATTGGGTTGTTCTCAGTTTTGTTTGAGAAATCACAGATCAGGAAAGAGAGAGAAATGATTCGAATCGGTGGGAAATGAGGAAAGAGGGAAGGATCCAAGTAGCGGAGGGAGAATGAGAGATAATGGCAGGTGTGGTTTAGTTGTCTCCAGCCAGAGTGGCCTCACTCGCTCCCTTAATTATTAACACAAAAAAAAAAGCCTTACAATTATATAATTATAATTATTAAAAAAATGTTTAAAATAAGAGTAGGATTCTCCTACCGATCCGATGTATAGAGAGAAAACAATAAAAACCCCACTCTCATCACAATTTCTTACTTCATTAAATATAAAGTAAAAAAATATTAAAAAAGAAGGTTGGTAAAATGACGAAAAAGACCCCACAGACAGACACACATACACACTTTTACTTGTTTCTTTAGGAGTCCAATCAAAGTGACAGCGAAACTACTACCGTCACGGCTGTTCCTTGCTTTGTTGATTTTCATTCATATCATTGCATTTGCGGCTACTACCCAAAAAAAAAAAAGAGAGACATCTACGGCTCTTATTCTTTGTTGATTTTGTCAACGTTCGTCGTTTCCAATTGAAAGAAAATGTGCGTTTGTTTATTATATACATAAATGCGTGTTTCATAAGAAAATAAATCTAAAAAAATCATAATATTGAATATTTGGTATAGCTCAATGATTTGGTCTGTACATGATCTTGGTAAGAAAACTATATTTCTTCCTTTACTCCATGAGAAAAATAAATTGCCATCGCATATTAACTATTATTGATTGATTGTCATCATCCTTTTTTCTATGATGTATTATGTATACTAGGTTTTTTTTTAGGATTTACATCTTCTTATTATTAGGAATGCAAAAGTAAAAAAAAAATGAGCATGTGACAACCAATGGTAAGGCACACATGAGATGAGAGACACTAACGATGCCTTTATCTCTGTCCTAAAGTATTAATCATGACGTTTCTGCATAATGAACATTATTCCACTTTCGAATTTAAAGCAATGTTGTGCTTATACGGCAACTCCCAAGTGTACTTGTAGTATATGTTATGCACCAATCATTATCAAATTTAGTGACCTTCATTTGTATGGTTTCTTTAGCTCCGAATTTATATACATTTCGTGATCACACTCTTGAAATTCAATAAACTAAACACTAAACAGCTATAGTTATACTTATATAACCACTCTTATGATTAACAAAAAAAAAGTAATTGCATTTTAAGTTTTTAGTTAAAGTGTTACTTGATTAAAGTAAACTAAACAGTACTACTTTGGAAGTTAACATAATCTTAGGTACATATGTTATGATGACTTTAGGTATCTTATGATGACCTATATCATCAGGTTCTTGACTCAAATTTTGTTTATATTTTCCGTTTTTCTTAAAAAATATTTTAGGTGACACAGAATTTTATATATTCAAGGCATAAGAATATATAGCATAACAACTTCTACTTTACATGTTCTTTCCTTTTGGAGGGGGGTCTTTTATCTATAGCGAGATTGATCATTGCACCCACATGCATGTGTGATTGCTTAGATAGATATATTATTACTAGTAATGTACTTAAGTTAGACTAACCAAATGACATTTTAAAGAAATGCAAATCTTAACTTTACCTCAGGTTCTTTAAGAGTAGTTTGCTTCAGGGAAAATGTGCTTTAATAAAAAACTATGTTTCATAAATGGAACTCGCTTGGCCATCGAAGTTTTAAGGCCGAACTATACATTAACGTCTGATGTTTAGACATACACATACTACTTCAGTGATGCTAAATGAATGACCTCAAAGGCCTACCTACAGCTTCTTTAGCAAAATGAACGATGATGGGCTTTTGCGAAATGACTGCAATGTTATAATGAGGGCAAATGGTCTTAATTCATTTACTGTTACATTCTGTTTTCTAGCCATTTGTTTTCTGCAATCTCTTTCAAAGTGTTTTAGAATGAATCACTTGTGACTTGAATGTGCCATTGTAACTATCATGAACATGTCATTTACTTTCAAAATAATTATTTTCCTTTTCTTCCAATTGAAACACAAAACAATTTACATACACATCCAATGACTAGTGAGAATCCTTTTGTTACTCCAAACAACAACAAAAACACACAAAAAACCAGCTGAGAATTTCTGTAACCCTCAGATCCTCCATTGAGCAGTGCAAGATATTGATTCCAGCTGTTCTTGAAACCTGTCTGAATAATGGTGAAAGAGTTCATAATTCTTGTAAATAACCATCACTCGTCCTGTGTCGTCTGGTTTTCGATTGTGTCTGTGAGTTCAATGGTTCTAAAATCACGGAGATGTTGCAAAATATCTTTGAGAATATCTGTTCCTTTGTCACCTTTCTTCGCCGAACTCATACAGTTTTTCAGAAACTCTCCATCTGTTTCCAGCTCCTGTAACCTCTCATAGACACTATCAACTTGTTTGATGATCTCTAGCTTCTCACTTTCCAAACCAAAGTTCTTTTCAATGGATTCCGGTAGTTCTTGATACTCGTCTTCTGATTCATTCTCTGCTGCGTCTAGAAGAGGTAGCAAACTCTTTGCCATTGATGCCATTGTTTGTCCTTCATGTTCGTTATAACTCTCTTCTTCGTAACTATTGCTAAATTCTCCTGGAAATTTTGGATCCTCAGCTGACTCATTGTCCTGCATTGTTACTAGTCTGTCCTCTAAAACCCTAAGCTGATCCAAAATTACTAGCCTCTCTTCCTCAAACTCTGATAAGGAGTCACCAAGCATGCTCATATGTTGTACGCAATCCAATGTTATCTTCTCCAAATCCACATCTGTTTCAGAAGAATTATCCTCTTCTCCATTCTCCTCCCTTTTCTCATCATCATTATTATCATTATCATCCTCACAGTTGCTTTTTGTAATTGTGATTTTGTTCGTAGCATTCGATTCATACTCCAAAACCTTCTCTCGATAAATCTCAAGTTCTCTCTGGAGTTGTTCCTTCTCTTTCTCTCGTTTCACCATCAAATGATTCAACAGCTGTAAGGCTTCTTGATCATACTCGGCTTGTTCCTCCATCATTCTTTGATACTGCAACGCTTCCATCTGAACTTTTGCTTTCTCTTCTTGTAGCCTTGTGATCATTGCCATTGTCTGGTTAGCCGATATTGCAGATGCGCTTCTTTCTTCCTCCAGCTCTGCATATAAATCTCTCAGTGCTTCTTGTTCTGCTTTCACAGTCTCTTTCAGCCTTTCAATAGTCTTTAAAGGATCGCCAACTTCCATCTCACTCACTAATACACTCCCATCATCTGCATACTCATTTCTGGCAAGGAAAAGTAGTTTCTTGTTGAATAAAGTACTGATTGAAGTTGGAGTTTCCGGATCAAGCTTCTTAGTCTTTTCTTCTCTATCTTCTTCTTCTTCATTTTGTCTACCTATGAAAGCAAAAAAACTCTATATATTCAGACTTAAAGTGCTTCACATAGATAGACAAACTAACTCAAAGATGCATACATAATATGTGCTTCACTATTTTTTGCTTACCAGTCAAATTCTTGCTCTCAAACTGGTCATCCAACAAATCTGCTTCTTCTTCTTCAACTTCTTCTTTTTCTTCCACACGCACTGTTGTTTAATCACAAAATTAAGGAATCTTTAAAACCCATGTCACAGACAAAAGTAAATTTTCAGACTTTGGGTTAATGGATTCTCACTCTACCTGAAATTTGATCTTCCCCATGTGTCTCAACATTGCCTGTGTCATCATCATCCTTTTGTTCATCCTTTGAAACCCTTGATTTAGCTTCTGGTATCTCCTCTTCGTTCCCGGGAGAATTATTGCTGATGATAGATCTTAAACCTTCCTCCTCAGACACTTCTCTCAGGCTTAAACCATAGCTCTCAACATCTGAAATCACTTCACCATTATGCTGCTCTTGTATCTTACCTTCTTCTGCTTTACCTTTGAAGAACCCCAAGGGATATGATTCTCTCTCTATGTCAAACCCATCTCCAAAAAATTTATCATCATCGATCATCTCTAAGATTAATCCTCCGTTTTCTCTATCTCCCAGAGTTTTTCCCCAAATTGATGACTTGATAAGCAAGTAATTAGGGTAGGTTTTCTCAGCCAAGCTCTTCTGACAACATGTGCAAAACCCTAAACCAATGTTGCTCCTTTCCTCTTCGCGATTTGAGCAATCTGAGCACAAGTTCGCCGATTCGGATATTTTCCCGTGAGTTTTGCAAAAGCTGAGACTGGCGAGCTCGGCGACGTGATTTTGACATAAAAGCTCTCTGTAGTAAGTGAATCTGTTTTCCGGGTTTCGCTCGAAGAGTCGATCTAGCTTAGGGCAGAGAAGACAAACTTGCTTAAGGCCGAAGAAAGAAGCGAATTTGACGACGAAGTAAGTGAAAAGGGAATTGAGGAAGATGAAAAACATGAGAAGCCATTCGAGGAATGCGTAGACCAAGATTACTGTGATTCTGTTGGTGTTCCTGCTTAGCTTCGTCGCGAAATTGTTGGCCGCCATTGATTTTGGCTCCTCCTCTGCTTCCTTCGCTGCTGAGACGGAGAGAGAGAGAGAGAGAGAGAGAGGGAGTGAGAAGAGGAGAGAGTGAGAATGATGTTGTCGGGTAACATGCGCTAACTACGCTGTCTTTGTCTACTTTAAGCTGGTTTATATCTGAACCGGAATTAAGAACTAAACCGGAATAAGCTTTTATTATGTAAACTTCGATTTTTTTGGTTAACTTACTTAGAGAACCTTCAATAATCATTATGTTAGTGACTTGGTTCACGGTTGGTTATCATGTTATGTATGTGATTAAGGATTTTTTTAATTCTCTTTAGGAAAGTTGAATTGTCCGAAAGGCAAAAAAGAGAGGACGTGATGATGAATATTTGGCTGTCAAAAGAAACATTAGAAAAAGGGAAAAGGAAACAAATCTATTAAAGTGAGGATTGCCTCTTTTGCTTTTAGGTATGGGGTTAATGTTTGTTTTTCCTTTTGCCAAATGAATTTCCATTACATTGAACCAAATTATCACTCCAAACCAGAAACCAAACCATTCTAAAATTTCCTAAAACTTTTAGCCAAACCAAACCGAATACACCTAATAAATTGTTGATGGTTTTTTCTTTTTTAATTCGGAACAAACAATGACTTTGTGAAAGAGAGCTATGAATATACTTTTCTTTTTGTTTTGGTGAAGAGAGCTATGAATATACTATTGACTAATAATACACATGCTTTGTTGGTGAAGTTATTAATTAAATACAATTGTAGCACAACTAACAAAATAGCTTCACCAACAAAACATGTGTATCACTGATAACTTCAATTGGAGTTTAAAATTACCCACATTTTTGCTTGAAACTGTTCATGATTAAAGGCATTATGGACCCAACAGTACGACACTGATTTAAAAAGTTGACGATTGAACATTTTCTTTGGGTAGGTTCAAGCTAAATTTGGGGTCCCTAAAAAACGAAAAATTAATTGTAGGTAGTTTAAATGGACAATGCCCTCATGCCTCAAATGATCATTGCAAAATAAACCGATATCTAATGGTCCATGAGCCGCTACGTAAATTACCTGAGAGAGATCTTTTAATTTACTGAGACACTAAAGAAGTAGACTTGAGAAAATCAAGTCTAGCTTTGGTCAGCTTTATCTTCTCTTCTAATTCTTCTGCTTGCTCCTTCACACCTCTCACCACTTCTTCTGGAGCTTTCTCCACGAACTACAGTGTTTCAAAATCGTGCAAAACAAGCAGTTCAAAACCGAGCACCCGCAATTTCATGCGCTTATTAGAGACAAATTCTAACATGTGTTTTGAAGATTCTTTTCATTTGTAATGGTATACCTTTGGTGAACTGAGGCGAGTTATGAGGGCGCCATATTCAGTTTGCATCTTGGATAGACGTTTGGATATGCGTTGGACTTCAGAAGATATATCAACCATGGCCGCAAGAGGTAGATATGCCTCTAGTCCTTCACTAGCAACAAGATGGACTGAGAGATTTGCATCACCTGTAGAAACCAACCAGTTGTATTGTTTTACTTTTGACCACGAGTTGAAGCGGAATCCCACATAAATGAAATTAATTGAGATAACATGAAAAAAGGGAGCAAACTGGATTTAAGATTATTATACCAGGAGGGGAATTGGTAAAATGGACATTGTTTAAGTCGAGCCTTGATAGAAGAGCTAACACCTCCTTCTCTTTCTGCAGCAACAATAAAGACACAGCTTTTAACGAGTAAAAAAACACAAGGCAAATCATTAAACCTTTATTCGTAAGATAATTTAACTATTAGGAAAGAACAAGTTACTGACCGAAATATATTCAATAACCTCTGCACTTCCAACAACGGAGGCAGATATACGCTTTACCGGTTCCACTGAATACTCTGCTCGTGCATTTCGAATGGCTTTGGTCTGTGATTTAGCATGCAGTGTGTCAAATTTTTAGGAACTTCTAATATGAATCCTTTACGTATGGTTCTGTTGGAGGTTAGCAGAATATATAAAGGCAGAAATTCATACTGACCAGAGCTTGTAAATTCTCAAATCTTTTTATTGATTCAACATTCCTTGGAAGTGAATTTTGTGGCCATGGAGATACAATGAGCGCTTCTTTCCTGTAGGGAAGTGCCTACAAATACAAATACAAATGCAATTAGAATTTAGTTTTTTGAAGCTGAAATCATTTTGGTAGCAGTACCAAAGTATAAACCACATATAACTAGGTTGTCAGTCCTTTTGCATCATCTCCAAAACAAAGCAACACTACCAAGATAACAGTTTAAGCATTCATCGGTTTGAAAAACGTCCAGTGAGCATAGAAAAACTCTTAGGTATAAGGAAAAATCATCCCCAGAGCAGTTGGCCAAGTAAACGGTGAAGGGGCAACCAATGTAGAAATTAAATATACAGATAGCAAAACTAAGAGAATGCTACCTGCCATAGATCCTCCGTTACAAACGGCATAAATGGATGCAACAGCTTAAGTATATTCTCAAAGACATATAACAAAACTGCCTGAGAAGCTAGAGAAACTGAATTGCCTCCAGATCCATACAGTCGAGATTTGCTGGCTTCAATATACCTTTAGAGTAGACTAAGTTAGTCAATTAAGTCCAAGAAACATGTATTGGTTGTTAAGATTTCACGTAGTGATACCAATCAGCGAAGTCACTCCAAAAGAAATCATATGTTTCTCTTCCTACATCCCCAAAGAACAACTTCTCATAGCTTGCTGTGACGGAATCAATGAGAATATGGAGTTTTGACACCTGAAAATAACAAAAATGAATACAAGGTGGTAGACAAATTGATACTATTTGAAAGTTCAGGGTTATAATATTATACCGCCCAACATTCAGGCAAGGGTAAACTAAGCAGGGTATCCTCTTTGTCCAACTGTCAAAAGAAGAGAAGCTAATGGTTAGAAATTTGTTACTAAACATTACTAAACATTGTGAAATATCACAACAACTCGATGGTAAGTGAGCAGCCTAATGTCACGGGTCATGACACTAAGGTAGCTTATCTTGTGATGCAATTCTACGATTGTTCTAACTTAAGGAAAAAGGTACGCTCAGAAGGAAATACTCCATGAAAGAGTCTGACCAATCTCCTACATTTAAAGCTACCTCGTTTTTTTCTGAGACTTTTATGGTCCATGAACCCATCTTGACACAAAGATAGTCTTCAACATATATTAAATAGTTTGGACTTTTTATCATACTTAGTCTGTCACTAAAAGGACAAATGTACCACAGTTCCCTTATACTTTCTAGTGGAGAGGGAAAAGCAAGCAAACCTTGAGGGCCAGCAAATTCTCCCAAGCAGATGTATCACTTAGACTAGGCAGACTATGCAGCACAAACTTTCCAGCATTCCATAGTTTGTTGGTGAATGCTTTATTTGCAGTTAACCTCTCAGTAGATAAGTTCAGATCCTAACAAAAATGTAAAGGGGAAAACATAGAAAGTAATATAGACATAAATATGACATCTTAATGTAAATCTTTTATAAATCGTGGTTCAGCTGCCTCAACACAGTAGAGTTCAAACCTGACCAGCAGTCCCGAGTGCGATCGTAAATCTCAGAGCGTCAGTGCCAAAATCTTTGATTGTGTCAAGCGGATCAATCACATTCCCCAGAGATTTTGACATTTTCCTCCCCTGATAATTCCAAATAATTTGGTCAACTAAATGGAAATATACAGAACGTGAATACAAGTTTCCCCATAAATATAAATCCTAGAAGTTACTTAACATTTAAATAGCATAGAGGGAGAAGTGAGAGACAATGATATGAAAATCCTCAATGATCAAGGTTTGAGTAGTTACTTCATAAGGAAAAGAACATTTACTAGAACAAGCAAAAAGCCAAAACTTACTTGAGAATCCCGTATAAGCCCGTGAAGGTAGACATGAGAAAATGGAACGGTCCCTGTAAATTCTATTCCCATCATAACCATTCTTGCTACCCAGAAAAAAAGTATGTCATGCCTGTCCAAACAAAAGGACAATAGTTATATAGAGGAATAATAAGAATTTCAAAGATGCGAACTTACTAAAGCGCATTTTCTTTTCAGGTTTTACTTTATTTCAATATCAGTTCTTGGTAAGAAATTGATGTTGCCATATTGGTCCAAAATATTTTCCTTACTAGTGCAGGGTGTACCATTAATAGTAACCCTGATAGTAGCAGCCAGTGTTTTCCTGATCGACAAGAAAGAAAAGAATATACCCTGTCTCTAACATATTTGTAGGGTAGAAGTTATTGAAATCCTTCGCTGATACATCAGGCCAGCCAAGAGTGCTGAATGGCCACAATGAGCTGCAGACCAAAAAATAAAAAATTGGTAAGTTATATAAATTCTTCCAAAATCAGGAAAATATGTTCAGCTGCAGATATATTCTTTAAAGGAAAAGCACTAATCCATTGTGTGAAACTTTCACATAATTAAACTAGAGACTATTTCTATAACAATGTCACACAGAAGAAAAATAATCTCCAGATAAATCTAACTGAGAACCTAACCTGGAAAACCAGGTGTCAAGAACATCTGGATCCTGGTATATTTCAACATCTTTTCCATATTTCTCATGGGCTTTCTCAAGGGCTTCTTCAGCATTTTTAGCGACTATGTAGTCCTCTTCGCAATCCTTCCCAACCACATACCAAACTGGTATGCGATGCCCCCACCACAGTTGCCGGCTTATGCACCAATCCTTAATGTTTGTCAGCCAGTGATTGTATATCTGCAAGGGGCGACAGGATATATAAGCAAAAGCAGAAGTAAGCGGTGTAAACAATAAAAAATCGAATATGCCAAACTGAGAGGAGCAAAAAAAAACAGATACCAGCTCGATAACTAATAACACACAACTGATCGCTCACATACCTTCTCAAATCTCTCAGGTATGATGGTAAGTTCTTTGTTTTCAACAGCAAGAAGAGCCTTCTCAGCTAAAGGATCCATGTGGACAAACCATTGTTTGCTTACAAGTGGCTCAATAACCTAACACCAGTTAAACCATGCATGAGAAAATATATGAACTGAAAAAGTAATACTACTGGGTCAGTAGAAAAATACTTCTCCACCACGCTGAGATCTTGGAACTCGTAAAGTATGAGGCTCCTTCTTAACAGCTAAACCTGTCTCCTCAAGATCTGCCCATAGTTTCTCCCTCACCTCAAACCGATCAAGGCCACTGCAAATAGGATGTATGTTAGCGCCATGGACGCTAAGATGTAACCTAAGGGTATTTCATTTCATAATGTTGAAACAAATGCAGCTAATATATAAGTTTAAAACAAATTTTACCAAAACAAGCCAGCAACGTCATTTAGTGTTGCATCCTTGTTCATCACATTCAGTATGGGGAGACCTAACTTTCTTGCAAGGAGATAATCATTGTGATCATGCCCAGGACTTATCTTCAGAACACCAGTACCAAAATCCTTATCAACATACTGCCACGGTAAAAAAAAATACTGATGAGAAATGCATGAACAACAGCATAGGAAATACTATGAGGTATTCAGTTTCTTGCTTCTGAGTAACTAGAACAGTAGAACTTAGAAGTTTCCCAGCAAAAAGTACTGATGAGAAAAGCATGAAGAAAAGCAAAGAAAAACAACTGCAGCCTTTTCCTTGTTAAACTTAGAAAGAGATATTTGATCCTAGAAGACATCACAAAGAGTGAACAGGCAGTAGATCTGAGTTTACCTTATCAGAAATAATTGGGACATGACGACCATATGTCATAGGTACAATTGCTGTCTGACCAACATACTTTGAATAACGATCATCCTGTTAGATGTTAAATATATTTCACAACATTAATCCTCAAACGATACGCAATACTTGAAAACATATCGAACACACTTTGATAATGCCATCTCTGATTCCCGATATCCTAATATCAATGAAAAATTCAGTACCAACCTCAGGATGCACGGCAAGAGCCACGTCACCAAACAATGTCTCTGGACGAGTCGTTGCTATAGTAAGAAAATCAGGGCTGTACAAGGAAATATCAGATAAGCCGTTTCCATAAACAGAACAAAGGTAGTCACTAATCTTCCCAGAACAATTTACTAGCACAATTTAAGGTTAACTACTGCCGAAGCAACTCTTACAGACCCAGCGTTGAGTTCCACAAGTTTCTAATGATCATACCACATAATCTAACGCCTCGGTACGATCATGCTTCTATGAGCTCTTTAAACAGGAGAGAATAATCAAATTGATGTGAGAAGAGGTTATCTTTTCACATAGTTTTGCTATATATAAGGATCCTTAAAATACAGAGTAGAAGGAAAAGTAAAGGTAGTACTGGTAGTTGGACAGTACCTTCCAGCTACACGGTATTTAATATGGTATAGAAACCCAGGTTCCTCCGAATATTCTACTTCCTGGTAAGAACAAGACAGTCACTTCTAGAAAGAAAAGAAAAAGTAATCAAACAAAAGTGTTAGATAAGATACACCACACACCAAGTCTGAAACAGCAGTCTGTAAATTAGGGGACCAGTTGACCATGTAAGATCCTGGAACAACATTATGCCAAAATCACCAAACGTCGTATGAGTACAGCACATGCTACTTACAACTAAGACAACAGAAACCAACATACATATTAGTTTACCTTGATATATCAACCCCTTGTCATGAAGCTTCACAAAAGCCTCGACTACAGCTCCTACAAAATGGAGGGAAAGGAGAATCAAGGAATATAGAGAATAAAGTCAAGGTGTAGATATAAAGGCAAACAAGAAATTTTATGAACCGCCTAAAAACTGGATAATAGTTCTTGCTGAAGTTTTTGAATTCTTAAATACCATTTAAAATATAAAGTCAACTTTGAGCACCACCTATAGTTTGCTTTAAGAATCACCATACAGAAGATTTGAAATTATGGATACTATAGAAAGATGCCTTACGACTCAATTGCTCATCAAGAGTGAAGCGCTCTCTACTCCAATCACAAGAAGCACCCAGCCTTTTAATCTGATTTGTGATGGTTCCGCCGTACCTGAGAAAAGCAACACAAACTATCATTCCAGCCTTATCCTTAATATATCAGATACAAATACAGTGGATTTTATCTTTTAATGAAAGCAATGGCCTTTGGAATGGTATAAGAACATCATTTGACTAAATTAAAATAAACGTATAGGATCGTTCTCTTGAATTTTTTTTTGAAAAGATTCTTTGAATAAATTCATTGCAGTGATTAGATAGCATACTTCTCCTTCCATTCCCAGACTCTTTTGGTAAACTCATCTCTACCTAAATCCACCCTCTTAATGCCTTCCGATGCCAGCATCTTTTCCACGACCAACTGTTCCATATATAGAAGGTTAGTAAAATATTGCAGAAACATTGACCAAACAATGCAAATATTATATAAACAAACTATACTCAACAAGAGCAGGAATTTTTAATAATGAAAATGTGGGAGACTGGTGTAGGAAAGATAGCAATGGAATGGGAAAAAGCAAGATGTTAAAAATCAAAGCGAGCACAAAAAAAAACACACGCAAACATGAATATGAATATTATGCAAAACTTGAACTATGAACGGGAAAATGAACCTGAGTGGCAATACCAGCATGATCGGTCCCAGGAAGCCAAAGTGTTGGCCTACCTTTCATCCTATTATATCGAACCATAATATCCTGTAAAAACAAAACCAAAATACAATGTGATGAGAATAGCAGAACCATAGTCTAACACAGCTAACGCATAAAAAAAAAAGCATGACATTGCTAAACCATCTTTCAAGCCAACTTAAGAACTGGGGAAGTGCCTAACAAAACCGCACATATATGCATATTAAATAAACGAGGCAAAGCAAGACGAACAAACTAGGAAGCTAAATTGAAAATAGGAACATAAAAATGGAATACCCAAATGAGTGTGAATTATCTGAATATGGATTCCACAACCTCAAGAGTGACAAACATTGCATGGCCCATGTGCAGAGAACCAGTAACATTAGGAGGTGGCATTGGTATCACAAAAGGGCTGCCTCCTTTGTCAAAACTCGGCTTGAAGTACCCTTGCGACTCCCACCTAACAATGCCCAAAATCCCAAATATCGTCAGAATGATCATATGTTCCCATCATAGTACATTGCGAATATCCAAACTCTGACATTCAAATATCATCAGCAGAATAGAAAAAAAAAATACCAATTGTATATTTTCTCCTCCGAGGAAAAATCAAAGATCTTGGATGTCTCAGGAGAAGTAAAGACATTATTTCCTGACGCAGCAACTGAATAATCTTGTAGTTAATTATCGAATTAAGGGAAATTACAAACATAAGCAACCATTTGTTGCCAACAAAAGCTAAAGGCGACCAAAGAGGTGAGTGAAGAACACAAACCAGAACAGGAAAATCTACGTTTTGAGAAACTAGAATCCAAACGGGCCGGAGAAGTTAATCGACGGCGTCGGTGAGTGAAGAACAGAGTGTTGAGCTGGTGAGGACAGCTGGGAGATAGTAGAGTAGTAGCAGTAGTAGGCGTGGGTAGAGATAGAGCCGTTTGGAGAATCATGGCGGATTCTGAAGAAACGCCCGACAGATTCCCGAGAAAATCTGGGGCGTGACCAAAATTTGAAATTCCCAGGAAATAAAGAAGAAGAAGAAGAGATAAGCTGCTGAGGCAAATGGGGGTTTAAGGAGGAGGAGGAGGGAATGAAATGGATGAGGAAAGGGCGATTCTGTAATTACAACTGTTTTCATGGTCTAGCTCACAGTTCATATTTATTTTTGCTTACAACTTGGTTCAACAGTCCAGACCGAGTATATTTATTTACCTTCTTCCGTTAGATCACTTTTTTTTATGATGCTATTTGTTACTAGTAGTAAAAAACTTGTATGCAATGCAATCTTATCCACAATATAAGTAAAGTTGTACATATACTAGATTATAACTTATAGGTGGTGAAGAAGATTTGATTATTATGTTTTGTTTTTTTACATTTAGTAGAAGACAAAGAAGATGAGTGATGATCTCTTGAGGTCAACTTCTAAATCTCTTAACCCATCACCTTTGGTCTCCAACCAGCAATTACATCCTCTGTTTGCGCCTGTGTGTTCGTGAATGATTCCCTCGAGAAAACATTCTGTAAATCCATTATAGCGGGTTGGTTAATCCAAATGAAAAGAAATTGATCGAACAAGAATGCGGTTGTTGGAATTTGAGAAGAAACATCTAAAGGACTAGCTAGTTTTTTTTTCAGACATTTACCTCCATGTATGATTTAACGAAAGAAAGTGAATCTGGAACAGACCAGTTCTTGAAATGTCCCAATGCAATCTTCATGTGGTATAACTTTGGTGCCAATGACAAATCTGCTGCTGAAATCTTCTCTCCATTTATGAACGGCCCCTTCACAGTTAATTTAGGAAGAATAGACTGGTAAATATATGTTTGGCTCATAATCGAAGAACTAGTAATGCAAGAGATCAAGACCAAAAGAGCTTACATTGTCCTTGATATAGTCGTTGAATGTACTAAGCTCATCCAGGAAAACTTGCTCAGTTCCATCTCCTGAATCTTTGCTCTTGAGAAAACCGATAAATGTGGAAAAGATCTTCGACCCACTGCAGACATAGGCAATAAACGCAAATTCTTAACTGGAAGTATGCAGATTGTCAGGCTGAACCTTTTTCTTTCCAGGAAAGAACACTAATAAGTCAATTGCACAATAACAAGTACACAATAACAAGTAGACGGCATAATAAGACTGAGAAGAAATGAAAAGGATTAGCTTACACTGAAGCCTTTTCAGGTGGGGTTGCAAGAGGAGGTTCAGGATACTTGTCTTCCAAAGCCTGTGTTATAACATCCGAATCTGGAACCCATTTCTCATCAAACTTCACCACTGGTACTTTACCTTCTGGACTAATCTTCAAGAACCTGAAAACATCAAAACAAGAAGACGACACGTTAAGAAAATACTAAAGGAAATCAATGACTGCTATTAATTAAGAATCATGTCAACTTCAAAACACATAAAGGAATGAATCCAAGTGTATTCACCATTCTGGTTTGTTACTCAAATCCACCATTTTCATGTCATAAGGGACGTGCTTCTCCTCCATAGTCAACAACACCCTTTGGCAAAATGGGCCTATCAATAAAATTACGCAATATAAACAACTCACTAAGAAAAAACATCAACCTCAGTTTTAAGTCTACTAATCTTCAAACGAAACAAGGATCAATTTCCAGTTTTATCAAACACATTTCGAAATTGTTTGGATAGTTATAGTTTTCTAATCACTATAGACAAACTACGCATCAATTTAGATAGCACGATCAAATTACAGCTTTTAATCCTCATTCCAGAATTCAAAGTTAAAGTCGAGAAAGAGAGCTAACAGTCTCCGAGCTTATTGGGAGTAGTGATAGATGCTTTGACGCAGATTTCGAGAGGAGGACTCGCCGCCATTGCCATCGTTCCGAACCGGAAGGTTCTTCCCGGTTTAGTCGAACCGCACTGCTTGATATAACCGGCGCGGCTGACTGACGCCGATAAAACACCGGCGGTGCAGGGTTGAATCCTAAGGCTTATCATTTTTTTTGGGTCTGTGGTTAAGTTCCAAGTGAGTCAGATGACTCAGGTAATCTGGAAATTTCTCAGTGGCTAAGTTGACTGACACGTGGAGAAATATTAGATATCGCGCAACGATCATAATGGGCCTCAAGATCTTCGATTTTCAGCCCACTTTGTTTTCAGTCGTCGTAGCCCACTCAAAGAAGAAGTTTGTTTTTTGTGGACAGCAGACAAAGTTTTTCTTTAGACACGTTAAACGATTCAACTACTAGTAGTCCTGTAGTAGTGTATGTTGAAAATCTCCAAGAAAAAATTGTCATGTGCAAATATTTGCACTTTTTTTTTGGAGTTCTAACATTAATCTCTGGGATAAAACAGTAAATTAAATTAGTTTTGTAAAAAATATTTTCTTGTCACCAAAGCTTTTAATTTTCCTTCTGCTTAAGACTACGATCCTTTTTTTTTTTGTCAAAGAGCTTGTAGTGATTAAGGCATTAAGCTATCATTAGTTGAGTGCTTGCAAATTTTATATAAAATCAAAAGTGTGCATACTTATATTTTTGGGCGGTGTATTATAATAAACTAGTATACTTTTGAGTAATTTTGACATCAAAGTTTCAAGGGGAAACATGAAGTTTTATTTCCAAGGATAAGTGTATATTTATATAAATAAAGGATAAAGATGCTCGATCGTAGTCTTGATGAGATTACAAATAGCTTATTTCAAGAAGAAAGCATATAGAATTCAAAGAACTTTGAACCATTGGATAGCTGGATCACACGAAGCATCCTTGGTCAAACACTTGCAAGGGTTAGCGACGACGATGTTGTCACGTTCGTCCACGTCAAGACATAGCAACAAACCATTACTTGTCTTGAACGAAAAATGCATCTTGGTAGCTGCGATCTGTCCCAACTTAGAACACTTTGTGCCAACTCCAAGCTTCACCTTTTGTCCAGCAACATTTGGAGCTTCGACGCACATTTTGTTGATCCGAAGAATGCCTTTGTTGGGGTTGAAAGTGCATGGGTCAGCTTTAGGGCATGGTCCTAATCGAACTGTGGCTAATTTATATGAGGGGCTATTCGTGACGCAGAGTCCAGATGATGGATGGAAAAGAACGTTCTTGGATTGTAATCCAGGTCCTGCATGCATACATCTCAAGATTCGGAATTTTTAAAAATTCAAGAATATGGTTCGAATAGATTCTTTCACACATTATTAATTTGGACAATTACGGTTCTGAATGCGGCATTTAAATCCATTTATACTAAATAAAATGAATTGATATTTATATGAAATAGGAGAGAGAGTATCACTATATATATATGACTATCACTAATATTATTTCATTGGTGCGTTACATATTTTAAAATAAGTGTAACAAGTTCGGATTCGATTATGTGGAAAAAAACTAATTTAACATATGCTAGCTCTAATCCCAAAAACAAAAATACTATTACTAATTTGCGTTTTCTCTTTATTTAGATATACAAAAGAGGAAGAACTCTTACCTCTAAAGGGCTGTTGGATTCCGGAGAGTTTCTGCAAGTAAGTAGCGTTTCTCACGTCTTTCCAGTTAGGGTAACCGAAGAAGGCGTCGAGGTCATTCTCGCCACAGCACCAGCCTGAGGTTGTCAAGTGGTTATCTAGTATCACCATCACTCCGTTTTCTCCAAGGTTCGATACCACTTCCTGATCATGACAAACAGTATAATATCGTATTTTTGTAATTTGCTATTGTTTCAAATTAGTTCACGTTTAGATATACATAGTCCATCTACTGAACATAAACCGGTCTAGTCCGGTACAATAGGGATCGAATAAATCAATATTTGATTACGAGAAAGTAGTCTCTTAACATTGTCTTTTACCTGGAACGCATTGAAAAGGGGGAGATTAAGGATTTTGGGGTTGTGAGTTTGAATCCCACTAACATCTTCAAACAACTTCAAGATTTCGAAAGACTGTTTAACAGTAACCTTAAGGGCCAATGTGTCATTAGTCATCAAATCAAGAGGCCAAGTGAGCCTAACGCAGTTACATCCCATTGAGATAATCTTCTTGGAGATGGAGTCTAATGGTTGTTTGCTTAGCCCTTCAGCTACCGTGGGCTGGAGATGAGCCGGCCAGTTCACGCAAGCTAGCTTCACCCTTTGGCCTTTCTCGTCCACAATCCATCGAGACTTTGTGGAGAGGGGATAGCTTGTGGTCAACTTTGATGTCGAAGAAATGAATAGGAAGAATAAACAAACATAGACGAATCTATCCATGATCATCGTTGTGTGTTCTTCCTTTTTTTATTTTGAATTTGATTCGTAATATATAGTGCAACGAAGTTAGTTTAGTTTCTGGTTTTTGGCAGATTATACGTGTTTATGTTTTAGAGATTTTGTTCCAGCAAGAGAAATTAATTGAAGCAAAAAATCCTAAGAAAAAACAATAATCGACACATAATGTAGTAACCACCAAATCACCAATCTAAGGTGTGTATTTCCCAAAGTTAAAATTAATATATTACAGAAGCTATAACATTAATTGTAACAGTAAAAATTTGTTACTATACTTAATTTCATATAACAAGAAAACAAATATCTTATCTTATAGTTTTTGAATGATTTTTGTTCTGTTATAACAAAAAAACTGAAATAAAATAGAAAGTAAACACAACTTTTAACATAATACAGTAATTTATTTGTGTGTCACAAATCATAGTTTACTCAAGTATCTTAAGGTGTAGATATAATAAAGTATTAGATATACTCTTTTTAGTTACCTGTTGTATAAGTGTGTAGAAATGACATTGATCAAGATACTTTCAGTCACCAATGTACTAAAACCAGTTTCGGCGTCTTATATCTCCTTGTTTCTCTTTACTACCATTGGAGAAGAACCAGCCTAAGAATGCACCTACTGGTGCAAAAAAAGCCGCACCAATTGCTGCACTCATCTTCCCGAACGGGATAGTTTCTTCTCTATCTTCTTCCCGATCAACGCAAGCATCTAGAGGCCCACCACACAAATCCAGGTTATTAGCATAATTCTCAGGTACGATGTGCAAGGATTCCTCAAAATTCGGGACAGGGCCGGTCAGAAGATTGTCTGCCACTGAGAACCATTTGAGCCGTTTAAGTAGCACTAGCTGGGGAGGAAGCTGGCCAGTGAACTGATTATGACTAAGCGTAAGACTGTTCAGATAGTTAATGTTTGATAAGCTGACAGGGATTTCACCGGAGAATTGATTGTAGGAGAGGTCGAGAATTGTAACAAATGGAATTAAAGAGAATATGTTGGATGGTAAAGGACCAGAGAAGTTGTTTCTAGAGAGATCCAGACCTGTCAGATCAGAACATTCCTTAATTCCAAGAGGAAACTCTCCTTTGAGACCATAACCAGAAAGCTGAATGCTCATAACCCTTTTCAGATCCCAACAATCGACACCGTTGAGTGAGCAGATAGACCCTTCAGTTTCGTTGGCAAAATTCCAACTGGACAAGTATCCATTGGGATCTTCAACTTGGGATTTTATGGTCCTCAGGCAATTTACGTTGGCCTTGTTCGTCCATGGGAAGCTAGACACCAGCAAGAAACAAAGACAAGTCGTGACCAGGGTTATCATAGACATTTTATGATTTCGGGGTGTTCAACAGAAAATTAGAGCAGACGGGAGAATTTGTTACAGTTGCCAAAACTCGAAGATGGGGAACTGTAAAGACATCCCAAGTCACTGGTCCAATAAAAGGAGTTTAGGGAGGAAACTTGAGAATCTTAACACAGAAAGACTTTTTCCATGGTTTTGAATATTCAACTATGGATAATAATAAAAAAGAGATAAAAGCTTGTTGACGAGTCTCAGTTAGATCTAGTTTTCTATTGGTGAGTCAGAGTCATGATTCATGAAAAAAATGAGTTTACTATTCTGTTTACATTAAGATAAGACGTCAAAGAAAGTATTTTATGCCAGTTCTAATCTCTATAAGCGTCTGAACAGATTCATGGAAACTGGTTATGAACACATATAGATTAAAGCACACTTACAATGGAAGGAAGTATTGAAACTATCCTTAAGAACCAAAAGCCACTCTTTGTACAAAATCTGGACGTCTTTTTGAAGGCATGCGAATTAGTCCTGCTATCTGAAGCTCCATTACAGCTCTGCAAAATCGAGCTCTGTTGGAACAAATGTTAAGGAATCTAAAGTTTTATGATCAATTATGAAATCTCTGGTTGCCTGCATTTATGTGAAATGTCCTGCAAAATGAAAAAAAAAATAAAAAAGGATGACAGTAGGTGGATCACCGATTATTAATTTTGATTCTAATTACTAAAGAATGAAATCGAGATTTCTTTTTCTTCCCAAGGACATAATCTGAATACCAAAAAGGATACTGAATTAGAGCTTCAGCGGGTGCTTCTGGTTCTTCGCATATATCCTTCCGTTTCTTTGATTTTGAAGATGACTTTGATTTTGGTTTAGCTTTGCTAGTCCGGGGAACAAGTATTGTCTTGAAAGATTGATACCAGTCATGGAGGTTAATAACATCAGCGTGCTCTTGTGCCAGTGTGTACCTAAATAATCAATTATCACAAACCTTTCTTGAAACACATATTGAAACAAAGAAAGGAGAAATAAGTGGGTTTGTGTTCATGTGTTTGGGACAACGGAAATCTCCGAAAATCATATTCCAGAAAAAAAGTAATACCAAAAGAATTGTTTCAAGAGCGATAACATGAGAATGCAAGTTTACAAAGGTAAAGGACGACTCACAAAATCGACGTATCGTGCATGGAAGGCAATAGATTTGTTCCTCTCTTGCTGCAACACACACAGTGAAGGATATTGTGAGATTCCAGTAGATCTGATTGGATCCTGCCTCTTGGGTCTCCAAGCAAAGCCTAAAACAGACACAAATATCAGACTAATGAGAAAAAGAGAAAAAAGCCAAATGTAAAGTTTTAAGCACTAAGAGAAGCGACAGCAATCTATCAATCTTTAATGAATCAGTTAAAAAAAAAAAAAAATGTTCAGACTTTCTAAGAATTGATCCTGTAACTGGTTTGCTTTAAGTTGATAAGAATGATACAACAGGAGCAGCATATAATAATTAATAATCTATTATAAAACTTTCATGTAATATAAGAATAAGAGAACACAAGAGGAATAAGGATGTTAAGTACTTACTGATTGAAGTTTATCGACATCCTTGAAACATAAAATTTCATGGAAAGGAACATTCTCAACTGGCTTCATATATTCCCTACTCCATACAAAAGATTAATTCAGAAGTTACGTATAAAACATTTTGAAATGATAACATTCTAAATTACGGTAGTCAAATCAAAAAACAATGTAACGTTCAAAAACAAGGTGCTTTCTCGGAGGTAAAAATACTCCGTGACAAAGTAAAGTTCACCTTAGCATGAATTCTATGACTACGGCGACCTTATCAGTCATGGCTTTAAGCTCCTTTTCATGTTTTGAAATGCTTCGTGATGCATGCTTTCTGTCACATCAAAATCAAACTTTTATTCAGTGTACGTGGTTACTAAGATGAGCAACAGAAGCTAATGAGAGTAGATGAACTTCTGTATATAGAAATCAATACATATCAGCTGCATAAGACACCAAGTTTCCTCATACACAGGAATGATGGGAACAAAGGAAAATATTTTAAGAGACTGACTTTCCAAGAATATAAAAAATCAAAAGGGAAACTATCTAAACTCATACATGGTGTTCAGTTTGAAAAGAGAACAATATTTAGAGATTTACTTTGGGCTGTTAGGAAGTCCTTGTCTCTGACCTGCTGCTTCCACGGATCTCATAAACGGATGCAATTCCATTACTTTATCATTGATCTAACGGCAGAGAACAAACAAACAAGTTAATAACTCATCTAGAGAAATCAAAACTGAAGATGGACAAACATATATCGATAAACAAAACCTATCTAATAAGATGCCAAGTGATTCATCTTTTCACGATCATTTACGTGATATCTCTCAAGCAATATTTTCAGATATATAGATTCCAAAACAAAAGTTCAATGGAAATGACGTGATAAAATTTAGTTAATTATTACCTCACTGAAATCCGCAGTGAGATTTTCCCAACTTTTCAACATGTTAGACAGCTGTGAAGGTGAAAGGTCCCTGAGAAAATTTCCATGCAAGAGTTCCAAAACTTTTGAGTTAATCTCCACAATCTCTCAATGACCTATAATTTTTAGGCTCACTAACCCAAGAACAGATAAAATTATTAATCGATCTAACATGATTTACCGAAACTTATCCTAAAAATCTTGTTCCCTAAATTTGGCAGCACAATGTAAGTATACTAAGATGCCATCTGAACAGAACCATCTGAAAATTATGTGCGGTCCACAAGTTTAAGAAAGTACTTGGCTGCTATTATGTGAGGGAGATATTTCACGTTTATTCCTTACAACTCAATTCACCTGAGCTTGCGCAGAACCCGTCTAATAACACAACTACGTCCTGAATCGTGAGTCTGACAGTTGGCAGTTGCCGAAGGTGAAAAATATCTCAAGTAACGTGCTTCTGGGTCAAGTGTCTCACAGAATATGTCTAGCAGTCGAACTTTATCATACTTTCCAGCTTCATATATACACTGCAGATTAGTATACAAAGAATCTGCTCATTAGTTTATACTAAAGCAGAAATCACTCTAACCAACTGCAGAACAGAACGACCTCATATTTCCTCTATTCACATACAATAGGAGAAAAATAATATGCATCAGGAGTCCAGATAAACTGGTAGAAGAACTATGTGAGGAGAAACAATAAAAAAATCTGCCTTAAAACAAGAAATCGAAAAGAAACAGTCTAGGGAAAGAACTCATAATTAACCCACCCAGAGAACATAAAGTGCAACATTCCCTATCAACGTTGTTAAGCCCATTGGAATATTTTTAATCATTAAAAAAGATTTTTCACGACATTTCCTATCTAAGTTGTTAATAAATTGAAAAACTATTTTTCACAGAAAAACGGCATCTATGATGATGAACCATAACAAAAAAAGAGAGACTCACCAAAATTACTATGCTCCAGGGATTTGGCATCCTTTGCAAGTCAGACAAAAACTGAGGCAGCATTTCATAAGTACTCCGCGTAATTTTATTCCTAGTCAAAAGTTTACGAGAAGAAATTAGTGCATCTAATTCCCTATTAATCCATGAATTTCAAAAATGACGATCAAAACTGGCCGCCAGCTCTTACAACATACAAATAGGGAAATCATAAAATCGTAACGATGGTAAAATTTTGGGGGTACCTCGTCACAGATGGCAAGTGAAAGGCATGCTTCATTGTTGCTTCTGTCAATAGTCCAGTACCTTTGTCTGACAGCTTTACAGGAGAAAAAAACAGAGTACATATGAACTCTTTGTAATATCTATCAATTCTTAATATGCGAAACATGAGCTAAAATTCTTAATTATCAACTACGCTATTATACATATGGAAGTACTAACCAAACCAAAGTCAAATATATCTGAGAAAGCTGAAGGATCTGTTGAAATATATCTGTTGAAGTTGCAGACTAGGACATCAGGCATACCTGATTAATACCATCTTGACAGAAGTGCTCGAGCATGATACTTAAAGGCTCTGATGAGAAATGCTGTAGACAAGCTATCTGAGAAAAGAATGTATAACCAAATGAACAACAGATATTAAATGATACAAAACAAGTTGAAACCTAATCGTAAAGGGATAGAAATACCTTGAGAGTTCGAACAAAAGATGTCAGTGTTCCATCTTGGCACAAAAAGTAACTTCTCATAAAAATCGCCACCTTATGGCTAACAGTGAACCCAGAGCATGGCCTTAGAAAAACAGCCTCGAGAACTGCATCCATTCGTTCGGCAGGAGAACTAAGAGTAAACCTAATAGCACACAGTCTCTGCAGCGCGTTCACTGATAGTATCTTTCTAGGTGCATCATGTGCTGTGGACACACCCATTACTAAAAAAATTGGAACTTTGACTGCCCATTCACTAAATAGAAAAAAAAAATGAAAGAGCAGGTCACACTTTGATATGGTGATGACTTAACTGAAAGTAAATAAAATTCAAGGTTTCTGAAAAACAAAAATCTAATACTCCAATGAGCTGAGAAACCTCAACATGATACAATGTAAACGCAGCAAGCATAAAAATGTTCATACCTCAATATAAGAATTAGATCTGACAGGACAGACCCACAGCATCTCTCTGTATCATCCACAATTATTACCACGGGATTGTCATGGTTTTTGTTTTCTCTATACCATGATGCAAGAATGGTTACATCAGCCACCTGCTCAAAATTCGCGTTACGAAGGAAAGCACTTAGTGGATACAGTAACTGTGCAAGTAGGCTACAAAACAAAAGGATATGGAAGGCTATGCAGACTTTACTAACATCTATGGTTGGCATCACAAACTGGCGTAACAAACCTCTAAGGCAACCTCCTACACTAGTCTTGGCTGAGAAGTCCATAGATGAAAGCTTAGCCACATGGCATCCTTGAGTCTTCAATTGCAACTCCAGTTCTTGAAAAGTCAATAAATCATCAACCATTTCCAGATTCCCTGAAAATAATATAAAGTTAATGTACAAGAAGATTCCCTAAAAACATCATCTAAATGCTACGTGCGGAGACACTAATCTTTAAGGACTTACTTGTGAGAACCATAGCAGTGAGCAGTTGCTTGGAAGAAGCCTGAGTTAAAACAGGATAAGATCGAACTGCTTCTGATATCCTCAGTGCCCCAGATGATACGATCGATTCAAATGATTCCCTTATCCAATCATAAATCCCACTAAATACTTTGGAGTTGGAATTTCTCAGAACATCCTGCCAATTTTTTTAAAAAGTCCCAATTACAACTTTTAATAGGGAGAAATCAAGGAAGACCGACCCTAACGTTGAAGATTCAAACACATTAGAAGCAAATTTAGATTAAATAAAAAGATTGAGACTCACTGCGATTGTCTTTTCGATTTTCGACCAGACAGTCTCAAATACTTTCAAGCGTAGAGTCGAGAAAAATTGGCCATCTTCTTCAACGCTTTCGACTTCAGATCTCTTAGCAATTTTAGGCGTAGGCGACTCAATCCTCCGTTTGCTTTTCACAGTCCCATTTAATTTCCCATGGAGGTTGCTCCCAGACGAAGCCTTGTGGAGTACAAAAAATGGCTGCCATGAAAACGAAGAAAATATACACATACGTATCACAACCAGCTCACAACGAAATCAATGTTCCAATTCAAATTTTTGAGTTTCTGAAAATCCAAACGGCGTTTCAGTGAAGAATGATGAAACAAAATTTCGACGGACCCGAATGTCATTCTCTGATGTGTCGCCGGAATTAAATGAATCGTTGGTTGAAGTTGGTAGGGGATCAGCGACGGTGCCGGAAGGCGCCATGGGAGCAGGAGAACGAACAGTCGTTGGTGGAGCAAATCGACAACTTCTCTCTTTAGGGTTTTAGCGCGCCTGTATCTCGAGCCGCTCTTTTTGGCGGGAAAAAGCGTGCGCCGACCACAGAAGGTAAATCTCAAAACTAAACCAGATTAAACCGGAGTTAGACCGGATTAAATTGAATACTGTAATTGTAATAATTAAATGGTTTTATTTTATTATTATTTTGGTGGTCTCTTTTTAATTGGGTGTAATTAGTTGGCCATTTGACCAAATAAAGACCACAAAATGTTTTTAACTAGATAAAAGTTAGTATTATCTTAAATGTCTTCCCTAGATTTCCAATTAAGAGATTTAGGGGGTGTTATTAGATGGAGAATTTTAAGGGATTTTAATTACGGGTGGATTTTAAAATTCAATAGCCTTTTAATACAATTAAGATGGATTTGGTATGAAAGAGATGAAATCCTTTGAAAAGTGTTAGGATTGTGTTTGTACGTGTTTTAGATGTAAAATACATTAAAATCTTAAAGAAAACAAAATCCATTGAAAATTGAATAACGCTTGTTTTAAAATACTTTAAAATACATCCAACAAATGTTAAATCCAATAACAGCAGATTTTATTGTGGTTTTTAAAATACATCGTTAAATAACGCTAGATTTTGAAATACATCCAAATCAATTAAAATACAAAGTTGAATAACACCCCCTTAGAAAAGACATCATCAATATGTAAACTTTTATATTCACATATTACTAGGGATTAATGATTATTTTACATAAAAATATCTCAGAATTTTCAGAGAAATTAAACAGCCAAAGAGATAAGGGGGTCGGTCAGATTCTTCTCTGCGTTCAGAAAAGTCTTAAGGAGGAGGAATCGATCAAACACAGAGACAAAGATAAAAAAGAACAAGGTAATTTAGTAACTGTAATTCGGTAGTAACCACGTTTAAAAGCTCTTCTTAATCTTGTGTGTGTGTGTGACTAAATCCAACAAATATTCGTCAAAACAAATACTAATTTATTATTGAAAATTTATACGTCTGAATATATAAAAATATAAGTGTATGTGTATATGTATATGTGGGCGTATAGATCCTGAGAGAGGTATATATCAACAGCTTTCATCTCTGGCTCGTGTTGTTTGTGTATATCACGAGGAAAAGGCAAGAACCCAGAAGAAACTTAGGGAGAGCTATCACTTAATCTGCTTAGACCACTCAAAGGGAGGGGAGGGAGAGAGAGATAGATAGATTTTTAAATCAAATTGGCATCGAATCTGGGTATAGGGAGATGTTAGGGTTTGTAGGAGTTGGAAAGGGAAATTAGGGTTTCGTGTTTTTTTCTCGATAGGCTGATGGAGATGCTAGGGGAAATCGAATTCAAAGGGACATGATTTGGAGACCTGAATCATGTAATGTTATTTCCCAATTTTAGGGATTTTTTTTTTGATTTTTTTGATTGATTTTACGTTAGATTATCTCTAAGATTCCGTGTTTTATGGGTTCGTTCTCCTATTAAGATTTTTTTTTATGGTGATTGGTTGATGATGGTAATTGATGTTTTCTCTTCTGGGTTTGGTTTAAATTTGTAAATTTGTTGTTTAGCTGCTTTATGATCTCCATTTTGTTGGAAAATGTTGTGCAGTTTTGTTAATATGTTCTTTGTCCCTTTGTAACAGTTGCAAAGAGCTGGATAGAAATCGGTTTCGGGCAACTTAATTCTATTGTAGATGGTGAGATTAACCCCTTTTTTCACTGTTGCTGTATTATCCTTGTTCGTTTCCTGGGTGACAAGAAGTGATGAAGTTGTGTATTTAGCATTTGATCATGACATCATGCACGTTTTACTTTTTGATTGATTGTGATCATGATAGCTTTTGATGAAGCTGTGAAGTTGGTGGTTCTAAGTAATATAACAGCTTCATATATATATATGGCTATAACTACACTTTTGTAGTATACTCTCGAATTTACTTCTTTGGTGATTGTTGTTGTCAATCACTCTTAACATTTTATATTTTTATTATATCTCCTGCAGGCTGAAAGAAGAGTTGGTAAGCGCTCAATGGGTCAGAGAGGTTTTTCAAAAGTGGAGTCTGGAACTTGTAATGTTTGTTCTGCTCCTTGTTCATCATGCATGCACCGTAATGTAGGTTTCACAGGACCAAAGTTGGACGAGTCATCAGATGAAAACTGTCATGGACTAGTGGGTAGCCAGTGTTCTGTAAACGAGGACGGTCTTTTGCCTTCTTCCATGGCTAATGCTCACAACAGTTTAAATACCACTACTAGTGAAGCAAGTAATCTTGTTAATTCCAGTCATGATGCTCTCTCTGAGAGTGCTGAGAGTAAGGAAACTATAAGATTTTCTGGGATATCAGATGATTCAGGAGCTGTTGCGATGACGACTTCTAAGACATCTCTATCTGGGAGCAAGATGAAACAGAAAGTTTCTGAACTAGCTAAGGTGTTAGATCAGAGCTCTAATTGTGTAGAGGGACAGGAAGATGGGACATTTTCTGATGATCGAGCCAAAAAATCAAATTCAGGTTATCTGAATAACAAGATGGGCAATAAAGATTCAGCTGATGGTTCAGCTCTGGTTTCTGATCCATTAATTCTGGGTGGCTCTAGGAAAGATGAAGTGAAATTACAATCTTTGCATAATTCATCATCCAACCATGAGGACAGAGTCAGTTCTGAGAGAGGAAATTTCAAGGAAAAATCAGGATCAGGGGGTGACAAACAGAGAGAGGAATCTTCAGTTGAAGGATCTACACGTTCAGGCGAGAATAGGAAGGATGGTAAGTCAAGTAAAAGCTCTTCGTTAAATAAATCAGATGAGCCAGTCTCATCAGCTGTGTCTGAGAGCGAGAGTGATGACTCTGAAATGGTGGAACATGATGTAAGTAATACTGTTTTGTCTTCATATTAGAAGAAATTAGCGAACACATCTACTTTGTCTTTTGTTGCCATATTTGCTCAACAATATTTTCATGTGAAAGGGGTTTATTTTTTTGCTGATTAGGTAAAGGTTTGTGATATATGTGGAGATGCTGGTCGTGAAGATTTACTCGCTATCTGTAGTGGATGCAGTGATGGTGCAGAACACACGTAAGCCTACTCTTCTATTCATGGAGAGAAAACATACTAATGGCCAATTTACAAATTTGGCATTTGTCCGCATGTTAGGGATATAATTTTATTTTGGATAGATATTAACCATTAATTTTGACTGTCATGTCGTCCATCGATTATAACTCAAGGTAGGGCCATTTTATGTGATAGTAATATAGTTGTGTGTTTTATTTTACGTAGCTATTGCATGCGGGAAAGGCTCAATGAAGTTCCTGGGGGTGATTGGCTATGTGAAGAATGTGCTGAGGAAGCTGAAAAGCAGAAGCAAGGTAAAGCTGAATAGTTTACTGGGCATGCTATATGTGAAAAAATTAGCGGAATAAAGTAGCATCAAGTTTGAATCTATGGTGCTGTTTTTTTTTGTCTAATGAACTTGAAGTTGAAACATGCAGAGGCTAAGAGAAAAAGAGAAACTGAGGTAACCCTCAATACACACAGCTCCGGCAAAAGGCACATAGATAAAATTGAGGCATGTCCAGATGCAAAAAGACAGGCAGTTGAGGCTTCAACTGGGTCACCCAAGAAACCTATTCTCCCCAGAGTAGGTGCCTTATCTCGGGAAACTTCATTCAAGGGCTTAGACAGGTTAAGGGGAAAGCTAAACCATCAAACATCATTCAGTGATGACACAGAAAGTGTACGATCTACTGGTTCACAGCCCCAACCTCCTAAAGGTAGGCTGCATAATGGCACTGCTGTCCCTAAACGCAACTCTCTCTTTTCTCTTACCTAGTTTTTTGTTTCTTCAGGTGCATTTTTGAAATCCAGTTCCTTCAATTGTTCGAGCTCAAAACCGAAAGTACAACTTATGGATGATGCTATTCACCCAAGACAAAAGACTGCACTTGAGTTAAAGGAGAGAAATATTGGAAAATCAATGTCAAGTAGAACTACAGATCAAGGGAGTTCTAGTGGTAATGACTCACACACAAAAATGATTGGATCGAAAGTTTATCATTTGCAAGAAGGCAAAAGCTCAAAGCAAATGAAAGATCGTGGTACAGAAGCTAATGTGTCAACATCCTCCATTGACCAGAAGTTGAAATCACGTGGCAATTCGTCTGTTTCACATGCAAACAATAATCGTGATTTCAAGGGTTTGCAGTCTGATGGTAAACGAGGTAGCTTGACAAAACAAGTCAGTAATCTTAACCGAAACCGTCTAGAAAATCCAGTTGCGGCGGGTATGATACTTGTCTTTTTTTGTCAATAAATTTAATTTATCCTTGATAGTACTTTGTTTTGGTATGTTTTTCTATGTGTTTTAGTATATGATCCCCCTTTTTTTTTAGGGGAAAATGATCCCCTTTCTAAGATATTATAATTGAGCTCTTTTTATTTATTTTTTCCCTATGCAGGAGGGGATATTTCCACAAATGAAAAGTGCAGTGCCAGCGAGCAAAGTTCAAGTCAAGCTGACTGTAAGGACGAACTGCCAAGCCACGGTACTGTAGCTTCTCATGATGGATTACCTCGGTCCAGGGAATCTAGAGAGGTAGGGAAGAAAAGCAAAGAATTTGGTAAACGCCAAAGGTCTAGCCTGTTATCTGGTGCAAAAGGCTTACCATCATCTCAAAAGGGAGGTCAGACTGTAGAATCTAGTGACACCCCAGGCGTGCCTGATAGTGATCTCTCTACCACAAAAAACGTTAAGGAGGATATAAATAAGGGTAATAGGTTACGAGCAGCAGTAGATGCTGCTCTGCGTAAAAAGCCCAGCTTTACCAAGAACAGAGGATTGGAACAAGCTGATGCGTCTTTGGTACCTAATGTGGATTCTAGTTCTGATAAGACTCCACGAAATCAATTGCCTTCAAAGATGTCTAAGAATTATGTATCACACGAAGGAGGGCATCCAACTCTATGGCCTGCTTCTGATCTGCACAAGCAGACAATTGTAACAAATGAGAAGCAGCTTGTACCCTCTGGTGCTGATACAATACCTCCACGATCTCTGGAACTTGAAGTCAAATTTCCCTCTACAAAGCCTGTTATGAGAGATTTTCCTTTAGTTCCTTCACCTGTTATATTGAGAAGCTCAGCCATTCCTGACCATGAGTCTATATGGCAGTAGGTTTTCCTTCCTTGTTGTGAAGAAATTCTCTTTTTTGGTGTCTATTATTTTTTCATTGAGGAATACGTTTTATATATGTCCATGAATGCATATTGACTTGAAGCTCTTGTATCATTTTCCAGGGGGGACTTGGAGGTGCGGAAAATCAGAAACCAGTCAGCTATGTGTAGTGGAATGCAAGCACATCTATCAACTTTAGCATCACCCAGGGTTGCTGAAGTGGTGAATAAATTTCCAGAAAAATTCTGCTTGAATGAAGTACCTCGGCTGAGTACATGGCCAGGACAATTTCAAAAATTAGGTACTAAGGAAGACCATATAGCTCTATTCTTCTTTGCAAAGGACATTGAGAGGTAGGTTTTGTACATGATTATTTACTGGCTCTACTTTCGTGTTGGTGCTCTAAATGTTTTAACATTTAAATATATTTACTGATGAGAGTTTCGCACTACTTGTGAAACAGTTATGAGAGAAATTACAAGCCTCTGGTAGATAACATGATCAAGAACGATTTAGCCCTGAAAGGAAACCTTGATAATGTTGAGCTTTTGATTTTTGCGTCCAACCAGCTTCCTTCAAATTGCCAGCGTAAGCATGCTTACCAAAACTCTTACACTTTGTGCCTGTGCCTATTATCATTTGGTTGATCGATTGGTTTCAAGATTGTAATGCCAAAAGTCTTACACTTGTGCACATGACCATCTTGTTGATGCTGTCTGATAAGTTTTTTCAAAAACAGCACCAATGATTTGAAAGTATATTCAGAAGGTAATGCCAGTTTAGTCTGTCTGCAATTTACTGCTTACATGTGGACATATTTTCCCTTGCAGGCTGGAACATGTTATATTTCCTTTGGGGTGTATTCCGAGGAAAAGAAGAGGTTTGCAGTAACCCTCAAAAGAACACATCTTTGCCTACTTCAAATGTTTTGCCGCGAGACAGAGACCCCAGTGAGCTGTGTCAAACGAGTTCTCCTTCCAATCATTTGGAGAAAGTGTCTTCTCTACCTGAGAGTACAAGCAACATAATTGAAACTCGGAATGGGACAGATGCACTTGGTCATGAGAATCCAAGTAACATAGTATCCTCAATCGAGAGAACACTGAGCACAAAGGTGGGTTGTTCTTAGCCGTGTATAAATCCTTTGTCTCTGAAGCCGTGTATTTTCATCCCTTAATATAGGGAGTCCCTTTTTGTCTCATTCTTGTGTTCCTTAATACAGGAGGAAATTGCTCCCAATATGGAAGAAGGAGGTGTGAATCATATCCCTCATCAAGCTACTGGAACCAATTCTGGAGATAGTCTAGTGAGGAAGGTCCAGCAAATTGGGGAACAAGAATTAGGTGGTAGAAAGGATCTGCCTTTGACTGTCATGGGCTCAGGGATCGAGTCCCATGGCCAAGACAGTCCTCTAGAAAAAGATCTCAACTGTAGTCCGGCTACTCACAGGAAGCGTTCACTTTGGGAACTGACAAGACCCACCAACGAGTATTCCTCTGCCATAAACCAGAAAGTGGAGCTCAATAATGACGGTTTATGCGAAGGGTCCCCGAATAAGAAGCTTAAGACAGAAAACAGAAGCAGCAGTTTCTCGCGGGATACATCTAGTCATGATTCGGGGATCATGAAGAAGAGTAGTCCCAAAGTCGTGTTTCCCTTGGACTTGAATGTCGAAAGAGACGACAGCGAAATGGTTGATAATCTCATCCCGCTTGGCAATGAAAACAACAACAGTGAGAGACGGTTAACAAGCGGTAGAGTCCCGAATCTGGAGCTGGCATTAGGAGGCGAGGAAACAAATGAAGCAGACACAATGGGATTATTGCCATTCTTAGGGGGAAGTAGCAACGCTGGTGAACAAAGTAGCAATAATAGTAATATGAATAAAGAAAAAGAGAAAGCAGATGTAGGAGATGATGATGACGGGGAGGATGCAGCTTCTCTGTCTCTATCACTCTCATTTCCGGGGAACGAGGAGAGGAAGAATGTGAATGCTCCGTTGTTTCTGTTCAGAGACCTTCCCAGATGAGAAAAAAAAGTTAAGTTATCGTTAAGTTTACTCATTTTGTTAAAAATATTTTGAGTGTCGTAAGTTGCTGTTATTTTTGTTTTGGTTGGTGAAGACTCCAACGAGATAAGTCACAGGTTTGTATATAAAAATGGTGATGGGATAGAAAGGATACCGAATGTTTCTAAGAAAATAATAATAATAATTGGTTGATATATATAAACACATATCTACAGAAGAAGAACAAAAACAGTGTTCTGGATCTCTCTCTGCCCCCTCCATGCTGTATTATTGCGTTACAGTGTTAGACATTTTGAAGACATTAAGCTAAATTAGCTTACGGTATCTTTGAATGGTTTAGAAAAACTCCATCAAAAAGAAGCAATAAGAACGAGGGTAGTCTAGTAATTGCACATAAATCTCCGCACTCGAAGATATCCAAAAACGTTGTCAGCAGCACTCAGCAGATTCTTCTTCTTCTTCTTTTTCCTTAAGAGTGTTTTATTTTTCTTTAGTTTTGGGGGATCAGATCTCCTTCGTTTATCAATTGTAATGGCGTCCTGTGTTGTTGCTCCTCTTTCTGTCTCTGGTAAAATCGAAATCCTTCTCCGCTTTGTATATCGCTCCTTAATTTCCCCTACATACTAAACTGTTTCCATCCCCAAGTTTGAAAATTGTTTGCGCATCATCAATCATTATTTACTAGAATTTCTATCTTCGAGGTTTCCGATTTAATACTCAAGATATGATTTTTTTTTTTTTTTTTTCACTTCAGGCAGCTCTTGAGTTGATCGTCCTAAATTAGCCTGATTTTTTTTATATGAGAGATTCATTTTGAAAATTAAAGAAAAAAACATATAGAAAGGTTCTTGATTTGGGTTCTTGAATATCTTGGTGGCACAGGTGGGTCTCAATCTCATCATGTGAAAGCTAATGGATTGTCTACCACAAAGCTCAATTCTATTTGTAAACCCTCTGCATTGACTCTCCTCAACAAATCAAACCGGACTCGCAAGTTTTCTGTTTCTGCAGGGTATCGGTAAGTATCTATGTCACTACTACCTCTTCTTGTTGAATTTGACTTCAAACCATTGAAACAAGTTACTTCTTCTCATGATTTTCAGAGATGGGACTAGGAATGGAAGCAGTGGTGATTTCATTGCTGGTTTTCTCCTAGGAGGTGCTGTGTTTGGCGCTGTTGCATATATCTTTGCTCCACAGGTAATGTTATCTCTTTGGTAACCTATACATATGGGAAATAGACAATACCTCATGTTTAATGGTTATCTTATGGACTGTTTCATTGGGTCTTGTAGCTTGTCATGTCATCTTAGCTAAAAGATGTCTTATGTTTTTTGTTCTTTCGTTTTTGTGATGTAGATCCGGAGATCGGTTCTGAATGAAGAGGATGAGTATGGTTTCGAGAAGCCGCAACAGCCAACGTACTACGATGAAGGTTTAGAGAAAACAAGAGAAACATTGAATGAGAAAATCGGACAGCTTAATTCGGCAATTGACAATGTTTCTTCGCGTTTAAGAGGTCGAGAAAAGAACAGCTCTTCACCTAATGTACCGGTCGAAACTGACCCAGAGGTTGAAGCTACAACTTGAAGAAACAAATAAGGTTTCCATCTTGTCTGTGTTTCATCTGTAACCGGAGTTAAAAAGCCATTTCTTAAAGATTGATTTTGTGCTTCACTTCTTTTTCTTTTTTACTTGTTGCTTTCTGTGCTCTCAGTCCTTCTCAGTAGAACTCTTGCAAAGTGATATATACGTCTATTACTGTTTACTTAATTTTGTTTCTAAAGACTTAAACAAAAATGGTAAATAGATGGATTACTCTGCGTTTAATCGAATCTTGTGGTCTTATGTGAAATTATAAAGTTACATGGTGCATTTGCAGTTTGATCAGAACAAATATAGTAGAAGATCTGATAATTCATACAAACTGGATAAGGTTTGAAGTCATCCGTAAATATACAAGAAAACAAAAAAAAGAAAGACAAGAGAGATAAACATTGGCCGGTGGCCTCGTCACAAAATATCCAAAAGGGAACCGAAAACGAAAACTCATAAAGCCAAAGCCTTTCTTCTTCCTTCTTCCGATATTACTGAGGAAGCAATCCACAAGATTCGATTCTAACTTTTTTCCTCTAAAAAAGTTTCGGTTTTGTTTTTCTTCTTGAACGGAAAAAAACAAACAAAAATCCCCCTTTGAGTTTAGGGTTCTTCTGGGTTTGTATTTTGTCTCTGTCAGATGATGTGCGAGGAGATTCTTCCTCTGGTCGTGTCTTTGTTAGATGGAAGACAATGATAAGTCTCCCCCTAAGGTAAAATTACTGGTCTTCCGAATGCTAAAGTTTGATTTTTTTTCCTGGGAAAATGCATGAGCTTCCTTGGATTTATGGTTTATTAGATAGTGTCTGGTTATTTTGGTTTGAGTGGAATCTGAAGACCTGATACAGTTTCATTTAAGTAGTGCTCTTCAAATTTCTGGATAATGATTATGTTTGTATGTGTTCTCTTATCATTTTTACGAATGCCCATTTGATTTTGATTTGTAACTATTTTGTTTTTTGTTTGAAGGATTACTATAAGATTCTAGAAGTTGATTACGACGCAACTGAGGACTTGATCAGACTGAATTACCGGAAGCTTGCATTGGTTTGTCAACTCATAAAACCCTTCTCCACTATCCATCCCTTTTAGATTGCATTTTTAAGTAATTCTAGTCTGGAACAAGGAATGAACTTTACTGAGAATGTTTTGTGATTCCATCTACAGAAGTGGCATCCTGATAAGCACAAAGGCGATAGTGCAGCTACAGAAAAATTTCAAGAGATTAATGAAGCTTATAATGGTTAGTCTTTTCTTTTGCTTAGACTGTTTCTATGCATCGGAACATAAGTACCCTAGATAGTGGCAAGCTTCACTGGTATATCTCTATTTCCATTGGTAAAGAAAAATAAAATACATGAGAGAGAGAGAGAGAGGAGTAGAGTTAAAAATAAGAAGAAAACATAATGAAACATGTAGAAAGCAGATAGTCGTTTTAGGATGATTAGGAGGAAACAAATTTTTTTAGCAATTAGAGAACAAACTACTAAAGCCTTCAGCTTTATTCATTTACTTCCTTCACCTGTATTGTTCATTACCTCTGTTTTAGTATTGATACAATCCTATCTACTTCCAAACCTGTGATAATTTTACGTCCCTTTCCATCTCTTCACTCCTGTGTACTTATATCTTTAACATGTCACTATAGCTTGAATTAATGAACTTCATCTCTGGATCCTTTACTAACTGGCTTTTAATATGAAGTTATATTTCATTTGTTATGTTTTCTATTGACACTTGAGAATATGATAGAGAACAATGCTCCTTCACTCTCAGTTTCTTGAATCAATTGATTTTGTAATGTGATTAAGCTTCTTCTCTCCTTTTGGCAGTTCTGATGGACCCGGCTAAACGTTTTGAGTATGATTTCACCGGTATTTATGAGATCCACAAATATACTTTACGGGTATGTACATTTTGGGATTTACAAGCAGTTGTTTTACATTTGAGAAACAACACGTATCTAGGTTTTGACTGACTATTTTGATATTCCAACTCATTCTTGAACAGGAATATCTCGCCAGGTTTAAGGGAATGATACTCACTTGCAATGGGCTTGGTATCAGCCAATCCTCATCACCATGGTAACAACCTCTTCACATGATTCAATGTTCTTTTCCTCCACAATGTCGAATTCTTATATATATCATGAATCTGTATGTTTATAGTAGCTTGTCTTCATCGGTAAAACTTTTCATGCAGGACACATCAACTGGCTGAGACCACCACACAACAGACGAGCAAGGTTGGTTTTCGTTTTGTTTTATCTCCTCTTGGCATTGCGAATTAACTATTTAACTCCTTCAATACCCAATAAAAACCTAAACTCTGGGATCCTTTTTTCTCTACTCATTATCTTCACAGGATACTGTATAAACTGAAGCAGAAGTTAGAAGAGAGCTGTAAAACTGTACAAAACTGGAGCTAGCGCTATTTATCGCGCACTGATGATATATTGAAATGCTTTAGTTAGATCTGTTGTATTGTTTCTTTATAAATGTAGATTTAGAGAAGCTTGTATTGTCTCTGGCTTCTATTCATACATTTACACATTGGTGATGGTTCAGATCTTTTACCACTGTACTACTCTCATCATTCATGGTTTTATCAGACTGGAGGAAAAAGTGAATAATACAATCTATGAAACGAAGATTCAGTCTTGAAGATGTATTTATATGCTTTGTAGCTGTATATAGTTAAAGATTCAATTTAATAATTAGGTTGCACAGCACAGGGAAGATACAAGAAAAGTGGGGTTTTCATGTTTGAAATTCAATGTCGACGGAGAGAAATTAATAATTTGACAAGTTCTGAGTCTTTTTATTTTGAAGTAACAAAGTTCATTACAATTCAGAGAAAAAAATAATGTGTTATATTGAGTTACTAGTAACTACAAACTACAGTGTTACATAAGAAGTTCGTTCTGACAGTATTATTGTTCACACTTCCGGAAGCTTCACAGAAAGTGATAAATAAAGAAACCTAAGAAATGGTACATAAGTACTATACATACAAAAATTGTTACAGATACTTTGTTAAAGATACATCAAAAACATTGGTATACAGTAATGTGAGAATGTACAACTTTAGACTAAGATAAGCCAGTGAGTTGAGAAGATCGCTTCAAATGTAGATTCAGCGCTCCTCATAGAATCCCAACTTGGTTTTGAAAGAGCTGAGTTATTCATTTCAAGACTAAACATCCTCTCGGAGAGACATCGGATACACATATGTGCGAGCTTCAATACAGTAATATCTGTCAATAAATCCACTACGCAGCTTACGCTCTAACGTTCACAATCTCTAATGGTTTCTCCTAATACATATGAACATCTGAAATGAGCTCATTTCATAGTGTCCCAAAATTGGTTTTGAAATATCTGAGTTGATCTTTCCGGAGCCAAACTCTCAAGGAAGGAGCCTGTCCCAGATAAAAATAACTTGCAAGCTCCCTTGTGATACTTAAGTTGACGCACTTAATCCTAGTTAGCTTCACTATTCATAACAATCATTTGGCAAAATCCCATCTTCTTTCATTTTTCTAAACAGAGCATCCGCTTCACGCCGTAGACCTTTCTTGTACAATCCTAACATCATTGTAGTGTATGTCCAAATATCAGGCATAAGTCCTTTTTGATTAAGGCTACAATATAAATCCCAAGCATCTGCCACCTCACCAGCCTTACACATCCCACGAATGATGATATTATATGTAATGATATCAACATCAATTCCACTCTTTTGCATATCCGCCAATATCACCAATGCTTTCTCTAGCTTCCCATTATCGCATAAACCATGTAACAAAACGTTGTAAGTAATAATATTAGGAGTCACACCACAAAAAACCATCTGTCTGAAGATTTCTTCCGCAACATTAAGTTTTCCTACTCGACAATAGCCCTGGATAAGAATTGTATAAGTGACTGTATTTCTAACCACTCCTCTCTGAGACATCTCGCAGAAGAGTTTCATTCCATACTCTACATTCCTAGACTTGCAGTATCCATTAATGAGAATACTATAAGTTACAACATCTGGGAAGCAACCTTTGCTTACCATGAAACAAAACATTTGCTCTGCTTCATCTAGACGACTGTACATGCAAAGCCCGTAAATCAGTAAACTGTAAGTAACAATATCAGGATCCAGAGATCTTCGGATCATCTCCTCATACAATTCTTCAGCCTCCAAAAGATTCCCTTCTTTCACGCACGCATCAATCAATGCATTGAAAGTAAATACATCAGGGTAGATTTGTCTCTTGGTCATATAGCTTAACATTCGAGTAGCATCGCTCCATCTACCCAAACTACAAAGTCCAGATATAAGAGAGTTGTAGGTAACAGCATCTGGTCTAATCCCATCTTTCTCCATTTGGTTTAAGAGTTCCAACGCGTTATCCACCTGTTTGTTTTTGCATAGACCATCAATGATTGAATTATATATCACAACATTAGGCTTATATCCCATTTCCACCATTCTATTAAACATATACAAAGCATCGTAAATCCTATCACCGCGACAGAATCCATTAAGCAGCGAGCCAAGGGTGACAATGCTAGGCTCATGACCAAGTTTCATCATCTTCCCAATAAACGAAAGCGCAAGAGAGAACCGCGAGCATTGGCAGAAACAATTCAACAAGATATTGCAAGTATAGAGATTATGAGGAATCCCAAGCATTTGCATCTGCTCCCAAAGATAGATCACAACATCATACCTCTTCATTTTGGAAATGGCACTTAATAATCTACTGAAATCAGCAATTGAAGGTAGAGGACGACACTGAACCATGTGAAAGAAGAGATCAAGCGAATCATCTAGTTTCATATAACGAATCCCATTTCTCAATATCTCTCGATAACCACTGCCACCGGAATAATAAGCTCGTCTCGAGAAACAGAAACCGCAAATGCTAAACGAAGACGACGACGGGGAAGTTCCGGGATTACCTTTATCCAAAAGATTCCGATGAAGAAACGACTTGGCTTTCGAAGAAATCGATCTCCTCATGCTTCAAGCTTGAGTGCGAGTCTCGTTCCCAATCTCCCTGACTCTCAGAGAAGAAGTGGTAAAACCTCACAACTCTTAACCGGTTCTAAATCCACCTGAATTTTTTGGATGGGGAATTTCGGTTTATTAAGGGTTTAAAATCAAACCGGTTCAGAATTAAACGGTTAGCTTATCTCTCTTCTAATTTCAATCTTCTTCACTCCTTGTTTTAAAGTAAAATATTACGTTACGACTGAAGGCTACCGATCCATCAGATGATATAAAGAGCCCCCAAAACAAATCTTAGTAAATTACAAAAAATTGTCAACTCGAATCATTAGCAAAACGTCTACATTTGTTCTACTTCTACAGAAAAGCCACATTTGCAACGTTTTGTTTTCACAGAGGTTTCCTCATCATATGTTTCTTGCCCATCCAGAAATACATGTTCATGGCTTTCATCTTCGTTACGGGACTTTCTTACTCGTGACCTTCCTCCACTCTTAGCCACTCTCTGCTTTTCAGGTGATTTCACTTTCTCCGCCTTAGCGACTGTCACTGAATTCACTTCCAAACTCTTCGTTTCGACACTGTTAGTGTTATCAGCGTAACGGTTTTTCAATCTTTCACGGGTTAAGATAGACGAAAGCAGCTGATACCATCTTGAAGCTGCTTGTGCTTCATTTCTTCTTCTCTCCTCTTCTTCTCTCTTTTCTTGTTCTTCTGCGTATGCCTAACCAAAACCAAAATGACGAGATAAGACCAACGGATCCATATTCAAGACATGGAATTCTCTCTGTGTTTCAGATTGTAAGTCATGGAGACTGTACCTGGAGAATTGTGTCTTTGAACTCGCTACAGACCACAATACCTTCAAACACGGGAATAGCACGTCCACTTCTGTACTCGAAACCAACCATGGCAGGTGCATAATCTATACCGAATCTCTTAGCAACCGAAAATATTCGAGGAAGCCTTATGTGGACTGTTCCAGGTGGGAGACATTTCTCAGACCAGACATCAACTTGACCACGCTCGTTCTGAAGAAAGAAAAGGATTTTATCTATTATACACTGTTCCCGTCTACAAAGTATGTAATGTTTTGTTTTAAAGTAATAATGGAGTTGCAACTCCAGAGGGAAAAAATTTTGAGAAACTTCTGCGGATTCCATGGGAAATAATATTTGTTTTACCTTTGGCACAATTCCATTAACAGCGTGAGGGAGACACAATGGTTCCATTTGCCACTTCCCATATAGTTCCATGCAATAAGAACCACCTGTGATGTCGATGTCACCATCTCCAAAATCTTTTGATTTCTTGAACTTCGAGTTCCGCTTAAGAATCTAAGGTAAATATAGAGTTCAAGAGTTGATAATCAAACCAGGAAAAAGGGGAATGACTAAGATAATCATCAGGGAGAGAATAAAACAGGGAAACCTTTGAGGGAACTTCATTCGCCTTAAGTTGTAGCCCATCACGAAGCCATCTTTCTTTTGTTCTAAGAGTCTGCACACAGGTTCGAGGATATACTGAATGACCATTGCAGAATCCCAGAACTGGACCTTTAGGGTGAAGTATCTGGTTCTTGTGAAGCCATTTCTCAATAGCATAGAGTTCGTGGCTTTTATAGGCCTGCAAGATTAAATAAAGGAAGTTTTGTTACTGATGGTTTAGCCGTTTAAGTGAAGCATGAGCTTATTTTTGTTAGTCGGGTTACACTTAATTTACCTGCTGGTTAGTAGGAAGAGGCTCAGTCAGCGCCCGCGTAGCCAACTCCATATCTTCAAGAGCACTCCGCATGCCAAAGGAAGAGCTACTTAAGGAATTTCTCAGAGAACTGTCTACATTGTGAGTTGCAGCTGACTCTAGATGTATTAAAGGTGCTAGTACCATATCCCACCACTCTGAACTCACCCGTTTGGATGAAATAGTGTGCCATTTTGTACAGTACCTGAATAAGAAAGATGCAAAGGAAACTAAATGTAAAAAAAGATCTTTGGCTCCAACTCTTATGAAGCAATTGTAATACAGGTAACAGAAACCTGCGAGTGACATCTTTGGCTCCACCACCAGCAAAAGCGACAACATATCTAAGATAGGTTTTGCACGCGGAAGCTGCAGCTTCAATGTTTTGCTCTGCATCTATTGTTCCATTAACACCATCCACATGGACCCATTTCCCATCCATGTTTTCCCCATTGCAATACACCTCGGCCCAACAAAGCGGAGAATCTACCCTCTTAGAACCAATAGCCGTGGATACTACTTGGTCAGAAACTGACGGGCCATAAATTGTTTTTGTTATTTCACGAATTTTCTTTTTCTCCTTCACTTCAGATCTCCGTTGGTTGTCTGTAGTTGCACTCAAAGCCATGGCTATTTGCATCTCGAATTCAACATCTCCTTTCCTCCTTGTTCCGCCAGCTTTGCTAGACGTTCCTGCTTCGCAAGATGAATTGACTGAATTGTATTGCAACTGATCAGAGCCCAGGGAAGTCCTATGCTGAGGCTTAGACGTTTGACAGAGAGTTTTATCCTCAACATGGGATGAAGATTTATTTGGGTGTGACGAGATGGCCGGCTGTTTTGGTACCATAAGCGTTGAGTTCCTGAATATCCCATGCTTCATTTTAGCTCGGTTTTGACTGGATGACTCATCCTTATCGGCCCCTGGTTTTAAGGATGCAACATCAAGAATAGACACAAACCTGTGAAACACAAATTAGTACAGAAACTTTAAACACGCTTGGCATACTAAGGCACAAGTATTATAGCTAAGCAACACTTCAGAAACTATGGTACTGTAAATAGCTATCTGAAAAAGATTACTCTAGAAAGTACAACATCAAATGTCAATGAACGTTATGGAGCTGAAAACTTAGCCAAATAAGATTGATGATACACATTAAACATGCAAGAGTGGAGCTATCATATGCCACTTTAGAAAAGGTGTCACTGATACACAGAGCAAAAAACAGATTCAAACCAATCTCGGAAACCAAATCTAAATAGTATATTGTGGCAACAGTAACAAGTATCACGTACCGAGTTGTGAGCTTTAAAGCTCTAAACAATGCAACAGACAGTGCTCCAAGCTGCAAAAAGGATTCCATAAGTTTCCTATAGAGGTTTCCAAAAAAAAAACAAAAAAACAAAAAAAAATCCTATAGAATAGCTTGGATCAATATTGGACCAAAACTTTCCTAAAAGAAGGATTATAACTTTGAAAAACATCTTCACACGCAGAGATTCAAGATACTTTGGAAAAAGGAAGCTAACTTGTTTAAAAATTGAGGTCAGGAAATTTAGGAAAGTAGAAGTTTGGAAATTAAGGTTTCAACAATACAAGTAACCAAATAATAAAAAGGTTAACATATCCTAAATCTGATCACAAGCTTACCTCTTCTGCTGTGCCTTTACGAGATTCAAGAGCAAATGCTAGGGAAGTACGAAAAGATTTCTCAGAACTGGGAGTACACCTAACAGAAAAGTTTTCACGAACCTACAATTTAAACCAGGGAAAAGTTGTTTAACTTTCCATCAGAACAAAATAAAAGCTACAGGCCAGTAAACCCATACCCAACGAAGAAGAGGGGCTATATCCTTGACAGTAACTTTCTCGAGATTTGCTACTTTTGACAAGTATGATGGTAGAAGCGAAAGCAAGGCAGCCTGCGCATAAAACTTAAAGATTAGGTAAAATTAAACGCAGGTTGAAACCTATGCAAGCAATAAGAGAAAATAGAACTTTCAAGCAGTTCTAGTTGATAGGTACAATTTATTTACCTGAATCAAGGGATCATTACAAGCATTGTCAACTATCCTCCCTCTTGCAAGCAGGCAGAGCAAGTGAACCTTATGTACAAGTTCCGCCCGTTCCTTTTAGACACAGCATAAACCTCTTAAGCTACCGCCCATATCTAGAGAAGAAACAGAAGTAATCATACTGTAATTCCTGAGATTTACTTAAAGCACAGTATACCTTGTCTTTTGCTGTTGCACGGTAAGCATTCTTTTGCTTCTTAGCATCAGGAACATCATCAAATTCTATGGTCAAATCTCTGGTGTCATCGACATTAGCATCAACCCTATCATCAAGACTAGGAATCGGGCAGTCTTCCCAGTCTGAATCATTCATCTCATCATCATCATCCGAGACTGCAATTATAACACGTTCGCTGTCCTCTGGAACGTTATCAGTTAAAGATGCCTTAACGGCTTGCTTCCCCTTTTCATTTACGCTTTTATCCCGCTGCAATGATAGAAAATTAAAACAATCTTACACTCCCAGACAAGAGAGGAACTATACAAGACAAGAATCCTAACATCTAAAGTACCAATTGGAATCACAGTTTGGCATGAGAAAAGAAGAAACAAAACCTTAGTGGAATCACAGTTGTCATCTTGCTTCTTCTTGCCCCGAGCAGTTCTTCTGTCTAGGATTTTGTTAACAGCAGCTCTAGAGGCTGCTGAGAGTTTACCGTTCTTACTATCACTTGTAGACTTCATCTTAGTCTTCTACAGAAAACCTAAAAAAGCCGAAAGACAATGACGATTAAGTTACCCAAAACGACAGTCATTGTAAACCTCAGCAACTTCCCCATCGTTGATGGAAAATTGGAAACAAAAAAAAAAAATTATAGATATCCAATTCCAATGATAAAGTTATGTTCTTTTACAATAGGTCTTGAGGTTACATTACCTAACACAAACACAAATATCTAAAAAGGAAAAAGCTTTCTCAATCGTTCTAACCGGAACCGCATAGCCAACAACTTCAAAAGTTATAACGCAAATTTTGAAGTGACGAAAATACTTACCCGACGAATCAAGCATACGATTTTCGAATCACGGCCGTAGGATGAGACTCAAAAAGTATTCGGCGGGGCGAACGATTTCACGCGCCAAATTCCCCCGACAACGACCGACGTACGGAAAAAAAGATAAAACAAACAAACCTTCTCCGATACACTTTTAGGTTTCTTAAGATGGGACCCACGCAAGTTCATTAAACCGCCTTAATGTCGCCACGTCACTTCCCTATTTTTTATTTTGACATAATTGGACTACTTTTGGATATAATACCACGAGAAAATTTACTCTTTGCAAACTTTTTTATCAAACCAAACGCTAAAACAACGCTTTCCCCAACTAAATTTCGCGACTGCGTTTAGAAAGAGTAGAACCGTGACTTCAATATATAGAGATGGGGATAAATAAATATGGGTTACACAATTCTCTGATCTGACCAAAAAAACTGAACTCTCTCACCAAAAAAAAAAGAAGTGTTTCTCTCCTACAAAAATCTAAAGACATGGTGACATTTGAGCCAAGAAGATTAACAAACCAAAAGGCGTGAGCTTTTTTATCAACCCGTCATTCCTGGAAAGAGCTGCGATATCTTGTTGAACACATCCATTACCTGCAACACAAAAATATAACATCATGTTATTCTCCTTATCATTTTCTTTCAGACAATGGCGAAGAGGAAGTAGCAGAAGACTTCGTATATACCTCTTTGTCGTTCTGGTATTTCATGATGTTCATTGGGTTCTCTGAGCACTGCAGCAACAATAACAAAAATTATCATTCTATGTTTTGTTATTGTCTAAAAAAGAAGAGCAAATGTGGACTCATGAGCAATTCTCTTATTCAAGTTATAGAATACGTACTTCCATTAAGGCTGCTTGGACTCTAGGATTCTGGAATGCCATGGCAACATCAGGGTTCTCCATGATCTTAGAAATGACTTCTTCTGGAGTCAGTCCTATTTGATCTGACAAATATATGGTTTCAATCTATTAGTATCAATCCTATTTCACAGGAATAGTATCAACTTGGTAGAGATTGAGATATATCTTACTGAATTGTTGCTTCACTTCAGGACTATTCAGGTCGAAATTCTTCAAGGTATCTGTCATCCGCTTATCCCATTCACCACTCCCACTCATGTTATTCCTAAATCAAAGAAACAAATAAAAAGTATTTCTTAATAATATCGTTTAGAGATTCTCAAAAACAACGGAAAATAAATTTGTCTGTAAAAATGGAGCTTACAACATGTCTTGTAACTGTTGACGGTACTGAGGGTTTTTAAGCATCCCTACAAAATTTCAAGTCAAGATAATAAGTCAATTAGATCACTCTCTCATGACTGAGTTAGATGAAGTGGAGACAATTCTGAAATTCTCTGATATAAACTTAGTTCAAGATTTTCATTCAAAGATAGTTACCTAACCTTTTTCTAAAACTGTGAAGTAAGATCAAAGATAATAATAATAACAGGTACATATCAACAGACTTACATTTGAAAGTTTCCGGGTTCCTCATCTCTTCAGGCAAGTATCTGCATTTATAAATGCATGTTACCAAATATCTTATAAGAAACCAGTTTTAAAGATACACTGAAGGGGGCATTTAAAGATGATGTGACAAGGAAGATGAGTTACGGGTAAACCATCTTCTGAACTGTTGGATCTTCCATCATTTTCTCTAAAGCTTCTACTGACAAACCCGGCCCTCCTTTCCCACCGCCTGTATAAACAACGGACAGACCAAGGATTCAGAAGGAAATAGAGAGTATTATGCGAGAAGAGGAGAATAAAATAAGTCATGATAAATGAGACATAAAACATACAGCTACACTAATATGCTGGGATACCAAAATCAGAGATCTGAACAAACAACCTTATGTACTGTTTATTGCCTAAGAAAAATTCTACATAACTTATAAGCATTCCATAGTGCTGAATGTCCTATATCAATACAGAGCAACGACTAGCAGAAAACCATAAGCAGCGGAGTAAAACCTCTTAAACCAATTAATATATCTTCCTATGTGTTTAGTTGCCGACACAAGTTATAATATAAAATGGAAACCTCTAGCTTCAATCATGAATCAAGTAAAGTGCTCTGCAAGTGATGAAAACTGCAATTCAAAACTCACCCAAAGATTGAAAAACCTCTGAAGCAGTCGCACCATTTGCCGGACCAGCTCCATTTTGCAAAACCTTCACCCAAAGTAGAAAAAAAAAAAAAAAAAAAAGAGAGCACAGAAACCTCCTGAGTTAGCAAAATTCGGTCACGTTTAATCACCACTTGACGTGCTGTGCAGACACAAAAGAGAAAGAAACTTACATCCTCAAACAAGCGAGTTTCTTTGGGAGCACTACTCTCAGAGACTTCAGCATAGTTGCTAAATGGGCTTTCTTTTGTGGTTTCCTCAGGTGAAACGTCTTCAAAGGCTGTATCCGAAGTTAAATCAGATTCCAAATTAGAAGCTTTGAAAATGAGAAAGGAAGAAGGTACAGATGAGAAGAGGTTGATGATTTCTGAGAGAAAAGAATCTACCATAGTTGTTTTCTTCTTTCTTCACTTTGTTTTCCTCTAAAACAACACTCGGCTTATCCACTTCTATATCCTTTGCAGGCTTAGGTTGTGGTTTAGTTGATGGAGGAGTATCAACTTTTGACGCCATCACATCAACAGTAGCACCTGAAGATGGTGACTGAGACTGGAATGGCGAGGAAGCAGGACTAGGTTGAGGAGGAAATGGAAACGGAAAAGGTGATCCTGATGGGAATCCAGGATTATTAAACTGGCTATTTTGTGTGTTCATCTGGTTCATCATTGTCTTCATAGCTGTTTGCATTGCATATTTCTGTAACAAAAGCCAAAAAGAAAAAGTGAAGAGAGAGTAACAGCCACTTAGATAATAATGATGGAAAGCATTGAGCACTTTTGAATTCTATTTCAATCAAATAGTTATGCAAATGATTATAAGTGTGAATGCCTAAATTGCATCATTAAAACCATACTGAGTAGGTTTCCATCAATGAATCATGTGACTACCCAAAAAAATAGAGGCAAATTTTCCATACTTATATATATGGTTCAAAACGTGTGAGCAAACTGCTTACTTTGTTAAGATAACCAATTCAGTGAATAACAATATTTCAGATACACAAGCACTCTACACTAGAAATAATATGGATCATAAAATCGTGGTACACAAGCACTATACACTAGAAACAACATGGATCATAAAATCGTGGTTCTGCGAAAGACTAGAGACCAAAAGTCCCATAGAACCACAGGGCCTAGTAATTGTACCTTTAAGTTTGAAGTTACCTGCAATGCCATCAAAACAAAACAAAAATCAGGTAACTATTCTTCGATATTTAAGCAAGAAAGAACATGTATTGAAGGAATCGTCATCATACTCACCAATGAGAACAAAGCTGATAACCCAACTCCAACACCAATCCAGAAAAGTGGTGATCCTCTACAAGTGAAAAAACACAAGTTAAGTACCAAGAATCAAACGATATAAACTAAGCACATTGTCCAAAACCAGGAAAACATCTCAAACTTACATGGTTGATGAAGACGGTGGTGGCACAGGCACACTAGGGGGAGCAACAGAAGTTGTCTGTTTTTCACGACTCGATGAAAAAATACTTGCAAAGGCTTTGCTTCTATGTCTCACAACCACTGCAAATGAAGACAAAAATTTGAAGTTAACAACATTAACACTTAATGGGTTTAGAATTCGAATTGCGAATTCAGAAATGTGGATTTGTAAAAGATAAAGCAAATCATAAGCTTTTGCTATACCAAAAGAAAAGGTTTTACAATTTGAGTTTCAATTATACTGAGAAATGTAAGAAACTGGAAAAATTAACGAACTTTTCCCGGAAAATTTTGACAATTTCCATCACAAATCATAGCTATGAGTGGGGAGTTGCAAACTAACCGGCTTCATTTTCCGGAAGGGACGAGGGAGGTTGAGAATGAGATTGAGCAGAAGCTGAGATTTTGGAGCAGCGGAAGACAATTTTAGGAGTCCGACGAGATAACCCTACTGGGGTTTTAAGCGAGGAAGTGAAGTTGCATCCGATTAACAGCTTAGGAGAAGAAGCTGAGCAAGAAACTAGGGTTAGGTTCTCCATTTGAATTGCTTCTTTGGATAAAAGAAACAGAAGATGACCTTAAACCCAATTCTGGTGGAGAAGAGAAAAAGATATGATGAAGAAAAGAAAAAAAAAGAAGAAGAAGAAGAAACGAAGAAGAGAGACTCTTTGGTCTAAAACGCCACTGTATCCTTCAGGCACGAGGTTTGAGTTAGTAGTGTCTTGGATCCACTGCTCCGAGGTCTACTGAAACTTTTTATAACCTAACAGGTGGCGTGATTTTTGACCGTCAATATCAATGAGCTTTATTCACAATCCATGGGTGGAGGAACGAAACTCCCTCGTGAATTATTTACAAGTCACCCCTCCACCTTTGATTTTGGTTGTGTTATAACCCACGTATCTATTTTGAGAGACATTTTACACCTCGTTTTATATCAGCATTTCATATATGCTACACTGACATTGAGTACAACTTAACCAGATTCATATACTTTCCAAACACTGTTCTTTAGTTATGTTTTCGGCACTGATAAAAAATTTAGTATCTCAGACATGACAAATTTTGATTTTTTTAGTTGACGACAATGGGGTACAGTCGTACAGATAACAGATGACAATCAACATATTCAAAAGGTTTCTTATGCCTGTAAATATTGATTTATGAAAAAGAGTCTGAGACGTTTGCTAAGCTAATAGAGTTCACGACTTCACACGCATACTTAGAACCAGTTTTGGTCCTCTTCTATATTTATCATACCTTCACGTAATGTGTAAAGAAGCTTCTAATACGTCGAACAACGTTATTATCAAATTTGAAGAAACATGGTAAACACGATTCTGTAAACATGGTAAACACGATTCTGAATCTCATACGCCTTTCACACAGTTTCATTGTTCTGTCATTATATTTCACCATTTAATGAACACTGATTAATTTGTTCTTCAATTTATATGAATTTCGTGAATTTAATTTATTAAATTGGTTCTCAAATAATATAATATGTAACTCCATACTATAAGAATAATCTTTTGTTTTATAAAAGAGTGAGAATCGAATCTCAAACAGACAAATTTATCACAAACTAAGCTTAAAAATCGAAAAGCTAAAATCTATAATAACAATATGGAAGACAAAAACCAGATTTGAAAGCTGCTTCTCAGACAATGGGCACAGAGTTTCCACGTATGAGTGCTTGAGAACATGGTATGGTTCTTGAAGGTTTAAACTAAGAAAATGTCAGACATGAGCTCTACACTGCTCTCTTCCTCGATCTAAAACACAAAGGAAAAACGGGTCTCCCTTCAAGCATTTTAGATCGAAGTGTCATCAAGCAATACAGAGCTCATGAACTCTTCTTTGGATTAAATCAAGAAGAACCACATCAACTTCTCAGCCCATCTTTTCAGTGTGGTTAAAGCAATATAATCATCATAGAGCAGCTAAAACAAAAACAAAACCAAACTCTTAAATCATAGAAAGTAAAAATCAATATTTAAGAAAACTGATTATGATAAAGCTGCATCTCAGACAAGGGCCAAATTTGTCCACATGAGTGAGCTTGAAACAGGTATGGCTCTTCAAGATTCAAACAAGGAAAAATATCAGATAAGAGCTCGACATAACTCTCTACATTAATCTAAATCACGAAGGAGAAAAACCTTCAAGCAACTTAGATCAAAGTGTCATAAAGAAACGTCGAGATCTTCTAGACTCTTTCACTGGTTTGAATAAAGAAGAGGCAAACCACATTCTCAAGCTCAACTGTTCAGTGTGGTTAAAGCAAAAAGAATCATCATAGAGCAGCTGAATTAAAAAACCAAATTTCACAAACCCAAGATCATAATTTGAGGAAAGGTCAACACTTTTTAAATCGAAAACACTAGGAAATTGTTGAATCTCGAGAAAATGATAGAATCCACGGGATATAAAAACCCCAGAATTCCACATGTCCAGAGATTCCAAACCATCAATGAAGATGTTTGATTTAGCATCGGAACATACGACTCTTCTAAGCTATACAAGAATGATAAGCTTAAAGACTCTTAACACACATCTGTTCTCATATATGCTTTCTTAACCTAAGATTTCCAGGCAAAAACCTCGGATCTTAAAGGAAAACCAAATAAAAATCGCATCTTTTTGGATTAGTGAAGATAATCTTGCGGCGAAATCAAAGACGAAGTCTTTATTTATAGCTTAGGGTTTTAACGCTTATAGTGGGCCTTAAGGTTCGTTTTTATAAGCCCATTGGCCCAAATGAGAATAGCTTTCTCTTCGCTCCCTCATCGTTCTTCTCTGTTTCAGTGATGTGATAGGAAACGATTTATTTCTCAACTTGTCGATCACTGATAGCGTCTCTCTTTCAGTGTTGTTTCATCGAATTTGCAGAGGTAAGGTTTCAGTTTCTCTGGTTGCGTTTCAATTTTTGTAAAAAGCCATGTTTTTTAATATATTGTTGAAACAAGTGACAAAAGCTTCTTCATGTTTGTGTCCAGGGCTTCGAGAATCTGAGATTCTCCTGGTGAATTAATGTCCCAAGGAGATTCCTTTCTTCATACCCATTACGTTCTCTATCTATCTTAACTTCAATTTGCTTTTGCAATTCTATATCTCGATTATCTAAATCTTCTTCAGTCTCCATGTATTTTTCCTCTGTATCACTCTGACCCAAATGTATAAGATGTGCCATGAACCTACTAAGATCACTCCATCTGAGTCGGATTTTGCATTCCCTGAGTTAGACCACATCCCCTTGACGTCCCGGCGGAGTTTGATACAATCAAATGAAAGAGAATCTCAACGTATCGCTGCTCCTGTGCCTGCGTGAGTACTACTGTCTATATTTACGTTTTTGTTAATCTAGCTTTTCGTTTTCGCTATGGAGTTAAAGAGTCTCTCTCTCTCAGCATATCGCTGCTATTGTTTTTACATATTCTTTTTCTTTGATCTCTTATGTTTGTAGATCGAATGTTGATAGTATCGTGAAAAAGGAAGAAGAAGAAGAAGAAGATAGTGAGCTGGTAAATTAGTGTTTGTTTTGATACATTCGATTTCATTTATTAAGTTTAGACAACTGATTATGTAGTTTTCAGGGTGTAGTGTCAAATTGTGATGCTACAGAACCTGTAAACACAGAAATTTTGGAATCTACAAGCAGTGGTTGTAGTCAAGGTCTGAATGATTATGGAAACGTAAGACCACAGAACAACATTCTAGTGTGTTGTAGTAATGTGGAAGAGAATGTCGAAAGACTGAAACAAATCGAGGAAACCGAAAGGAATGATGCTCTTGAACATCTGCCACTGAAAGAGCGGCGCAAAATGCTTCTTGAAAGGTGTTTCTATAAACTTATAATGTGATATATTTTCGCATATTTTCACTAACCCGCATTCAAGTGTCTAACAGCTTTTATCTACAATACTTGTTATAGCATGGTGGCTATAAGGTTGCCAGAATCTAAGTTAGAGGTAAACAAAGTGACAAGTGACCCCTGTTGTTGAAGATTTTTTTTTGTTTGGGATTTATTAGGTCTAACTAGTTATTCTCATTATATATGCAGGATGATACTAAAGATTGTGATGAATCCGATCTTTACAAAGTAAAAGCCGAGATTTCATGCGAGAATGGGATAGCTTCGTCTTCTGGTGTCCAATTCAGCGGGTTTCTAGAAAAAATTGATTCTGTCCTCTGTAAAAATTTTAGTATAGGTTCAGAATCTGGAAGTCAGCTTAGTGGAATTCAAGAGAATGATATTCCGATTGCTCACAAAAGTTCTTTTGATTTGTCCCCTGAAGCCCGTCTACCTGAGTTATCCAGTAGAGATGATGAACACTCTCAGTTAGGTAGCAACGAAAATCCAAGAAGAAGTGTGAAAAGAGTCAAAAGGAATCCGCAGCCTTTGAATGTGTTTGAAATGCAGTCTACTCAAGTAAAGACTGATCCTTTGGGTGATTGCGTCATGGAGAATAATGACGAGAGAATTCCCGTCACCTCAGAACAGGTGCCAGTCAAAAGAGAAGTGGAACACCATGGTGAAGCTTATGATGAGAATGAGCTCGATTCTGTAAACTTGAGCTCTCGCTTGAATCGTTGTACATCTTCTCTGAATCCTTCTAGGTCTGTGAAAAACGAAGCAGAGACAGCAAGTGAATTGGATGAAGATGAGTTAGATCACATGAAATTAATTGATCGATTAAAGCTTCGATCTTTTGATGGTTCTGGTTATCATGAAGAGAGTAATCCACAGTCTTCAGGGTTTAGTTTCTGTACATCTGATGAATACGTTAAACCTCTGAGGATATTGCGTCCCTGGAAGCGGAAGAAAACTGCCACGTGAGTCTCGATGCTGTGTCCTTCGTCTATCTATTGTTTATCTTTGTTTCTTTTGTGATCTTATAATATATAATAACCAATACAGTGACTCAATTGAGACAGCTCTGGAGGAAGATGCTCCTGGTCTTTTGCAGGTATCATGAATTTTGCTTGTGAAGGATTTAAATCTAGCGGAACTTCTGCAAATTAAGATTTCTTAAAACAGGTGTGTTAAATCTGATGTTTGCAGGTACTGATCCAACAAGGAGTATCAGTAGATGAACTTAGGCTTTATGGGGAGAATGAAGGAAGTGGTGTTTCCTCAGATGATTCACTTCTTGACGAGAGCTTCTCGGAGCTCGAAGATGTGATCTCGCAGGTAAAATAAACCCTTTATTTTGTTGCAAAGTTCATCATTTTTCCACATTTTTTATTTGTGTCAAAAGATTAAATCTTCTTCAAACAATGAAATCTATCAGCTTTTCTTAAAACGCCAGACGAGCACAAAACTTCTTAATTTAAGTTTCTCAAAAGCTTCAAGAACTAGCTATTGCTTGACCTGTCTATTATCTCTCATCGAACAGGTGAAAAGCCTCATCGCCTTCTTTTCGGATTTTTATTTATATTTCTTTCTTCCTAACTTGTTTCCTCATGTCTTCCAGGCGCGGTATTTGCGGTTCCGCAAATGGCCTGTTGAGTGGGGCTGGTGCCGCGATCTCCAGTCTTTCTTATTTGTTTTCGAGAGACATAACCGGTAAATTAACTCTTTCCCCTTTGTCATTGCGGCTAAACTGAGGATTTCATAGATCTTTTTACTCCATACAGTATAGTAATGGAACGGCCTGAATATGGCTACGCAACATACTTCTTCGAGCTCAGCAGCACTGCATCAGTTGGATGGCAGATCAAACGTTTAGTATTGGCCATGAAACTCGCAAGCTGTGGCCGATATCAACTAATTGAAAACAAGCCTTTACTGGTAAAATTTCTTATCTCAGCGATTAATATGATCCAATATGTCCTCTATATATGTTCTGAGCTCTCTTTGTAACTCACTGTGGGGTTAATAAGGTAGGGGAAGATATGTCAGAAAGCGAAGCGGAAGTGCTGATGAAGTATGGTTGGGTTCCAAACACGGGACTAGGGACGATGTTAAACTACTGCGATAGAGTCTTCCACGACAGGAAAACTCAAAAACCGACATCGGAATGGAGATCTAAGATTTCTAAGCTTCTTATCGATGGCTACAACAGTGGAACCATCGTCTCAACATGCATTGCACCTCATGGTGGTGATAATGATGATATTTATGATGCCGGATTTGACATGGAATGTGTTAAGCTTGAGCCTTATTGAAGCTGCGAATCTGTTATAGAGTCTTCAACTGTTGATATCATTCTTTATTTACTTGTTATAAATTCAACCAGATTTCTCTTTTACGTTGTTATATTTTCGATTTTTTTTTTAAATGATAATTTCGTTTAGTAACTTTTTTTATGTTGATGCTATTACAATGGAATCAATTATGAATTTGCCTTTCGACCAAGATTTTTATTTTGCTATTTTTGGTAAAATTTTATGGATTTGCCATGATTAAAATTTTATCGCTGAGATAAGAAATTTTACCAGTAAAGGCTTGTTTTCAATTAGTTGATATCGGCCACAGCTTGCGAGTTTCATGGCCAATACTAAACGTTTGATCTGCCATCCAACTGATGCAGTGCTGCTGAGCTCGAAGAAGTATGTTGCGTAGCCATATTCAGGCCGTTCCATTACTATACTGTATGGAGTAAAAAGATCTATGAAATCCTCAGTTTAGCCGCAATGACAAAGGGGAAAGAGTTAATTTACCGGTTATGTCTCTCAAAAACAAATAAAAAATAAACATTTTTAAAAGTTTAAAAATGGCAAATCCAAAAGATTATAGCAAAAATGGCACATTCGTAAAGTTTGTCCTAAAAGATGGCAAAATCCATAAGAACCCTATTACAATAGTTCGAAAGGCTAATCCGTGCAAGCGAATTGACAGTAACACAACTTGAATGCTTGATGAGCCTTTGTCCGAAACAAAATCTTTTACCAAAGTTTATCCTACGTTGATTTCCGAATTATAAAATGGTACGTGTCTAATGTAATCTATAAAGGGAATAGATCAATGGAATGATTGAAAATTTTATTAAAGTTAAAAGGTTCATATAAAAACTTAGAGATAACATCAAAACATCCTTTAAAAAATTCAAGTATTATGGTCCAAAGACGATGATAATTGATATGCCAACTAAAGTAAATACGTTTATCCCTTCTATCATATTTTATAAGCATGCTTATTAAAATTCCAACATCACAATTATAATATAGAACTTGTAGTTGTATATTAAAGAAAATGGTAAACCATTTCTCACATTACTTTTTAAATCCCATGCTTTCTTTTAGGTTACCACCAGACACCACTGACCTCCATATTTGGCTGCAACAATCGTCACTAGAGAGTATGTCAAGTAAAGTCGTGGGCCTATTGATATAGGCAAAACAATCAGGTGAACTTTAACGTACAAAGATGCCCGCAGTGTTTGGGCAATAGTTACATGATTCTCACTTACTTTGACGACGCTTGAGACAAGAACATGTTTTAGTTTTACATCAAGAGAGCTTTTGTCTTAAATCCCAAAAACTGAATGAAGAAGACTTAATTTGATCACTCGATTCCATCTTACAGTTTGAACATAATAGATATGGTGAATACGACATATCTAAAGATTATTTTGCAACTAACTTAAAAGATATCAATACAACACGTTTACTAGCTATAATTCATATTTTAAAATATTATTAATACTTTCTGTAATGTTTAAGCTCATAGACAAAACAATATATGGCATATAAAGGTTTTTTCTCTATTCTTATCAGTAACATTATGTATTAACAGCACTCAATCATAATAAACCATTAAAATTAATTACTACAAAGTTGTGTGTATCAGTTTGCACGATGAAAGACTGAATAAGTTTATAGGGTACTCGATCGTTGGGTTAAAACTTTGCAAAAGGGATCGTACTTTAATTTTCAAAGGTAGCCAATGTGTCACAACAATAAGTAGAAGAAGGAAACAACACTCATTTCACCAACTTCAAATATATATTCTAATCATTGTTGTCGTTACCAATTTTTCTTTTTCTACAATTTTATTTTATTTATAATAAAAAATAGAAATATATCCACCAACCTAAAAGTTTATTGTATAAAAATTCTATGAAATTAATAAATTCCATTATCTTCTTTCTTTCTTTCTTTAGTCCATCATTCACAGTTCCACTATCAATCCTTTTGCTCTTCTTTGTGACAAGTCATGCCTAAGCAATGATCATATTTGTTATCAGAAAGTTTCACATACATGCACTCTTCTCTTCACTTTCTTTGTTTTTTATAATTTATCTCTTGATCTTTATCATACATACACTTTATGGTACCAAGGGCATTCATTCATGGTTTCTAATTCAACTAAAACTTTTAAAAAAAAAAAAAACATCTTCAATTAGCAAACCTATCTTTTACATTTCTTTCCAAAATATAATAAGAGCCATAGTTGTTATTTGTTAATACGCATTATATTGTTTAATTATGATAAATGTACCTACTTCATATGTTTGGATGAAATTATAAAAATGACGTAATATTGTGATAATCAAATGTAGCAGAGATTCGATCTTTCTTTATGAGAAAAAAAGAAAATGGTTTGGTGAAGGTAGTTACCACTTAGCTATCAATCTCATGCACTTGTGGTCCATTGTCTTCACACAAATACACATACATCAACACACAACACGACCGGTCATATGGCCACAAAAGCCTTATGATGATACGATACAATCCAATAGCCTCCAATTTACAGGGCTCCTATATAAATACACTACTGTACATATCTTTATCTTTACTAGTAAAAGTAAGATTTCAATTTACATGTTACACATGTGTGTTTTGGATTGAAGGATGAGTCCACTTACAAACAAACGGTCCATGCTCTCTGTGTGGACTGACGATTTCTTATATGATAAAAACGATTTTGTATTTATAATATGGTGTGCCGACGTGCATATGACAGCATCAAAACAGACATATATGTGTTAAAGAGAAAAAGATACACATATCTGTCATCAGTTGTGTATGTACATATAAGTGTAGTGCGGACTGCATGCGTAGATCGTTGTAGCTTTCGTTCTTTATGAGATTATATTTGATAAATCGGACAACATATATGATTAGATATGAAAATTTATACCATAGCAAGTATCGACTATGTTTAACGGCATAATATTTTGATTGCTTATTTGCAGTGTGATTACAGATATTTAGAAGACGAAGACAAAACACACGAACCGTTTGAAATGTAAGAAAGTGATTAATTGTAGACAAGTTTGTATGTGTATCCCAAAAAAAAAGAAGAAGACAAGTATGTCATAGTATAACCCATAATGTACGTATTTGTTTAATCTCTTACATTTTTCATATCACATTTAGTGTTAAAAAAAACGTGTTACCGATATATCAACCGTACTTATAATCCTAATTAATTACTAAAATATGAAAGTTTTTAATTTACGTTTGTTGAAAAACTAAAAAGTATACATATATATATATGGAGATGAAGTGAATGTAGAGGTGGATGGTCCACACAAGTGCTTTGGAGTTTTTGACGTGAGATTGAGAATATATTTTGGTAGGTGGAGCTTATTTATAATATATGCTCATAGATTTCAATCATGATTGTGACGTTGTTTTTTGTTCCAAGTCTTATCGTATATAGCAATGGATTTCATCACCATGACGCGACCATTGTATCATCATTTAGTATTTTCCACTTTAAACCAAATTATATAATTTTACGTATTTTATAGCAAATTTCAACATTTTTTTCTTTCTTTGTATATATATAAGTGGAACTCCATTAGGTAAGTATGTAAGTAGCCGGCCAAAAAGTCTTTTTCGAATATATCGTGAAAGGTTAAGGTTTAAGAATATCCATTGTATAGTCAATTAACTCAATGGAGTGACAAAAATTATGATAAACCTTTTCATTTTAATGGTTTTAGATTTCTGGCATACTTTAACATTTTGGTTAGTATATATGCTGGATTTTTATAATTAGTCAGCTAATTATCAGGTATGTATGACGTCAAACTTTAATTAATGATGTTTTGTATAGTATTTTTTCCTAAAATAAATATTTCAATAGTGAAGAAAAAAAACAAAGAAACAAATATTCACCATTGCAATCTTTATTACATGTATTTTACACCTAATAATCTACTAAACTGCGACACCAAGGCCAAACCCAAATACCCCGACTTCAACAGTCTTCAAGAACAGACCAAAGAAAAAAAACAAAGCTAATGATGAAGAAAAACTAAAAGCTAGATGAGGAGATCAAATGTCCATGAATCTTGATCTAAAACCATTCTTGAACATCCATTACCATTTCCAACAATGCCGTCATGATCATGGTCATTCATAAACATATCCAAGCTGCTCAAATCATTGATGTCGTCCCACAAGTTCATCGTATCAACAGTGTTGGTGAACTTGCCGTCTAAGCTAATAATATTTTCACCTGAAGAATCATCGGATGAGAGCCACTTGAGGTCAAGATTCTCCATTTCATCAAAAAACTTGGAGAACTCATCACCCGGTACTACTGATGATGATATACACGACGAGGTAGACGAGGAAGAGGAAGAAGGCGAAGTAAATTTACTAGTGTTGATATTGACATTATCATCATTAGTATGATGATGTTGATGAGAAGAAGAGACGTCGATCAAGATCTCATGTGGACTGAGCAATGGGACTTCATCAACGCAAAAACCATTGCTAGAAGCTGATGTGTTGTTCTTCTCCAAATCTTGCTCTGTGTGATGTTGATCTCGGTTGTCTTTGTTTTCTTGATCTTCTTGATCTTGTTTTGGGTTCTTGTCATTTGCATGAGGCACTAAGCTTTTCTTGCTCCCTTGAGCTTGTTGTGAAGCCTCTTGTTCAGAGAGAGGCTTATGTGTCAGAGGGTCAATACCCAACTTCCTTAGTTTTTTCTTTATGTGTGTGTTCCAATGGTTCTTTATTTCATTGTCAGTTCTTCCTGGTAGATGAGAGGCAATTTTTGACCATCTGCATACAAGTCAAACAAAAAAAAGATTCAAAACGTTATACTTGAAAAAATTAACTCAAGATTTTGACTGTTCAGTCATTTTCATCAAAACGACTAAATTAGTGGTTAAAAGAAAAAAAGGACTACTAAGTAAAGATGTGATAGCCAATCTCTTGAGTTTAGTGACTTTCGTGTTTCTTTGATAACTTGAGAATCTTGTAATCCAATTAAATGGTCATAAAACTTTATATGCTTTTATTATTAGTTGGTTAGAATGTCAAAACTAAGGTAAGTAAACAGTATAGTATTTCTATATTATTTTACTATAATAATAGGAGAAAGATAATGAACCTATTGCCAAGTTGGGCATGAAGATCAATGACCATTTGTTCTTCATATTCTGATAAAAGTCCTCTTTTTAAATCAGGTCTTAAATAGTTTATCCATCTTAATCTGCAGCTTTTACCACACCTCAATAGTCCTGCATTTAATTAATCAAACCAACATAATAATTAATTTAACTGAAAGTTAAGCTAAAAGAAATTAAAATTGATTAGAAACCAAATAATAGCGTGTGAGGACCACGAAATCAAAACACTCATTGTTTCAGCCAAACACTATTGTTTACAATCTAATAATATGTTTTGAGCTTTTGAATACCACCAAACGAGAGATAAGTATTCATTGCAGAAAAGTAAGGTAAGAGTTTAATTATATGAAAATATGATAATCGTTTAATTATTGGTGAAAAATTACGATACTAAATGATACCTAACAAACTTATATGATAACTAATGAACACAAAAAGAAGGTAAATAAAATAGAAATCAGTAGGAATGAGTCAGTGAGATGGGTCTATTACTGAAAATGAACTTTTTCAAAGGAAGGAAAAAAAGAAGACAACTTTTAAATACGAAAAAAAAATATCAAAGAAGTGAAAAGTTTTGAACATGAGCTCAGCTATTATCCTAGACGGTGGTGATTTTGGAAAGTATAGAGGGGAGAGAGGGAGAGAGAATACAAACCAGAAAGCTTGGGAAGAGCTCTCCAACAGCAATGACCATTGGTGAGGATGAAGTTGATGAGCTTCTTGTCTTCTTCAATAGTCCATGGCCCTTTCTTCAACCCTACTTTGTCACAACATGGTTGCCTCCCCATCTCTAGCTCGAGATATATATATGCTCCAATATGTACCTAATATACTTATAAATGTTGTAATTTTTCAAGACTAAAGAAGCTACACAACAACCTATATATAGATAGAGGTGAGAGAGATCATCAAAACCATGTTTGTGGTCAGTGGACCTACGTTTCCTTCTCGTATATTCTTTTTATTTTAAAAAAGTTTGTCCAACCTTTATAATGTTCTTAAAAGAAATCCATATGTTTCTTAAGTTATCGTATTTGTCGGTTCACGGACACTCGGATTTGTATCTATCTACATAAGTTAAACTAGTTTAAAAGAAAACAGAACCATTAAGCTGAAAGATGGCAAATATTTTAAGGTGATGAAGTCATGAAACTATGGATGCATTGTGTGTATTCTGTATAATTTATTTTTAACAAGCTCAATTTATGTCTGTTCCATAATGAAAAGAAATTTAAATATACTAAAGCTATATGTATAGCGATATTTATTTTGAAGTCAATCATATTCTCTAGCAACAATTTAAGAGTGGAAATAACAAAGTGGTATATGAGAGATGTTATGGGGCTAAGGACACGTATAAGGGAGTGTGATCACGCGCAAGGTTCTTTATGCTTACAGAAAAAAAACACATCATCAGCTCAGTCATATATGTGTCTCGGATCTCATTTTTCAAAATCAGATCAGTTTAGTCTTTTCGTCAAATCAGAAGAAACAAATTTTGTTTTACTTTTTCTAAGTAAGTATAATGTGATTGGCAGTTTTTGTTGTTTTGTTTGGTTAGCACTAAGTGGTGGGTTTTTGCAGTGTGTGGGCTGTTTAGTTGGTGGTGCCAACACAAAACTTACGGTACCCATGACGTCAATCATCATCATAGTGTTACGTTTCCCAATAACCCTCCCATCTTCTTCATTGCTTAATGTTTTGGTTCACGGAATCAATAAACTTGTCAAAGAATGTAAAATGGAATGATCCGTATCATAGCTGCTACGTTTAGACGGTGAAGAAATAGATTAGGTTGATCCTCAATTGCTTATGCTTTTACGACTTAAATCTTCTCTATCAATTGGATTTAGTATCTCTTATAACTTACTTGGGTCTACTATCATCAGTAAAATGGGCCAGTCTAACAAAAGGGCCAACATTTACACAATTGAGGAGTTGGACTTTGAAAGAGTTGGGCCAGCTTTTGAGTTTAAACATTTGGTTGCAAATAAACTACTCTCTGCACTTTGGTTTCCGGTCCAGAAAGATGTAATATTCGCAATCTACACACATTCTTCTTTAATTTTTTTTTGTAGTTGTCAAACACTTTTTTTGTTCTTTCACTTTTGTAAATCGTTGGCATAATTATTGGGCGTTGGGAGAGAAACCGCGTCCAATACTGGTGCCTTGGTGAGGTGGCCATGTTCTTATAACCCTGTCGGTCTCATACTAACTTCAGAAACTCTACCCTTCTAATTTATATATCTCACGAGCACAAATATTTTCCCAAAATTCACGAGTTTTCTATACCTTTTTTTTCTTTATTATCAACATTTTCTAATTTAGACTATTTCTTAATTCTTATCTTAGCCTATTAGAGAAACTAAATTATATATTTGGATTATCGTGTGTTTGATTTTTATATTATTTTTGTGAGCAAACATTTGATGGCACCTCAATTAATTCATTTTTCCAGCTCATGTATTATTAGCATGCATAATTTCTTTAAAAATATATATGTTAGTTATGGTTGTTTTGTTTTGATTATTAATCATCACATACGATGAAAAATAATATTAGATTATTATCTATCATATTCGGCAAACATGTTCAAACATACTGTGTACTAATAAACTATACTATATGGAATAAAAATTATGAGCTGGCAAAAGTTAAAAAAAAATATTTATGATTTTAGGAAAATGAACCACAAGTTGTAAAGGCTTAAATATTTTATTTATTTATATGGATTTGACAGGGTAGATAAGATATGTGGCATTTGCTTGGGCAAAGGCATTTGTAGCAATAAAATACAATCCATCCTCTTATATATATATACAAGTGCATGTGAACCCACATGGATATGAGCTAGACCAAGAGAAAAAATGCTGTGTCCATGACTAGTTGTAATATGATTTTTGCCACCTTATCATAAACAACTGATCAAACCTAAAACATATCAATTTGTTTTTGTTTTTTTTTATAAATAAAATTTGATATTTTTGTATGTTGTTTTTTAAAAAAGGTAGTCCTTTAAATATCAAAATTTACATAGACATAACTTATGAATAGATATGTATCTATTGTAACTTTAAACAGTATCAATTTTTTCTCACATACAAAATACTAAACGCTACAATTCTAACATATATCTACTACTACTCTACTATCACATAAATTCGAAAATAAATGCTACAAGAACGAGACACATACATACATAGAGTTATGGGAAGCCTAGAGTTTATATCATTGTTTTGGATGTTAATTAAATCAATTTAAAAAATACTACTATACTATCTTTGACTGATTTTGTCTGTTATCTCTCTAGGTCTATAATTATATAGGCCTATGAATCTCATTCTCGGACAAGGTTCATCACTTTGCTACTCTCCAAAGTTTTAGAAGACTTGTCAACTTAGATACTGTGACTTACTTCTTTCATGATTTACTATTGATAGAAACGTTTATGATATTCTAACGGATTATATACTCACCATCACTAATCTTACTAGTTCAAATATCTTTACGAAATTAAATACCAAAGATCAATTGCATTCGAATGTATTAGATAATGAAGCTGCAGTAACTCTTCTTGGCATATACCTAAATTGGTTCGAATGACATAAACAAACTGTTTTGAAGTTTGTATCCACGTTAATACAGTTTATACACTTACACTGATATATCGATCTCTAATATGATCTCTTGTAAAACAGCATATGAGAATTTATAATCTGTTCTGTCGTAGAAGTCGCGGCACAAATAATTGTAGATACCAACAACTAACAACAAATCCAACTGGAAGAGTAAATCATTAACTCATTTAACAAATGTTACGTTAGCTGATTATGAAAAATATACTATTTCTGTTAAGTGTGTAACTTTATCTAATGATTACAAATTTAACAAGACACACCAAACATTTTTAAGGGTTAGATGTGGGGGGGCATCATTACACTTCCCATCGATCTCGCTTAAACTTCCAAACTAAACCAAAATCATCAACTTAATCTTAACTAACATCCTTTTTTGTATTACATATCAACCAAACCATTAATCATTTACTCATTATTCTAACTTATGTATAAATGATGCACTCAACTAATTCTTTGACACATTATTTCTTAAATGTTTTCTTAAAACCCTATATGTGTCTTGATCTATTCAATTTAGCAAAATGTATTCTTCTTTTTTATTATTATTGTTAAAGAGATTCACTTGAGATTTACTTTAAGATTAAAGGAAAGATGAAGAAACTTTTGTGAAATTTGATGGCTTCATCAATTTATCTGAATTTGAATTTGAAAGGTGGGGACTAACTTGGCAGATTCAACTAAGAAACTTGAATAGACCCGTTACCTAAATTTATATTTATTTTCATGGAGTTTGTATTAAGTATTTAGATACTTAGTCTTAGTCACCACTAATAAAATTAAAACTTGAAATTGAGGGAAGACAGAATCTATTTGTCGTTGACTTTTTATGATTGGTAGGAGTTGGGAGAAAGAACCAAACAAGTAATTGTTTTTCTCACCTTGTCCACTCTTAAAATTTAGCAATTTAATAGTAATTGTTTTTTTTTTTCTGCTTCTGCCGTTTTATTGCATAGTTTGGTTAGAAAAAAAAAGAGTCAATAATAGTGGATAGATTTTGTTTTATGAAATAAAGTAAAAAATACTAAATTCAAATTGAATGGGGGTGGCTAGGAAAAGATAAATGTACTTTTTTGTTACACACTTAACCAATTTATATTAAAAAAAAAATCTTCGACACTATTAAAAAAAAATTAAAAAAAAAACACAAAAAAAAAAAATTAAAAAAAAATTGACGTATCTTTCAACTGACTTCAAGAATCACCCAACAAACTATATAAAAGAAAATTCAAATTTAAACCAAACAATTTTATAATCGATCAATTTAGACCCTCCCATAATCGAAAAGAAAAATACAATCAATCAGACACAGGAGCTGGTGAACCAGGTGAACGAGAAACCTCCTCAATGAGCCTCGTGACCTCAGGCATTGTTGGACGACTATCTGGATACTGAGCCGTACAGCTTATACCGATCTTTAAAAGCCTGATCATGTTCTCATTCCCCTCTGATTGATACCTTGTCAGCTCTGGATCAAACACATCTGACGGTGTTTGTTGCTCAGTGATCGATGATACCCATCTCGGTAGATCTACTCCTTCTTCGTGTAACTGCTGATGCGTTGGAGATTTCCCTGCAAAACCAAATGCAACACAATGGTTTATATCACATTTTCACCTAAGATGCGGATTCCAAGATCTCTCTCTCTTTACCTGTGAGTAATTCAAGAATGAGAACACCGAAGCTGTAAACATCAGCCTTTTGGGAGATTCTACGAGCGTCGGTTACTTCAGGAGCTCGGTAACCATCAATGCGGTTTGGTGTAGAAGTAGGGCTGATCATAGGCGCAAGACAGTAATCAGAGACCTTAGCCTCAAAGGTTTCAGACAGGAGAATGTTAGATGATTTAATGTTGCCATGAGATGTTGTCGCGTCACGCGAATGGAGGTAGCTAATAGCTCTCGCGGCTCCTAAAGCTATACCAGCTCTTGTTTCCCAGTTCAATGGACTCCTACCACTTCCTTTGTTCCCTGTGAATGCCAAAGAAATTGATTTTTAACAATCTATGATAAAAGGATAAAACTTTGGAACTTGTAAACATCAAAAGGAGTTTGTTTTTACCGTGTAAAAGCGCGGATAAGCTTCCCCTAGACATGTACTCGAAAACAACGAGCTTTTCGTCGCGGCTGAAGTAATAAGCGATCAGTGTCACAAGATTGGCATGGCTTATTGATCCAAGAACCTGCAACTTCTCTCTAAACTCTTTCTCAGGCACCACCACATCTCTCAATCGTTTCACCGCCACCACTAATCCGTGTTCGAAACTCGCCTTGTACGATGATCCGAATGTTCCTTTACCAAGTACTTCCGCAGAGGCTTTAAGCAATCCATCGAGATCGAACTCGCCAAATGATTTCACGAAAAACGTCAGATCTTTACTCACTGCAGGGGTTTTCGATGCGCCATTCTCAGATGAATGCGGTGCACCATTAGTCACCGGAGTAGGGACATCAGCCGACTCCTTAGCTACGGCGGCTGAGGAAGTCGGAACAGGAGCTGCTTCGATGTTTCTCGATTGCACATTTTCCTCTTTCTTCTTCCTTCTGCAGAGACAGAACAAGATCAAGAAAAGCAAGAGAAGCCCTAAGACACAAGCGATCACTATTCCGATAATAGCTCCGGTAGATAACTTGTCCTTCTTGCCTTTAACAGGCGTCTCGGTACCGTTTCCAGTGCCATTGACGGAGCAAGCTTCCAACGGCTTCCCACAGAGCAAATTGCCCAAAAAAGCATTTTTGGGCATACCCGACAACGGATCCGGAATCGAGCCGTTCAACTGATTCGAAGAGACATTAAACTGCTGAAGCGGAATCTTAATCTCCGGGATCGGACCGGTAAGTTGGTTATCCTCCAAGTAAAGAGTAGCTAAACGGGTCGCGGCATTGACATTATCCGGGATCCGACCCGAGAAATTGTTCTGGGCGAGATTGATCCGAATAATGTTTGGTAAAGTGAAGAGAAACGAAGGAATCTCGCCGGAGAATGCGTTTCCTTGAAGATACAAGTAACGGAGCAGAGTTAGGTTGGCGAAATCTGGAGGCAGAGGACCATTAAGAGCGTTGAAACGGAAAGATAAAGTCTCGAGCTTTGTGAGGTTTCCGATGGCGATCGGTAATGGACCAGATAAACCCACACCGGGTAAACGAAGTGCTGTGACCCGACCCGACTCGCATTGTACTCCTCCCCAAGTACACGGCGGTGCTGTTAGATTCCAGAGCAATGGACGGCCATGGACGCCGTCACGGAGAGCGATCAATGCTCGTCGATCAGCTTCTAGATCTGATGTGACGGAAACGAGACAGAGGAAGAAGAAGAAGACGGTGAGACCTGAATTGGTCTTGTTCTTCATCCTTCTTCGTACCAAAGTTTATTACTTTTCAACACTGAATGACTCTCTCTCCCTCTCTCTCTCTCTGTGTCTGAGATTCAGAGATGAGATTTTTCAGAGGGTTTGTCGGGGAAAATCTTTGGTATCTTCCGAGGACTACGTGTAGAACAGTGTTTGGAAAGAGAAAATGTCGGGAGAAAATCTTCTCACATAAATTTCTCAGCTCCCTCTCTCTCTCTCTCTCTCTCTCTATCTATCTGTTTCTCTCTGTTTCGCCGGCAATGAAGATGATGAAGAAGGGGAGTAGAGAGAGAAAGAGACTAGAGAATGGAAAGATAAAGTTATAACTTGTTTAATTTTTACCTTTTTTACAGACACCTAGAGAATCTTTCTATTTTAAATGTTTTTCTTATTTTATTTAAAGCAAGAAGATACTTACTTTAATTTTGTTTCTAATTTTGTGTATTTATTGGCTGTAAAAAAGAGAGTATATTTTCACAGCCTGTGTAATATAGGGATTTTAGGTAATAAATCGTCTGATTATTATATTTAAGTGATTTTTTTTCTTTAATGAAAGATCTAGAGAGATTAATATAAATACTATAGTTATAAGAGAGTTTAATGCGAAATTAAACTAGGCTAGTTTTAATTGTTTTTTCTTTAGTAACGTTTTAGTTTTAGCATTGTTTCGTACGTACGTACTGCATTTGGTCTGATGGGGAAACAAGCAACGTTTCAAGTAATATGTCTTTTTTTTAAAAAACTCGATAATTAGTTTATAACTTTTTAGATATAGATTTAATACTGGCTTCAATATTATTAAATTATTAGTTATATATGGTTTTGTTTATCTGAATTTGTATCCTTAAGGTATTACATGACATATGTATTATGTACCAAGTTCCCACTTATATGGAAACTTAAATAACTAACTGAAAAAAATATAGAAATAAGATGGTTAACCTAAAACTCACTTTTGTAGCTTTTCATCATTTTGATTAAGCTCCCTGTAATTTTATTTTTTTTGTCAGATTAAGCTCCCTGTAATTGTTGGTACTAATATTTATACGAATAAATTTTAAAACAAACAAACTTAGCAGAAACAATTTGATATAATAAACTTCAGTTCTTCTACAAGTTAAAAATTGTTTTGAATCGAATATTTTCTTTCAAGAATTTAGGGGTGAAAAGACAAATGCTAGAATATTTCATTAGTATTAAGGTAACTTCTCAAATTTGTCTATATAGAAGATATATTCTTAACAGTTAGGTTCCAAAACAATTGTAATTGATGGGCCGGAGATGTTTATTTCGTCTTAAACTCTATGAAATTCAAATAAAGTTTGTTAGAGAACGTAAAGCCCATTATATTATTTTGAACTACGGCCCTCAAAATATGCTTATACAAACTTCAGAGAAGGTACTTTTTTCTTTTATTTTTTAATTAATGGGTTCTTAATAACATCATTAGTTTGAAACTTTGAAGCCCGTTTGATGGAATGAGATAGTGCTTCTTATGTCATGTAATAATTTTAAGACTATGATATATTTCAAGTATCTATTAGAATTTAGAATAATGAGAAATTTTGTATGAATGCATAAATATTTGTCGGTTGCGAGTTGGTTTGGTGATGTTACTTAGCCAGCGTTTGCGTATCCCCAGCTATATTGTACAACGTATTTTACTTTAGCTGATCATATTTGAAACATCTCAACCTGTTTCCTAAATTCTATATCAACATGTAATTTATCTCTTCGTTTAAATCATCAATATTGTTAAAACGTTAAGAACAAGCATGCATGTCCACTAAAAACTATCTAACCATCGCAAGAAAAAAACAAGACCATCCACCAAATTGTTATTCAAAAAGCGTTTTTTTTTTACTCCACTAGTTGGAGCATGCATGTAGAAAAACATTAAAATGCAGACTGATCGAGATCCAAATTCGATTATGTGTGGTTGTGTATATTATATGGTTTGGGGAAATTAATAAACGTTTCTATATATATTTCTCAAAATTAATAATAATAGTTGGAAGATAGGAACAAAAACATACATTGTCATATCGATTGATACACAACAACCCATAGGTCCAGCATAATATATCACTATCAAATTACAAGTTGGGACAGTGCGTGATTAGAGAGGATTAGGACTCACCCACCAATGAAGATAAAGATAAAGAGCTTTCGTATTTTGTTTGTATCTAAATCTTCAATCTTCATAAAGAAGAATATTGTTGACATCCATATATATATTATATACCCACTAGTATAGTATATAGCCCGAAGTAACGGGAACATAATGAGTACTGACCCACCAACCAATTCCAATAGTTGGGTATTATCACAATTCTTAAGATGATATTGTACTTACCTATCACAATTCTAATGGCTTGATGTAAAACAATTGTTACATTTTTTATTATTTTTTTATAAAGTTCCAAAATAGATTGAAATTAACAAAATTTAGCAATATATATATCAACCAAAATATGTTGAAATAAATTAATGTTTGCATCCATTTTTATTAGTCATCTTAAATCAACTTTTCTGAGACAGATCAGGATAAATTGATTTTGACACTAGAAATAATACTTGGACAACTTAACAAGAAAATAGTAATACTAGGATTAGATTGTAATTATATTCCTCGATTTTTAATATGGGACAAGAATCCTTAAAAAAAAAAGAATCTTTAGAAGATAAAGAGTGGATCTTGAAAGTACTAGTGGAAGCTTATGGCGCACCACTCGAATGTTAGACCCCCCCCCCCTGACTTAGGGAAGAAAAGATTGGTAAATTACAATGTAAAATTCACTAAACAAAAAACTAAGGTTAGGTGAGAAACTTCATACATACAGTATATGGTACTGAGGACATCAGGTCAACATTTATTTTCTTAATTATGTATATTTATATGGAAACTACAGTAGTGTGAAATATAGGCTGTCAAAAATAATACTACAGGGGTTTTAATACAAAAGAAAAAACGGCAAAAAAAAAAAAACAAAAGAGATACTGAAATGAATCTTTTTTTTATTTTTGGTAAAACTGAAAATGAATCTTCTGAAGGGAGAATCTTTCAGAATCTCCTGATAATTCGCGATTCCAATAATAGTCCGATATTTCCGCATTCTCCGTTTTAGTTTTTACCAAAAACAATTTCCAAAACATAGCCAAAGTCAAGCTCACACCTACCTACCCCCTTCTCTTTCCCTATTATATATAAACCACTTAGCTTGTAGGAATCTCTTTAATTTCAAAGAATATATTTTTTGTTTTTTATCAGAGATTCCTCAAGGATGACGGCTCTTGCAGATTTGATCAATCTCGATCTCTCCGACTCCACTGACCAGATCATCGCCGAGTACATATGGTTTGTCAATATATCTCGTTGATCTCTGTCAGTTCAGGCGTTTCCAGTTTAGTTTACGTCTAAAATAGATCTATACTAGTTTTTTGGTTTTCAAATGGTAATCCTTGCTTTTGTGTTTGAGTTTGTATATTTCTTGAGAATTAATTATGACTTTGGTAGATACTAGATATAGTATACGCTGAAATATTTTGGATTGACTAAAACACTTTTTTTTTTGGTGTTTTGATGAATAGGATTGGTGGATCAGGCTTGGATATGAGAAGCAAAGCAAGGGTACTTAAATATTAATAATTCATTTAGCTTTTGTGTGTTTTTCTAGCGGGCACTTGAGAATATGATTAAGCATCTTGTTAATGCAGACTTTGTCGGGACCAGTGAAGGATCCATCGGAGTTACCGAAATGGAACTATGATGGTTCTAGCACCGGCCAAGCTCCTGGCGATGACAGTGAAGTCATCCTCTAGTATGTTTCAAAAATCTATTTAAAACAACTTTATAAGTAAATCATGTACATATTAATAATGTATTTTTGATTTTTGTATGTGTTTTAAATCAGCCCTCAAGCTATCTTCAAAGATCCCTTCAGAAGAGGCAACAACATCCTTGTAAAACGAGAACTCGAATTAAACGCTTTCTTATATGATTTGAACATTTTTCTTGAAACTGTTAGAATTATATATATTTTGTTTTGTTTTGGGGGTTGATTAGGTGATGTGTGACGCATATACACCAGCCGGTGAACCGATCCCCACGAACAAAAGGCATGCGGCGGCCAAGATCTTTAGCGACCCCAACGTTGTCGCCGAAGAAACATGGTAAAATTTTGCATAGATTTTACTTTACGAGAGAAACATTGTCATGCGCATTTGTCAATATTTATAGGGTGTGTTGGCAAACTAGTACGTTTTTAAAACATAATTATAAAAATAGTACATTTACTATTCACAATTAGCAAAATAGTACAATTTTACTATTTCAGATATTTGTACATACAGACAACTGTACAGTAACATATTATTGTACATCAAATATTTGTACAAAGAAAAACAACAACATATAAACATATTTACACATAAACAAATATACATATATAGACCAGAAAATATATGTACACATACAATTATACGTATATATAGACCGCTGTACGGATGATTTTCCATACATCGATACACAACTGTACATACGGATAGCTGGACGTATCAAAATTTGTTTGAAAAATATTTGAAATTATTTTTTAAAAATTGCATATCAAATTATAGGGAAAATATATATATTTTTATGTAATTGAAATTTTATAGAAAATAAATATATTTTGATGAATATTTTTAGTTATTAGATTTAAGGGGGTTTTTAATAGTGTCTAAATAGTATCCAAATAGTAAAAATGTATTAGTTTGCTAATAATGAATAGTAAATGTACTACTTCTACAATTATGTTTAAAAAATGTACTAAAAACCCAATTAATCCATATTTATATAGTTGAGGCGTCCTGTCTTCTACAAAACTAATCGAAGGTTTTTAAAAAAAAAATAATATTGAAAATTTAGGTATGGAATTGAGCAAGAGTATACTTTACTGCAAAAGGATATCAAGTGGCCGGTTGGTTGGCCAGTCGGCGGCTTCCCTGGTCCTCAGGTAAAACTTTTCTAAACATTTTCAGATTGAGCTCACGGAAAAAAGGAATCAAATACAATTTGTCAATAAAAACAGGGACCATACTACTGTGGAGTTGGAGCAGACAAAGCTTTTGGGAGAGACATCGTAGATTCCCATTACAAAGCTTGTCTTTACGCCGGAATCAATGTCAGTGGCACCAACGGCGAAGTCATGCCAGGACAGGTTAAGTTTCATCCCTTTCCCCTTTTATTTTTCCGATTCAGTATAGTGTTCAGAACTTAAAACTGATG